CTCAGAACTCCGTCATTTATGAACCGATTTGGACAATTTTTGTGTTGTTTGAAAGGGTATACTTCCAGTTTGGTCCCATTTAAATTTCAAAAAAAAATACAACCCCTAAGGGTGGAAAAACAGCTAATGATGAATTTAACCTACTTCTAATTGTCATATTAACATTAAATTTGCAAGTGTTTCTATTTCCGTTGATAGTACAGTGGTTCGCTATTATTGACCTGATCTTATGGTAAGGCCAGAAGGTAGATAGGTGGAACTTTTCAACGGCTAATAGTAGATACTTTGAGTTTGGGCTTATTTTGTTTGATTTGACAAGCCTAACACGTTAGAATTCTTACTTCGCTACTACTGTGTACACTAAAAAGGGAAAAATAAAAACTTTTTAACAAAAAAATAAAAACCGACTTCAAACAAATGCACTAAAAAGTAAAAAATAACTAAATGGTAGTTTTCATTTACATACCTAATCAAATATTTTCGAAGTCGGTGTGCTTTGGCTAAGTAATTAAAGCCTACCTATTAAATATATACCTAATCAAATATTTTCGAAATCGGTGCCAGCCCATACAAAGCAAAGCACACCGACTTCGAAAATATTTGATAAGGTATGTATAGTAAATGAAAACTACCAATCAGTTATTTTTTACTTTTTAGTGCATTTGTTTGAAGTCGGTTTTTATTTTTTTGTTAAAAAGTTTTTATGTATATATAGATTTATGGATAAGAGCATAGTTAAATAAACACTATCACAAGTTGAAGTAGGAGCTTTCTATGATAGAGAAGAGAGATATGGGGAACAAAGTGAGGGATTGCGGTTACGGGATTCTGGTTTGGATGTACTCCGCGAGTCAGTGAACCACATTGAGGTTACAAAGGTTGATTTCAATTATGCCTACGAAACAAAGGAGACAATCCGTCACTAAAATAACTCAGTACGATAGATGTGATGGGCGTTAAAATGACCAAATACCGGGAGAGAATGAGTCACTCAGGGATAAGAGAAGAGAAGGAACCACAAGGTTTTAATATTATTCTAAATTCAGGACAATTCTTATGAGTTACAAAATGTTTTGATGAACAATACATGTGAAGTTTTCTTTTAACATTTCCCACGCATCCCCAGTGTATAATTGGGAGCAACTGTAACACCAGGCTTAGGCTACACAACCTGTATTCTTAGGTGACCATTTACTATTTACCTATGTAAATTATAAGTCTCAAAAGTAAATAATAATAATAAATAAATATGTTAAGACATTAACACACAGCACCATCCAGTTCCATGGTAAGCTACGAGACTTGAGTTATGGATACCAGATAGTTGATATACTATACATATATAACTTTAAATACATACATATTAAAAATAATAAACAACCATGACTGGAGTACCAACATTCGTGCTTATCACACAAATGAATGCCCCAAGCGGGACTCGAATCCGCGATCGCTGGCGTGGTAAGTAGGGTCACTACAAACTAAGCCAAACGTGTCGTCAAATGATGAATGATTTCAGTAACCTTTTGAAGGAAGAACTTTTCCGAAGAAAGTAAGAACAACCGATTGTGTTGGAACCCGTGTAACAAGATCAACACTCTTTCGATTTAATCTTCAGGCCTTTAGCGCCTGGCTGCGGCCAGAGAGGAATTATAATGAAGACACAAATTCTTTCATTCCATTCAACTTGAACTCTATAAATAAACTAAACTCATTCTTGTCACATTAGAAGTAGGGATGATTGCTGTTTATTTCGACCATAGCTAAGATGGGGTTGGCTACGAATTTGTTTTCTGTTAATGCCGACGAAAACTGGATTTTGATCTTATTGTGACCTACATTTTTAACGCAATCATTAACTATATTTAGATTTTTATTACGATAAAGACATTGGCCGAATTTATTTGCTCGGATAGTCGTTCCTGCCACTGGGTCAGGAGCTTCTCGTGATTCATAGACAATGATGGAATCCGGGTCATCTTCTGAAAAGAATTTAGGACCTACTAAGTAAGGATGGGTATAGATATGCTGGATTGAAGGAGTAACTGTAAATGGGTCAATAATGTTTTTTTCAAGAAATTGGAGTAACTAGGTTGTAGGACCTTCCTCTTGATATCTACCAGAACAGATTGTGGGAGTAAAAGAGAACCTCCTAGGTCCCATATGCAATTCTTACGTCTTGTCCTTATACCTTACCATTGCTTTGCTCAGGTGTGTCACGGGTGATTATATATATTAGTAGCTTATATATATTAGTACTCCAGTTCACACTTTATCTCTCCAAATTCGTCGAGCCGTTTCATCGCGAAGGAGTAACAAACTTTCATATTTATAATGCTCTCTCTTTTCTTCGACTTCTTTTAAGTGCAATCTCACACTGTCTATTTTGGCGTCGTCGTGCGTTTATATAGCCGCTTTTACTAGGATATTTCTTGCGCAAACAACCGTTCTAGTAGAGCATCTGCCTCTTCTACCTTGGAAGTGATAAAGAAAGAGATGATTTAAAGATGAAGAAAGTACCTACGATGGTACAAAACTTAGTTTTATGATGCTATGCACTTTTAATTGTAGTTTATCTAAGGTCAAATAACTAAGAACAAGTTAAGGTATTTTATTATCTGTCACGTATCCGTGCAAAACCTTTTATATTGTGTTGCTGTCTTGTAGTTGTAAACTAAGAATTAGCAAGCAATAAAAAAAAGTCTGAGAGATATTGCTTTATTTATTAGTATTATAGCCACAAAAGGTTAAACCTTTAGATGCTTGAGCTAGAACACGTATAAAATTATATCTTAGTAGTCACAATCACAGGAAGGTATATCATTATTAAAAGAAGTCAAACTCAACTCTACAAGAAGACTTAGTAACTAGAATAGATAACTATAATATCACTGATAATATTCTGAATATCAATAAATACTACGTATAAATTCAAGCGTGACATTTCCTAAAGTCTACGTTACATCGATATTTTTTTAAATTAAACTATCATGTATGCATGTACTTAGGCTAAGTCATCTAGGCGATTCTACCATAAGCAATTCTTATACATTGTTTTAAATTTCTAATTTATTATCCACTTGATTTACGGTCTATATTAAAACTATAAAGCTACGGCTAAAAATTAAGCGACATCAATACGAATAAAGCTATACACCTAACACGAATATCACAATATCGCTACTTAGTACACGAAGATGAAGATGAGGCAACACTGACTACAGATTTATGCACGAATTGATCTTATGTAACGCTCGCGTATCCTCGCACACGTATGGCTGCATCATAATATTCCGGTGCCTCCTATGAAGTAACATCTTATGGCATAAAATATTAATAATATAGATGGCACCTATAATAAAACGACTGACATGATTTTTTTTTATCTATACGCATTCAATATTATTGAGTCGATGTATTAAGAAAAAACTATAACTAGGTGTAACGACTATAGGGAAAGGTATTTCAAACGATTTGTTCACATAACATTAGTGATAATAATTAGAATTACAATTATAATCGTGAGAAACTGAAAAACTACAATAATAGGGTAATAGATATTGCACAACGTTTACTCCCTAATTAATTATTACCAGATATCAATAAGATAAATAGGTAATTATATAATATATTAAATATAATAAATTGTTAATATACGCAAGAATATGTGAAATCTAGTCTAAGGCATATATAAATATTAAATATAATTATATTTAAGATGAATTTTATTTATTCGATGATATATTTTCAAATATGAAATAAAATTATATAGATAACTTCTAATATTATTCTCCTCAGTTTTTTTTATTCATAATTTTAATATAAATAATCACTTACTAAAAGAATTCAGAGCTTACTACTTGTTCTTATTGTATTTATTAAGCAATGAATAAATAGATTAAATAAAACTTGATTCTATCAATGAAATAGATAAAATTAAATAGACGTTAGTGAAATCATAAAAATAGCAATTCGCCTTATATAGCCAATTTATTTATTGTTAGTATTGAGCCAATCTAACGTATTGATTTTTGCTTGTGAAACATGCCCGATGTACTCCTATGTCAAAACATTACTTAAAAATGTTGGTATCTTTAACTTTTTTTACGAGAATAAATAAAATGCATCTTAATTTATAAAATAATAATCATATTATAATAACTTACGAAGTAGAAGTGATACATCACAGTTAATAAACTTTAAAGAGTCAACAAAGTTCAGTATAGTCTCCATTACAACCGAAGATTACTAGAAGTTTCTAGAGAATTCTTATAATAAAGAGCCTAGTCACATACAGTAGTAGACTACGAAGTACTAGGTAAGTATATACTTTTTGTTAGAATATTTTCGAAATACATAATACGAAGCTTACGAGTATTGATTATAATTATGTCATTATTAGAGACCGGATCATATGCATTTGGATATTAAACCTATTTTAATGGATATTGCACATTTTGCCAAAAATCTTATGATTTATATGATGCTCTTTTTCATTATGTTGATTATCTTTAGTTTATGTTAGTTGGAAACAAAATATATAATGCTTACCTCAACCGATATGGAATGGGATCAACTGAGAGAAATACTTTGATTCACTGAAGACAATTTTTTATTCGTCAATTTTCAGTAATTGTTATGGATATTTTGGAATTTTAGAAGCTAATATTATAAAGAGATAATATTTCTTTGTGTGTAATCGATGAACTCTGAAATTACTAAATCGATTTTAACAATTCCCTGAGTGTTTGTGTTTTAAAAAAAAATTTTGACTTAGTAATGTTTAGATTTGAAATACAAAATATTGATCCTTATAAAAATGAATATCTTTATCATCACAAGTATATACTAATAAACTTAATTTGGTTATATTGTTAACTGCTAAGAAGATATGTAATAAGAATTGAAAATAAATCGCGACATGCGCGCAGTTATTGCGGTGTCTAGTACATATGGCATATAATGCGATCTCTAATATTTATATTAGACGTTCATTATTAGGGCAGAAGTGGATGGTCGAGATCTCTCTGAGTGTGAGGCTGAGTGGACACGTTAGCTTCTCCATTCGCCAACAACGCATCCCTTGCACTCGCTTCACAAACATCTTCCACCTGAAATTAAATCAAGCTTTTTGTACAAATTGGGTATTTCTTTAACGAACTTTTACACTTATAGTATAAATAAAATAAAATTTTGAAATTAAAGCTGGTTTGGTATTTCTTAATCAAGACAATTATTATGAAGTCAATGTTATACGACCAGGTACATATCTCCTTACATTAAAATGAAATGAATATTACTATTTTATAAATACCAAATATTTAATACGTACAACTAGTTGATACCAATATACCTTCAAAACAAATAATTCAAATAATAAAACTAGAAACATTATTTTTAATTCACCGACTCCATCGCATTAGCACGGTAACGTTATACAATATATATGTATTTTAACATTACCGTGACATTAGAATTGAAGTTGAAGACACGTTTATATATAGTTTTCTAATAGTGTACACATTTAGATATTTTCATAATTCTAGTAATAGACGTAACAGACTTAAAATCTCGAGTCAAATGTAATATTTCGAAGAACACTTGAGATGTAAAATTTAATTATTTTATTTAATTATAAAAAATCTTTTAAAATATTTCATGACATTTTATTTAAAAAAATATCAGTCAATTCTACCATCTTATAAGGAAATCATATAGGAAGAATAAACCTACATGGTAATTCATATAATATTATATATTGTCATCATTGCCGTCCCCGTGCAGCGCAGACTCACGACCACGATCCGGACTGCCTATCCGGATAGGGCGACAGAGGCAAGTCGGCCTGTCCGGGTAGACTGTCCGGATCATATCGAATATGGATATTGCTATATCGCTTCTTCTCACATCACTAAAACTCCAAAATCAAACTAAATACCTATATTAAAAACATAAACATATAAGGAAATTAGACAAACTGCCGTTTTGCTAAAGAGCGCGTGATAATATTAATTATGCTGCCAATTCCATTTTGCAAGTCACATGTTGTAATAGTCGAGTATTTTATTACACTTACACTGACCGATCAAAATATATGAAGAATAACATAAATATTTTATTAGTAGTTTTTAGATTTCATGCCAGTGGATTTTTTATATAAATTTAACTAAATAGATAGTTTAATCGTTTGGATGAATGGTTCACAAACAGAAATACATACATAATAAATACATTATACAATACATATACATGTTTATATATTTTTATATACATAATATATACGTCGTAGCCGTAGGCCACAGTAGATACAAAACTTAAAAAAACCGACTTCCAAGCACTAAATTGTATAAAATAACTAAACAAGTTTTTTAGATATACCTATACCTAATCAGATATTTTCGAAGTCGGTGCCAGACGCCAGCCGATGCAAAGCAAATCTTATTTCAATACGTATTTCAATACGTAAAATACATATTTACCTATTTAGATATTCATATCTTAAAATATTTTCAGCTGGCACGACTTCGAAAATATCTGATTAAGTATATATTCTAAATAAAAACCCTCGTTTAGTTATTTTTTACATTTTAGTGCCTGAAAGTCGGTTTTTTTTTAAGTTTTTATTTTGCCATTTTAGGTGTAGATGTAATAAGTAGGTAATTTGTAAGAAGAACGTTTTTTAATAACATATTCGATTAAACAATTTATTAAAAAATATATTTATTGTAGATTTTTTTAAAAACCGCTTAACCGATTTCGATAAAAATTATACGGGACCACCTGGGAAGTATACCCTTTGAAACAAAATAAAAATTTTCCAAATCGGTTCAGACGTCTTCCAGTAATCGGTGAACATACATAAAAAAAAAGATTCCGACGAATTGAGAACCTCCTCCTTTTTGGAAGTCGGTATTAACCGATACATTAATTTATTAAAATTAAGGTTTAATATAACTTTTTTATAAAAATTAAAATTCAATAAATCAAATTAACTTCAATAATATGGAAACTGCTTAAGATAATTGCCGACTTGACCTCTATGGAGTATGGCCAATATACACAAACAAATTTATATAACGTGTACATATTATATCTCGAGTTCGTAACTTCTACTAATGGGTAAATAGGCAAGATACCAGTTCGAAAATAATAGAATACAGTTAGCCAAAACAGAAGCGTCAGATTCAGCGTATTAGATTCATCCAATCTAAACCGCATTTAGGTCGGGGTTAAGTGTAATAATATTTATACGATATTTACTGTGTTAAGGGCATTATTAAATAACAACGTGTTGATGTTTATATTGATGATATTTACAGTAAAGGTAATAATAACAATTAATTAAATAATATAATTATTCTTAATTAACCATTTAAAATGGACGATGAGGATTCATAGTTACGAGTACCTGCGATAGCGGTCGCAGATTCGATTTGCAGGTATGAAAATGAAAATGTTCATAATGTGTGTATAATTTTTTCTCGATGGATGGATAACATGTTTTGTAGGTACGTTATTATAGTTTAATTCAACAAGTTTATTTATTTTTTATAATAATTATATTATGCTTGTGTGTACTAACGATGCTGTCGGGAACTGCCGCGCCGGCTTCACGCTTCCCTTGTAAATAATACGTCATAAGCTGGCCCTTGCCTTTAACCGCCACGAGGCCGCGTTGCTCGAAGTAGTAACCAAAATTTTGCAGAATTTGGCAAGTCTCTTCGGTAACCTGTCACAAATAAACACATTTCAAATAAATAAACTTCTCCTTTTAACATTCATTTGTTTACATGCATGAAATTATTATTATTTAATTTAGTAAAAATAAAATAAAATATAATTAAAAATGAAGTTTTAATTAAATGATAAAGATATCGACACTAATACATATAACATGTACAATATACATTTACAGCGGACCTGGATTCAGGTAGCGTGATGGGTTCTTTAATGGGTCATAAAAGGACTAAATTATTTTCAAGTATCTATCTAGATCTAGAAGAAGTAATCTATTTACCTGTATACACCCAGCTTTGCCGGTGCTCTCCATACGAGAAGCTACGTTGACAGTATTACCCCATATATCATAATGGGGTTTCCTCGCACCGATGACACCAGCGGTGATGGGCCCGTGGTTAACTCCCATGCGTAGCACAAAGTGGTTAAAGGACTGTTCGTTAATGGCCGCCAAGACTCGCTGCAGTTCCAGTGCGAACTCCACCAAACAAGCCAAGTGAGCCCATCGTACTAATACACCATCGGATGGCTGATAACAAATTAAACTCTTTATAAAAATATATTAGGATTACGGCAAATAGTGCTCCATACAAATGAGTTAAGGGCTGGCAGCTGAGTGCTGCGGTAAAAATGTTGTTGTCAAGTTGGTGGTATCAATTATAATTAGGTAGCTTATTCTAATGCTAAGGGAAAAAACTACTGATTTGCTTTATCATACCTATAAGTAGTTTATTATACTTATCTAATAATAAATTACTTACTTGCTCAGTACTACAATTGTTTTCCATAATATGTATTATAATGTACAATTATATCTTAAATTAATTCTTACTGCCATTTGCATACCGTCTAATTTGATTTCCTTACATTTGATAGACGTTTTATTTAGATATCGTTCAAAAAGTCGACACCGTTATATAATTACATTATATAGCAACAAATAGATGGTATAATAAGCAATACTTAGCTAATTTTGTTAAACGGTCTTAATTTTAAATTTAATCCGTAGATTATTTGTGAAAATAAGCCGTTGCATCTATCATTAGTGTTCAGTTTAATTAAAATAAATAATTACGCGTTCAAGGTAAAGTTAATTGTTTTCATACTCAAGTAAGATTTGACTTACGTAACTGTTATTAATAAATATTTTATTTAATAAGAAGACTACGTTCAGTTGGCAAAGCAAACAATAATAATAATTTGACAACGAGCTAAATTGAGTGCATTCTAAAATTGCTCCATATTGAATTTCAAACGTAATGTTTGTAATGAACACCATAAAAATATTTAATCAATAAAGTAATTTGTGTATTATTATAATATAAGCAATAACTAGTTTTCACATTACTATATATCACGCTTTAAATTACTGTTAAGAAATTAAAAAAGTAAATTTTCCATTCACCTGCATCTGTCGTGTTGGATTTAGGCCTGACGCAGCCATGTAGGTAGAGCTTATTGTTTTAATCTTTATTATGTCCTTGCTATATTTAGCATCCTCAAGCAGCTGTAAAAATAAATACTAATAATAATAAAAATAGATAAAATAATAATGTTATTAAATTTAATAATATAAAAAGCATCGAGGCATCATAAACTATTGAAAGAGGAAAATTTTCTAATTTTGCTTAATAGAAGTGTACCTGCTATATTTATCAGTATCGCAAAAATATTTGTATCGTTGCTATTTTCAGCTACAACTATCGAATAAGAGCAGATACTTACAAGATCGAAGTCCGATATAACTTCGTTGAGAAATCGTAAACATTCTAGGCCTTGGTTATTAACCGTTTCTTCCGAGTAAAACTCTGCAACAGGTTAAAACACCGGAATTAGAAAAGACCGGTGGTCTGTTTATCGATTACAGTGGGTGCGAACAACTTTACAATTTTCCGGCTCGTGTAGTCTTAATCAGTGAGAGTACGTATAAGAGTGGCAGGTGGCATTCAAATTAAGCACGTTGTAATAATAATATATTCAAATACTTAAAATGAACAAATGAAAACTAGCTCGGAAATATAAAATATTTCTAAGGTTAATTAATTTCTATGAGACTACCAGCAAGTCCATCTGCATAGATTTAAATAAAAAAAGAGAAGTTATTTTATCTGTTTGTAAAATATGAATTTCACTTATTATCTTGTCATTAAAACTAAGTATGTATTAAATTTCATTTATATAATAACTTAACGCTTACGCTGTAAAACATAAACGTAAAATGGTGACACAAATTTTGAAAGAGCACTCATGAGTTTTATGCCGGTTATTTTGAACATAAATCACATTCTGAGATTCCTCATGAACCGACAAGACTGTCACTAAACATAAAATAGATTTTCCTACTCTTCCGCTCGTTTAGTTTGTTTATCGACGATTGCTCCGCTCAGAAACTATAAACCTTCCTCAATAAAAGGGCTATTAAATACAAATCAAATTTTCCAAATCGGACCGGAATTTCCGGATCTCCGGATTTCCGGATCGCGCGATCAAAAAAAACACTACTACTATCTATACATATAATATAATTCTAAGTCAAATCTTTATATTAAATATTTTTTGGAAATTGTTGAAATAGTAATTTTCCATTATTTCATAAAGATACCATTTTTTTCATTTTTTCCTGAAATATACATTGGTGTAATCGGTTTATAAAAATTTGGTCAATACAGCGCACTTCTTTAATGATAATTGAAAAAAATGTAGTTTACAAAGTAAAAATTATCAATTTCTCCAATTTTTAAAATTTTTAAAGGTGTTTTTACAAGATTACCATACAAAGTTTTTATATTTTCAAAAAGTAAAGTTCAAGACGAAAAGAATGAAAAATGAACGATTTTTTTTAAATGTAAACGCCCACGTAACGTCTCGAGATCATAAAACATACTTTTCTCGGAAATAGCTAAACATTTCAATTCCATTCTTTTTTTAATTTATTATACGTATTTTGAAATTTACATTCCCTTAGTTTCATGGAAATCAAAAGATTATTCTAGAAATAAAAAATAAAAAACCAAGAAACAGTTAAAAACCGAGTTTTTTGCAAATATCTCGAAAACTTTGAGTTATTGTAAAAAGTGTTATTCATAAAAGGAATATGAAGTATAATAAAATAATAGTATATATACATATATCCGTACTAAGGTTGCCCTTCAACCATTTGCTTAGCGGATGAAAAGTATTTTGTATTAAACATAGACAAATATATCGCAGATGGGTTGCAATTTAAATATGGTCAAGGCTACCCTTAATTTACCTACTTAACAAATAAATCTGATAGATTTTATCTGAGAAAGTAAAGGGCACACGGAAACGTAGATTGACATATTTGCAAAAAATCTTCTATGAATCATGTTTGCCAGTTTTTAATTTTTGAAAATTCGATACAATAAGAAAAATAAAGATGCGCGACAGAGAGAATCGTGCGTTAGATTTGATGTGAGAGAGGAAGCAGGCGAATTAGACAAAAATAAAAATATTACTTTTAGTAAACGTGTCTCAACAAAATTTCTTTAGGCTATCCGATATATTATATGTTATAATATTAAATGACAAATCTTGTATATATATATATATATATATATATATATATATATATATATATATATATATATAAATATATTTATTTCGTGTATTTCGGAAACGGCTCTAACGATTTGGATCAAATTTTGTATTTAGATAAAGCTTTGCTTTTTAAGTTTTTTCATATACATAGGTATATTTTCTGAGAATCCGCTATTTTTATGTCCTTTCAGAAAAATGCCGGTCTCCCAGGTTCTTATATATCATTATATCTAACACGAAATACTTTATGAGCTAATCTCTAATCTTATTCCCTCCTCGTTTAAGCAAACCTGTGAAATTGGGCATAGACGCAAACAAAACGCCAACTTCTGCGTAGCTCTGGCTGTAGAGGTCTCTGTGGTGGTGCTTCGCGCCCATGAAGTGCCTGGCGACGTGCGGCGGCAGCACGTTGTGCACCAGCGCCTGGTTGCGGCGGCGCAGGTCGCCCGCCTGCTCCGCCTGCGCGCGCATGCGCTCGCCGCGCGAGTGCCGCGCACGCTCCAACGCCTCGCTCTACCGTGGAAAAGACGTGCTTTTATAAATTAACTAGCAATTCACCCTCGCTAGGTATATTTTTTTGAGCGGAATCCTAATTTTGTCTTTACTTAAAAATACTATGGTAAACTTTTACTTATAAATATCGTATATAATTCCATATGTATTTAGTAGAAAGCTGTTATTTTGACATTACAAAAGACACCGCTCGCTCCGCTCGCGTTCAGATGACCAAAAGCCAAATTCTTAGGTTTTACATATTATTATTTGTAGTATACTCTTACATTGCAGTTTTTGTATTTTTTCTCAGAAATGAGATTTATTCCCACGGTAAAAATTATCCTATACATAAGTTGACCCGGATAACCAGCTATCACCATACCAAGTTTCACCAAAATCCCTCCAGTGGTTTTTCTGCGATGCGGTAACAGACAGACAGACAAAAATTCTAAAAACTATATATTCGGCCTCTGAATCAATAATAATGTTTATATCAATAAGATTTTCCAAAAAATATTTAATGTACAGATTCGGCTTAGTTAGAATTCTATTATATGTATAGATAACATCTATCAGTTCGGACCAAAATTTTGTGGCTCATAGATAGCACTGCAAACTTTCTGTCTAAACAAAACTTTGTATGTAGTCGTGAGTTTGGGTCCTGTTAAGTGGTTAACAGGATTTTACGATCTTTAACGCTGCAGGTTCACATTCATTTATGCCATTTGTGTACCTACAAGGATACCAACGTTACAGTAAATAATTATTTTTTGTAATTTCTACTGCATTTCGGTTTAAGGCATAAAAACATAGTTTTTCAAGCATAAAAACTCTTAGGATAAATAGAATCTCTAGGAATATCCATTATTTCTATTTTATATTCCTTGAAATATCCGGAATACCATAGTCTGGACAAGATTAGTTAATTTCTAAAGGATATCATGACTTTAATAATTATATTATTAAAGCAATAAAATCAAATAATCGCAATTATTAGAAGTCGTATCCAAGGATGTTTCGCAGATTCACATTCCTCGTTGCGTTATCACTGCTTTTAGACATAATACATACCTATCCTATAGTATATAAATATTATGGCACATCATAACATTTAGTTATTTAGTACTGCTAGACAAACGAATCAAGGGTTAAGTTAAACTTTAAAATAAATATGAGAAAATCTTAATAATCAAGTCATTTCAAACTAGTATTCTATACTATATATTCAATATTCATAAAAAAATATTCGTACACCTTTATATCAAGTCAGTATAGTTTCTGAATGTCAATTTCTTTTGTGGACAATAATATATTTCATAAAATATCGCAAAATTTATGTAGATAAACTACGTAAAAAAGTCTTAGAATGCAACTTGCATTTTAGGAACTTACACTTTGAACGTTGGCCATAAAATAACTAAAAACTAATACCTTTAAGGTTGTATTGTAACTTTCTCACAGTTACACTTTAGGAGTAAATAATTATTATATCTGTGATTTTTTTAAACTTATAAAAAAATAAGTATGGAAACTTGTTCTTTTGTAAATAATTCTGAACTCAGCATGCCGACAGTAATTTATTTCGCCGATGGTTTTCGACTACGCGGTAAACAACTCTATAAATACCCGCCAACGCTACATCGCGTACAATTCTTCATACTCACATATCTGTTGTATATGAGAAGTGCGATAGCGATGATGCACAGCATTAGGATGTGCCGGCCTGTGTGGACCTGGGCTCTGAAAATGATTTAGAAATGGTTTGACTCCTTACTTTTAACAGATGAGAAGGTATATGTAGAACTTTACTACTCTAAAATACATAAATTACAAAACAATAACAAAGAAAACTTTACATTTTGGTAAAATAAAAAAACAAGGTACCTAAACACATTTTAATTACGTCATATGAATAACATTATTATTTTGTTTATATTTAAAACGGAAAAATTACTGTAATTTTTTAGTAATTTTTTGAAGTATTTTTTTTCTGTGAATGTGAGATAAACCTTAAGGTATAATTTAATTGTTGAAAAAGAAATTTGAAAATTGTTTACATTTGGCTAAGATTTATCCCAATTTAATACCTGCACCTTTTCGTAGTCGGTTATAAAACAAGAAAGGAAGCGCATGCAAGCTAACTAATCTTACACAACTAAAAAAAACGTCTCATCGCAAGTGATATAACACCTCCAAAGATACCTTATGAAATATTTGGTGATCATATTTCACCGTAATTTAAGATAACAATTATTGAATAGCAGCGGATGGAGTAGTATGCATTATGCATTATTCATTAATTAAACCAATAATGCTATATACTAATATTATAAAGAGTTAAATTTTGTAAGTTTTTATGTAGAATCTCAAAAATTAGATTTTCAAATTTTTTTCACTATTAGGAAGCTAAATTCCACAATATACCGCGAGGGAAAACTGTTAGTTTAGTATATATTACATTTTATTAACATTGAAAATAAAAAGAACTTTTCTTTTAATGCAATATACTGAACATAATATAGATTAGGTATATGATAAAAAATTACATTTGAAAACGGACAATATAATAAGTATAAATATTTGTATATGTGTCCAATACTAATGTAACCTGAATATATCTCAACATTTAATATTGCCATCAAACAAGTAGGTAAATAAAATTATTTCATAACATAATAATAATATTACGTAAGGTCGTATGTAAGAAAGCATGTGAAGTAATATTGATTTATGAAATTAGCCACAGCCTGCGGCTTCATACGCGTTAATATTTCTTTTTAGTCTGTAGCCACTAAACGTGACCCCTGATTTGGATAGGGGCATTTAAGACTTTAAGTGATGTAAGTTTTGAATATACTTCTGCAGGGCCGAATTAACCATGTCGGGGGCTCCTGTCCCCTAGACAATGCAATTCTCGGGGCCCCTTCACCCTTTTGTTTTAATATTAGAAAATGCATTTGTGTATACCACCTGTAGAAATTAATAATACTGGCTAGAAAAGCCAGTTCTAACCACTAAAACCCAACAAAACCTGCCCCGTCTTAATGGGGCGTCGCAGGATCGCTTACGCACTCAACTACGACACACCGCCTACCGAAGTAGGCCACCTCTCTATGCGTTTCTTGGCTTCGCGCCCGGCTGTATTGCCAGGGTCCCTTCACCCTTTCCTAACATATTGAAATACATTTTATCTATCCACAATGCAATGATACGTTATTAGGTAGATTTCACTGAAATCTTACTGTTGTATTTGTCCTCATGGTGGCATTTACACCTATTTTTTAATTTTTCAAATTAAATTTTTACTCGATGAAACATTTAAACATTTTTTTCTCGACGTGCTAGGGGCTACCCTAGCCGAGGCGGGGACCCTAGGCAGTTGCCTACATTGCCTTATGGATACTCCGGCCCTGTAACTTCCGTTAGCTTCCGTTCATCCATAACTTAATAAAGCGCAATTAAACAAATTAACAAATTTTCTAAAAAAAATACAACAGCTTCTACCTTTTTTATAATTTATATTCAATTGTTAAAAATGTGAATTATTTATCCCTAGATCTACTTAATAGTCATTAATATCGAAATTAATGTCGGACCTAACTTACGGTTTCAATAAAGGACGCTCAGTTGGAGTATCGATTTCGGCAAAAAGCTGCCGAACGAAACCTATGTCCGAAACTAAAACTACGTTCATGAGCTCTTAAACGACCTTTGAAAGCGGTTGATGTTCTAGAGATTATTTTTTTTGGTTGTAAGAACTATATTCTGTCATTCTACTTAATAGAACCCATGAAGGTACGAAAACAGGAGAATGATTAATGTTGAAAAATGTATCCCAGAAACAAATGAGACGCTACCATCAATACGATGTATTTATAAATTACTAGCGACTCACCCTCGCTTCGCTCGGGTTGTTGCTATGTACTCGTATTTATATAATATTGTTCATACAAAAAAACTAAAATCGCGATTAAAAGTGGGGAGTGGGGGAAGGAGGGTGAAAAATACTTTACGACCTATTCTCATACCTACCAAGCACACAAAAAAAATTAAAATCGGTCGAGCCGTTTCGGAGCACACAGTGACATGAGATTTTTATATATTAGATTGTCTATTTTTTTCTATACATAATAAGCCATAAATAACTTCGCAGATACTGTTTACTGAAAATGTTCTACAGATTTATGGATTAACTGATTTATAGGTGATAGGCGGCTAATATTATGAGGATAGTCCCTAACATGTATTTACTGTGAAATAAAACTTGTATGTTATATATCTTACAAGACATTATAGAGCGCTTCATCGTAGTCAGAAGTGGCATTGTACGGCAGACGGAACGGATCGCGGTCGAGTGTGGGGCGCGAGGTGAGCAGCGCGGGGTGCAGCGCGGCGGGAAGCGCGTGCGCCGCCGCCAGCGCCGCCAGCAGCGCCGCGCGCGCGCCTCCGCCCAGCGGCGACACCCACAGCGCACCGCAAGCTGCTCCCGCGCCCACCTGCACGGCAATTACCCACCACACATTTATAGGACTAATATTTATTTATTGGTAACCAATGATCCAATTCTAGATTTCCCTGAATTTAGCTTGACATATATGTTATTATGTACATAAGAAGGTAAGTTACATAAAAAAGTAAAACTAAATTAAATTATAAGAAAAGAAACAGAAAACATAATTTTAAAAATGTTACCTATAGAAATAAACTTAAAGTCTCTGTAGTAAAGTAAAAGAACAGCTTTTTACTAAATGCATTTATTCGTATATACTCGTACGGTACTTATGCAACCATTAAGTTAGAAATAATCGAACAACAAAAAAATAAAATAGTGTGCCAATACATTTAATGTGTGCAATTTTATCTAACACAAAAGATTCCTTTTTCAGATTTCACTGCTTCTTCGTAAATTCGATTTTACGAAGAAGCAGAAAAATACAACTTAATCTTTTTGGAAATTTTAACAAGAATTATTTATACAAAAAATAAATTATGCAATCTACAAATCGACAATATAAATATACAAAATGTAAAAAAAATCTAAAGTCAAAGGCTTTTATAAATGTTGAAATCTGAAATTATAATTTTAAGCGAAATCGTAGCATAATATTATGTGTATTTTCTCGAAAATATGTATATTTGTTTTCATTGCATTTATCATTAAAATATAAGCGCGTATACGTATACGCATATTTTCATTACACTTAAGCATATTTTATTATTTCTTGCTCACCTACTATAGTCATGATACGGTAATTTTTATCTAAAAAAGATTTATATTAACTAATTTTAAACAACCTTTAGTTAGGAACTTGTTTGCTATTAATAAAAAATAGTTTTGATTTTTCGTGTTGTAAAAATAATATATTTATTTTTTTAATCCTTTGTCTTCGACTGGCATAATTTAATCACGATTATATGCCAGATGTCAAGGTTTCAGCCTATTAATATGCCACACATAGTCCTAGCTAATAATTATGTTACGAGTAGATACGGAATGCTTAGACATGATAGTTATTTTATTTTTATAACAGTTTTATTAAATAAAATTTTTAACTATTTTTATTGTTTATTTATTTTGCTTTGAATCACCTCATTTTTCTTAATTTACCAGTTTCTATGAATTAAAATGATTAATATCTATCGTTTGTGATAGATTAGTTAGAACCGTATTGAAAGAAAAAAATATATATAAAAGCTCGCATAAATGCAAAACTCTTTCTAGAATACTATTACAGCTTAACGAGATAACATTTTAAAGCCTTTAAGAAAGTTGTTTCAAAGATTATAATCAAACTTACATGATAATAATATGAAGGATGAATACAACGGCGGGCTCCACTGTGCGCTGGTGCATCGTCTCTTAAGCCATCCTTTGCCAGAAGACTTTCGAAATTTCCGCATATAATCTGCTCATTAAAATATATCAATGTTATACGAGTTTATAAAATCAAAGTTAAGGCTATATATCATTTATCATTAAGTAGAAACTTTTTATCAATCTTCTCTATACTAACAAGAACTCTACTAACTTCTCACACGCAATTATCTCAGTTAGATCTCTCAATAAGCGTAACAAAATGTAATGCCGAAAGGATCACCTCATGTTTTACTTTTAATTGTTTGAACTGTTTTGTTTTAATTGTTAATGGTTTTGTAAAACAATTGATCTATCTATAGCTTTTTATTTATTTTAATACTAGCGACTCACCCTCGCTTCGCTCGGGTTCGTTGTCCTAGATACGTTTTAACGGTAAATATAGAATAAACTATGTTATGTACAACGTACACACATATGTAGGTATAGAAAAAAAGGTAAGTATTATAAAAAAACCCTTACTTGACAAATGATTGATTCCCCATTTAATCTTCCGCCCCCCTTTTTACCCCCTTATATATAACATGTTTTCCGGGATGAAAACTATTCTATGACATTCCCAGGTTCTCAAACTATTTCTATACCTTTCATCTAAATCGGTTCAGCAGATTAAGCGTGGGAAGTCAGTCAGTAAGATGCGACATTGCCTTTCAATTATACTAATATGTAAAGTACAGATTAGTAGAGAAATCATCCCTTAAGTGGGTGAAAAGGGGGGTGGAACTTTGTACGGGGTATCAATCATTTCTCAAGTAAAGGATGTATAACTCATTGATAAAACTCGAGCGAAGAGAGGGTGAATCGCTAGTATATAATAAAAATAGTTATTGCAAGTGTAAAATTTTCCTGTAGTAAAGGGTATTCTAAATGTTAAGGCGAATAGTATGTTATTACTACACAAAATTTAGTTAAAATCGGTTTAGTCCTTTTCGTGTGAAATGCGCACATCGATTTGACTAAGTTAGTTGTATTATAGGTATAGATAAGAATAGGTATTGCGAGTGTACTCGTACATTAGGAGATAGACATACTACTGTAGACTTTTCTATAGGTCCTTTAGGACCTAAAATTTTTTAGTACATTGGTTTGATGTATGTCTTAAGATTTAGCCAGCGGAAGGTTTCTGAAGACGACTTGATAAAACCAGTTATTGTGTTCTCCCATAGTAAAGAAAGATTTTCCTGAAGTAAAAGGTATCCTAAATGTTGACCCGAGTAATAAGTTATCACTTCACCAAATTTCATTGAAATCGGTTCATTACTTTTTGCGTGAAACGCGCACACACAAACAAGCAGACAATTTTTTTAATAACTATTGTTTCGGGATCTATATAATATAGATATTTGGCTAAGTAATTAAAGCCTACCTATTAAATACATACCTAATCAAATATTTTCGAAATCGATGCCAGCCCATACAAAGCACACCGACTTCGAAATATTTGATTAGGTATGTATAGTAAATGAAAACTACCAATCAGTTATTTTTTACTTTTTAGTGCTTTTGTTTGAAGTCCGTTTTTATTTTTTGGCTAAAAAGTTTTTATACTATTATCACATGCTAGATTTTTTTTCATCAAAATATGTTTAGGCAAAAATCAATACTCACCAAAGGAGCAATATTAGCTGCTACGAACATCGCTATGTTAAACGTTCCACAAGTCAATTTCCAATAAGGTGATATTGTTTTTTTCTGAAAAAAGAAAAGTGTTCCTAAATGTGTGGAAAATAATATTTGGGTAATTATGGAAAATAGTGGGTAATAAATTGTTTGCGGAAATAACAAAGCTTTGATATTTTTGTGCAACTCTAAGAGAACAGTGACACTAATCGCCATTCCATCTCAGTCATTACAAATTTAATTCTGTAAATGGCACCACAAAATGAGTTATCTTTAAATATGAATCATTTATGTCCCTCTTAAATAATAAAATCTTTCTACGAACGGTTTGATGACGCCATCGTGATAATATCCTCGTATTGTGTAATGTCCTTTCCCTAAATGAAATTTCAGTAGGGCTGTTGCTGTTCGTCCGACTATTGTCGATTTGTATAAATATCTACCACTTTTTGTTTCCTCGCGTAAAATAAGTGATTTTTAGGCGCAGGCGTTTCTATATGTAAAAAAAATAACATAACCTTAACCTACCAAGCTGAAAACCTATTCTTTTAGATACCAATGTTTTTTATAGAAACATAAAAATAGTTGCAGTCGCAATATAACACACGCCAACAATAGTCGGACGAATAATATATTTTTTTATTCATCCGATTATATCGGGGGAATAGACACACCGTTTCAGTAGTTATTTATATTTAGAAGGTACACTTATATTTCAATCTTCCTTTTTTTTAACATAATAACAAAAGAGTTTAATGTAGATCCATGTGTGTTGAGGTTTACTTCTCTATAATTTCATACACATTTCTATTTGTCGCGAATGACAAATTTAACATAAAACATACCTTATATTGTGCGTATCGGTAGCAAGCGTAGTACACGACATTCATTAGGCCAGTCTCTAGCACGAACGCAAAATAAACTGCGTAAAGTGACCAGGTGGGTGGCACTGCGAAGCTGGTCAGCGCCACCACAGTGGGTAAGAGGAGCAGTGGTGGCGCGGCGACGGTGAGCGGGCACGGGTCGCTGCGCCTCGCGTACACTGCCTCCGCGCCGCTCGCCTTGAACGTAAGGCAAACTGTCGTAGCATCTGCCAGCTCCCTGCATGGAAATTGGTAACATCACTAATAAAGACATTATTAAAAACACTAATATAAATCATCTGGCTAATGATTATTAGAAAACATGTGGTCGTACACCAATACCGTTTCAATGTATCATATCAATCTCATCTTGAAATTATTTAAAAATCAAAAAGTAATTGCATGCAAATATAAATTAACGCCGCATTTAAACTGTATTAGTGCACACAAGCGGATGAAGAAAGCCAGGTATTATCCTTCACAAATATGAATGAAATATGCTTAAAGATTATTTGAATCGTCTAAATAATTAATGATAACATTAAAGTAATATAATGTAGTAAAGACTCACTTGTCATCGTCTCTATTGACGAGCTCCTCCTCTAACATAGCGAGTATTTTGATGTCCTCATTGTCCTTGCTCTCGTCTTGCGGTGATAGAACCTACGAATAATGTAGGAAGCGTATCTATGAAGTCGACAAGCAACAAATCGATATGGGCGCTGGAATGTCTATAGCTTAATCAGGTGCTCCAATCTAACAAGCGGTTTCATTTTGATGAATGAAATTTTTATTTAGAAAGCAATGGTTATTATACGGATAAGTGGAAATGTAAACTAGCGCGGACCGCGGACCTAGTGCCCTAGTGTCCTATATATTCGATCGGGAGCCGGAAGGGTGGGCCGGGGGTAGTACGAGTGCACTCACAGAATCCTCGTCGTCGTCTTTGAGGTCGGAGAGCGCGTCGGTGCCGTCCCCTGTTCCCCCCGCCTCCCCCTCCACTGCATTTTTCTCTTCACTGCCCTGGTACTACAAAATTGTTGAATTTAATAACCTAAATGTGTAAATATCTGAGATTAAATTTGAAAAAATCATTAAATTTTTAATTTTGAATAAATATATAACGTATAGTGCATCCGTTGCACTATTAGATACTTAATATTGTTTCAAATTATACCATAATATAAAAATAAAATATATAAGAAATTCTTTATATATATTTAAAGTTGGAGTACCTATTTGTCAGTATATTCTTTATTGAACAAATAAGTTATAAGTAATTATCTGTTATTTCAAAAAATATTCATGTACAAGTACTTTTGGTCATTTTCAATATATCACACAATCATCGAAAAATACCAATCTATCCGTCTGTTTGTCTGTTTGTTCCAGAACTTTATCTCTAAAATATAATCTTCGATTTCTTATAAGTAGTACGATAAGTTCTTATATTTATATAAGGTAATACTTTTAAAAATCTTTCATAAATCTTAATCAATATTTATGACACAATTTATCCTTGAGAAATTTTCTTTAAGATAGGGGATAAAAGCTTATACGGCAATTTTACTGCCTCTAATTTTAAAACTTTACTACCTAGTTCCTATTTATTTGTAAACTGCTGCATGGAATTTGTAAATCTGAACTGAAAATTTTTAGTTACTTACTCTTATCGCATGTAAAATTTCATACAGACTCTGTATGAAAATATGTATGTATGTTTGCAGAAAGTAATAATAATTGAGAATATTGAATTGAAATACTGGACACTAACTAAAAGCGCATGTAGCCCCAGAGGACCGCTATATTATAAAAGATTGCTACGAAAAAATATGCAAAGTTCCAATATTATATACATACCTAATGTTACAATTTAAAAGAAATAAAAACTTCTTCATCGCTCTATCGTGATAAGCCACGCTTAGTTTACCTTCTAACAACACTTAAATCGATAACAAACTGGTATACATAATATCTAGAGTTTTAATAAATATAAAAATATTTTTAGTTTAATTTTTTTGAGTACATACTTTGCTACATATATCTAACTAGCGACTCACTCTCGCTTCGCTCGGGTTCTTCCCTAGCTTGCTTCCCAATACAAACTTTCATCCCCATTTTCACCCCCTTAAGGGATGATTTCCGGAATAAAAAATATTCTATGTCCTTCCCAGTGTCTCAAACTATCTTCTTACCACACCTAAATCGGTTAAGTAGATCCAGAGATTACCCCCTACAACATCACTAACTCACAAACTTTACCTCTTTATAATATTAGCATAGATTTATTTTGTCTTAGTTACATATATTATGTACAAACAGAAAACTTTTGAATATTATAATAAAGTTACATGATAAATATTTAAAATATGAGTTTGTCACATGTAATTTATCATTTCTATACATAACATTTTATTTCAAGAAACGAAATATCGACTGACCGGTTTAAGAACGCGAACAATGAAGTAGGTCTTGATGCCAGCCTGTCGCAACATCTCTTCGCGGCGTTCGCCGTGTGCTGGCTCTACCTCGAACTCGTCGTTGAGGAAACTTAATGTTACCTCTGATACATGTACACGGCTGAAATACATATATCTTTATATCTATACACAAGATTTTTTGGTTATCTTCTGTTTTACTTTTTATTCTTAAAAAGTAAATAGGTTACTGCAGTTTTATTTCCAATCAAAGTAGGTATAAGATAGGTTTAGAATAATTTAGAATTAAAAAAATATTGTTGGGAAGTATTTTGTTTAATGACTTAATGATTCTTAGTTTTTTATCGAAGACCAATCGTAATAGAGAGAATTATATAGAGGTTTAAATAGTAACGTTTGTATGCAATTAAAGTTATTAGTATACTTTACATCCACCAGGATTCAGAAATAAACAAATGGAACCTATATTATAACAAATTATACTATTTATAACAAATTATAAAATCTTTGCGTAAAGGCCGCATAACGAATTTACAACCGACGTATGTCCTATAGTGTGTCCTACAGTATCCTACAGTGGTTTAGAAGGGCAGTTTGCCTTTTTTTTAATGTTGGAAAATGCATTTACGCATACCATCTGCATACATGCATGTGGTTATGTGGGACTCGCCGGCTGTACCCACTAAAACCCAACGGATTAATGAGCAGTCGCAGGATCGGTTACACAATCGACACGACGCCCCGACGTCTGCCCTGCCGAAGCAGACCACAACAACCAAGGGGTTGGTCCCACGGTCCACTCTGACATCAGAGGAGTACCAGAAGCAACCCTCAGGGTACACCACCTACCGAGGTGGACCGTCTCCTAATATGTATCTTGGCTTCACGCCCGCCTGAATTGCCGGATTCTAATGAGCCCCCATGCCAATGCCACCACGAAAAGGTGACATCCGGGGAAGACGGGCAATATGCCTGCATAAACAACACTGAAGATTCTATATGTATACTAGCGACTCACCCTCGCTCCGCTCGGGTTCGTCCCTAGTGAAAATTGAGGATTGTATGTATTTTTGTATGTTGTATCATAAAAAAATAGAAATTAAAAATTTTGTCTAAAAAATAAATAATAAATTTAGGGGTGGACTACCCCTAACATTTAGGGGGATGAAAAATAGATGTTGGCCGATTCTCATAGATACCGGATAAGCACAAAAAATTTCATCAAAATCGGTCAAGCCGTTTCGGAGGAGTATGGTAACGAAAACTGTGACACGAGAATTTTATATATTAGATGTTTGTGAAATTTCACCTTAATCGATGAAGTTGGGGAAAATTTCATTTACACACAGAATAAAATCATTCAGTAATTAACAAATACAGAAATATAAGCAGATGATGAGGTAACATTAACAAAAATTCATTATATTCAAGCAGATGATAATAATTATAAAGCACATTCTTTAACTTGAGTTACGAATATTTCATTTGCATATGATATGCAGTACACGATATAATGACAATAATATATTTTGATATCTTCATAAAAAATTTCAAATGTTTCGCCAAATAATGGAACACAATTCTACAATTTATAGAAGATAAAGTTTCGTTTGCATATCATCTAGTTGACAATTACTTATACGATAAGGGCACATACACAACTCATCGTCCATTGTGTGGAATTTATGATATTTTTATTTAGGTCACATTTTATGATCAAATATTTTTGTATATATATGAACATAAAACATTTCGTATAAGAATTCTTTGACGTGGAAAATTGTCATAAATATTATTACGCTTACGACTCGTCACGGAAACTCACCAAGTATGGCTATGGCGTTTATAGATGACTGTACAGAGATAACGGGTCAAGGACGCAGGTCCGCGAGACGAATTGACAGTGCAAAGAAGTTTAGGTTACTTGTCTCATGATATTTTAGAAGAATCAAAGAGAGTTATTTTCCTTTCAGAATATTGACAACAAAATCTTTCTCTGTGCAGCACACGTTAACGGTAAAAAAGCATCATGTGTTAAAAATTGACATGATTACATCTATCCCTTTACAAATAAGTATAATAGTTCTTTACATTATGCAGATGAATGAGTATTTTAGTTGAGGCCGGTGAGGAGAAAACATAAATTAGTCTCATGAGAGAATCGAACCAGCTAAATACCAGCATCCGTGAGACACTCTATCGCCACTATGGGGCTTGAACTGGAATTAAAAATCAGCTTAATTCGACTCTGACTTCACCGACACCGAGAAGTCCGTAGCATGAAACAATATGAAATGCTTTAACGCACCTACTTAATTTATTAGATTAATAGTAAAATAAAATATTTGATTGTAGAAAGTAAATTTTGTTAACGAACCCGGGAACCGAAAATATTCTATTTCTTAAAAACTACTCTTAACTTCTTTAAATAGTTTTCATTGAAAGTTTTTGGAAGCTCTATTATCTCCAAATTTTCAGAATTTTCCACGACAAACTTTAAAATGTAGAATATTGAAAATTAAGCATTTAACTTGGCAACTTCGATTGAATAAAAAAGACGCATATATATATATATATATATATATATATATATATATATATATATATATATATATCATAAATTTTAAAAACTCATCTGAATATACCCGCTTGAGTGGACTTAATTCTTTTACCCCTCGCTTACATGTATAGAGTCCTATTTACCCACCAATTTCAGCAATATAGCTCCAATAGTCTCCGAGTAAAAAGACTGACACACGGAGGGGCACAAATAATGACTAAACTAAATTATGAGGGTACTGTTTTTGCTATTTGACTACGCCACCCTTAAAAATTATTGGTAATCTATTATTATTATTATTTTTATTTTATGCGTGTAGTTTCCATACAAAATTAAAGAATTAGTTTTGAAAATTAAAGAAAGTAGGCTAAATTCATAATACTTACACATAAGAATATATATTTTACATTTGGGTCTTTTATAAGGTCACTAAAAAGTAGACTTTTTTTAATAAGCACAGAGTAATAAAAATGAAACCTCCAGAAACAGCTATATTTTAAACTATTTTTTAAATAACAATCGTAAACAAAAATGTTTAATTAAAGCTCTATTCGTTTTGTCTTTAATTATTTTTTACATAATTTTATTAATGATCAATTGATACCAATTTATAAAGTACCGATAAATATGTGAATATTAACAAATTTCAGAATAACTTTATAATGTGAACTTTTTAGCTATTTGGTACAAACCCAGCCATGCCGCTGCTCTCCATTTTGTTTGCAAGTTCTACATCACGCGAATAAACATCGAACTGCCACTGTCGCTGGCCCAGCACTCCCGCAAGCACTGCACCCGTGTGGATACCCACTCGCATATCCACCGGTGAATTAGTTGTTTGTTGTACGTATCTAAAACCAGAAGTGTTAAATATAATGTCAGCTATTTAAAATAAATTACAAGAAAAATAAAGTAAGTAGTTACGTACATATGTACGTACTTGATTATTTACGTAATCAAATAAATAGTTCTTTGTAATTTGTTGTTAAAATATATTAATAATATAATAATAATAAACATACGATACATTTAGAAATGGGCGTGAAGGGAAAAAAAATACAGCCTAAAACGCTCAAGGAATCACGGGACTTCATTATTAGATTTTGTTTAAGCTTTCTAGAGAGTGCCCGTTGATTTATTGGAAAAAAAAACAGATCTATAAGAATCTTATTCTTTTACAATTATTAAAAGTATGTGGTTAAATTAACAAAATTTGCCTATTTTTAAACCCCGTACCTGAAAAGAAAAAAGTAACCTTTATAGGATATAACTCAAGTGTCTGCCTGCTTGTCTGTCTAATTGTCACAGACTATTTTTTTGATTATACTGAAAAAAAAATATTCGCTACATATATAGAGCAATTCTTAATCTAAGGGTTTCAAAATAGACAAAATAAAGATGTTCATCATGTGATACTTATATTATATCTATACTAAAAAAAGTACGAAAGTGACATTTTTATGTTACAAAACCAACGAGTACAATTTGTTTCTAATTTTAGAAACCTTCTTCGAGCAATTTTTACCATCCTACCTAACTCATAATCCTATACAATGAATTTAGTATATTGTCAAGATTATAATAACACTTACTTAATTGCCTTAACCATAGACAATCCCATATGGACACAAAGAACAGCATGATCAGGTCTCTCCACTGGAGCTCCACTGATGCAGTAATAACAATCCCCCAGAATTTTTATTCTCAATTGTTGATATTTCTTTGAAAAAATAAATTATATGTAAGAATATATTATGAAGGTAGAATAAAACTTGAAAAATATATATGACGTCTGCTTACCTCAGCAAGACGATCAAAGCGTGCAAATAATTCATTTAAAATGGCTACGAGGTCTTGAGCTGAGTAAGTAGAGGAGATAGCCGTGAAACCTACGATGTCTGCATACAGGATGCTAGTTTCATGTAAACAATACATATATTTTTAAAATAGACATTAAAATAACCACAGTATGAATGAATAATCCATAACATAAAATATTACCTAACGTTTTCATGTCGCGACATGTAAATCTTTTTAAATTGTGTATCTATTAGACCCAAATCCTTTCGCATCTGTACGGCAACATGTTCGGGAAGTACTGACAACAGCAATCGTTCCTGAAACAATAATACCCCTTTATGTTCTACTCATATAATATTACATTTCACGTCTTGTTGTACGTAGTGAATATACAAAACATAATAAAGTTTCTCTAATAATAGGTAATTTTTTTTTCATTTCAACACACCTGTTCTTTGCTTTGTTGTTCAATGGTTAATTTATCACGCAAACTTCTTTTTGTCTCTTGGAAAGAGCAACGTTGTTGTTTTTCACTAACTGCATAAGCGGTGCTACCCAATAATGTCGCCCCTAATAAGAGGCAACCGTTTGCTATTTGCTGTCAAAAAAAAATTGATTATGATATTATTAGATATGTGATAAAGCGATATAAACAATCCTCCTAACGAGTAAACGTCTTGTTAATCATTTAAAAGAAAACATGGTGAAATTTTTGCATACCTGCAAGTAAAAATCATCGGCGAATCTACTTTCTGCTGTAGATGCATTGTAGTACTGGACTGTTAGATATCCAATGAAGGACAGTGTGCTATAGATTATTAGTATCATATAATGAAACGGAAGGGTTGCGATTGTAAAATATTGAAACACTACTGCCCAACCAAGTAACTCGTTGTAAGAGTCGCCTAATCGTCGCGAAACACTCACTAAGAGTTGGGTCCACATAACGAACCAGGCAACATGATTTAAGGCAGTTCGAGCTCGGAAAATAAATGCATATGTCACGGCAAGGATTAGGTTTACTATGAGGGCCACAGCCACAGAGGCATAAGCGAAATGGAGATCGCGTTCTCCTGGCACAAGAGCAGCAAATGCTTGGAACAGTACTCCAGTAGCTATTAGTCGCAGTACAGCGCGTTGACGTTGACGCTGCGTATAGGCTAGGTATAGCTTCTCTTCTGATAAGTCTGAGAATCTCCATGGTGGCACCAAGCAAACGGAACAAGAACACCTTTTTGAAGTATGCGCTTGCACTGACTTCTCCATAGCTTTAACGCGTTGCCATATTCAGCTATTTACAATATTTTTAATTTGTTTTGATAATGGTATCATTTCTATTTATCACTTGCATATAAATATTAACACATTCACTAACTTCACAAAAACCCTGTTAATATAGCGATTTAATTAACTGGAAAAAATTTGAAGAAAATTAACCTTTACAGAAAATTTAGACTTCGACTATTTGTAGTTATAATTTAGTTATACGTTCTATAGTTTACATTTTTGTACATAATAATAAACTTTCTTATGAAAAAAATAGCGCCCAAGAAAAGCGTACGCTCGTAGTCATGTTGTAGCTCACAAAACATCAAGCGGAGACTTTCCGTTAACGGTGGCCTGATCGAGGACGCCTGTGTAATGAATAAATTACACGCTGAAACATTGTTCCGATATCCGTTCATTAACTCGACCGTCTACTAAACATAACTCACTCGAGGTTTCTCCTGAGCTATACGTAATACACACTAATTTCAATATTGACAATCGTTTGGACTCGGACTATACATACATACATATGAGAGTGACCATGAAAACATCACAAATGACAAGATATTTGTTTCACATATTTTGATTTATTGTCAACGTTAATGATGTTTCACGCGTATATAGCGCGTTACAGTTAAAGAGAAGGAACATCCTATAAAATCGTAGAGATTATCATTAATGGATATGGTTAAATCCATATCGTTAAAAAATTGATGTTTCAGTTATATTAGACGTTTTAGTTAGCTTTTTATTATATTATGTAGTTTTACAATTACATGTACCTAAACATAGTTTTATTAAATTATTTTAAAAGCTGCTGGTAATAAGTAGTACAAATAAATACTTTGTTTTAACAATCTTCAAAAAGACATTGTCATAAATGCATTTAACGATCGATTTATGTACACATTTGACGTTCCTTGATCAATTCCAAAATTCCATACCTATTAATACGATTTGAAATTGTACCATACACGTAATTATGGTGAAATACAAAGGTATGAATCGGCATTTGACCAAATGTACGTACATAATATTTCAGTAACAGTTTTTTTAAAACTGTCTACGTCATCAAGCTATACTTATATAAATTCTCACCGAGTTGCTAATTAAAACATGTATATAAAATTGCGTGTCTAAGTATATTATGCTGTTTGTCCTAAATCTTTAATTATTCAACGCCCAGTTTAATTATTAAACGCAACAATCAGCAAAAGAAATGAAATTTAGAGAACCTAACATAGATAGGTAACCGCAAGCCCCAAAAGAGATGGCAAAGTTTGTATGGAAAATACTTAATATATTTTTTACAAAATTTACTTGAGACTTCTCTCTCTACTATTCAATATTTAGGATTGGGGACACAATGAGTGAAACACATATTTTGACATTCTTTAAACTAGCACAGAAAAAGTAGGGGTAATTTCGGAAGTATAAAATTAAAAAATTATTGGGCAAAGCCAAAAGACGCTGCTAATGAAAAAAATAATCCTTAATCATACGTAAATCGTTGAAATTAATTTGTTTTTAACTTATTAATAGATGATGCTATTAAGAATGCCAATAGTAATTAAAGAACGTTAAAAACAATAATTTTAACAGAATAGGCTCGAAAAGGGCAAAACTGCACGCTGGGCTTAATTAAGAATATTGTCGATTTAGAGTTATCAAAAAACTTATAATAAATATTAGATGTAACCGCCATTGGCACGTCGTGTGTGTAATTAAAGAAACAGGCAGCCAAAAATTTTGAAAACTGCAACTTTGGCTTTCAATTACATTTCAAAACAATAAATAACTGCCTAAAAATATTTCATTATAATTCTTATCTATCTATCTATACATATAATAAAATTGTAACTAAGCCGAATCAGTATATTAAATATTTATTGGAAAATCTTATTGAAATAAACATTAGTACCTGGGCTACCGAGCTTCGCTCGGGATTTTTGGCCTAAAGTACAATTTTCTTTTTTTTTAAACAACTAAAAACTGGAATAAATATTAAAAAAAGACAAAAGTAAAAACTTTGTATGCGACGGAGATATGAACTTGGACACCTGTGATTGTTGATCTTTTACCTTGGCCGCTTGACCACGATGCATATGCCCGAGCGTGCAAATTACCGACCATATTTTGCGTAGAATAATGCAAAAGAAAACTGTGTGAAAACTCAAAATACACGTATTCTCAGACACAAGACTAATCTAGATCGATTTATCGCCCCCGAAACCTCCTGCATACTAATTTTCATGAAAATCGTTGGAGCCGTTTTCAAGAATCAGATTATATCTAATATAATTTAAACGAGCAATTCTTGTATATATATACATACATACATACACATATATATACATATACAACGTGTCCCAAAATTCAACGATAAGCGGGCACCAGAGGATGGGCCTGCTCATGACTACTCGAGAAACAAAGAGAAAGAAAAAATATTTTTTTTTTTAATTTACAAACATATTTCGAAATTCCTCGAAATTTGACACCCTAAAGATATTTTTAACTACCATGACTACAATTTTTCAAATATTTCTGAATATTTTTTTGTATCATATCAACGGTAGAATATATTATGCCCGACGAATAAAACGATCTATTATAAGGCGATGTCGTGCCTGTATTAATGCCGGTGGCAAACAATTTTATTACTTTATTACTTAATTTAATTTTACTGTAATTTAAATAATGCAATAAATTAATAAAATAAATGTAACGTTGTTTGTACCTATTGTTTTAATTCATTCAACATTTTTTAACACCAAAAAACCTATTTTTGGCACATAGTAAAAGTGATTACTATCAACAACAACAATTTATGAAATATAGTTTTTGTTTAGAAATAGTACGCATTTTTTTGTGGCTAGTTTTCCTAGTGTATTTTATATTTGGTGATAGATGGTTATCCAGGTCAACATATAGGATCGTCGCGGTTGTATGCGAGAGCGATCCCGTGGCGTCCCACATGGCGGCAGAGGGGGAAAGTTGGGTTTTAGTGGGTATGCCGGTCTCATTAGCCGGAGAGTCTCCACATAACCACCCCGGGGGAAGTCGGGTGGTATCCGTAATAGGATTTCCCAACTATAAAAAAAAAAAAGGTCAACATATAGGATACTTTTTACCACGGGAAAATTTCTCATTTCTGAGGAAAAATACAAAAACTGCAATGTAAGAGTATACTAATATGTAAAATCTAAGAGTTTGGTTTTTGGTCATCTGAACGCTGCGGAGCCGCGGGCAATGCTAGTTACAAATAAAAAACACATATCTTTGTCTTTAATATGGTTGTTTGCTTTACCTAGTTGTACATAATTTAGAATTTATGCTTTATTTACTATTTAAGAATCTTGGTTAGTTGCGTCAATTTAAAAAAAAAAGTTGCCATAATAGCGTTCATACTTTTTTTTTACACCAGGATGAGTGAAAGTGGACTGAAAGTAAAAAGCTTTCAAATTTAGAGAGAAAAATAACTTTGATTCTTTTTTGTGTAAAAACTACAGGTGTTTTAGGATTTCTAAGGATTGCCGTGGATAGCAGTGCTACTTAGGTCGCCGATACAAAAAAATATTCAGAAATATTTGAAAAATTGTGGTCGTGGTAGTTAAAAATATCTTTAGGGGTGTCAAATTTCGAAGAATTTCAAAATATGTTTGTAAATTCAAAAAAAAAGATATTTATTTTTTCTTTTTGCTTCTCGAGTAGTCATGAGCAGGTTTATTCTCTGGTGCCCGCTTATCGTTGAATTTTGGGACACGTTGTATATATCTATACAAGAATTGCTCGTTTAAAGATATAAGATTACGATACAGAGGCCGAATCTATAGTTTTTAGAATTTTTGTGTGTCTGTCTGTCTGTTACTGCATCACAGAAAAACCACTGGAGGGATTTTGATGAAATTTGGTATGGTGATAGCTGGTTATCCGGGTCAACATATAGGATACTTTTTATCGCGGGAAAATATCTCATTTCTGAGAAAAAGTACATAAACTGTAATGTAAGAGTATACTTATATGTAAAATCTAAGAATTTATTAAGAATTTGGTTTTTGGTCATATGAACGCGGACGGAGCCGCGGGCAATGCTAGTTACAAATAAAAAACACATATCTTTGTCTTTAATATGGTTGTTTGCTTTACCTAGTTGTACATAATTTAGAATTTATGCTTTTTACCACTTTTCAAATTATCTTTCTTTATACTCGTACTATGTTTTACACATTCACTAGGTACTTCATTGCATAGATAATTTCACTAATTTTTGATCAATTCTCAACTATAATATTTTTAGTGCTTGTTTAGGTTAAAATATTTCCCGCCTAAATTTTGGTTTCAATGACGTAAGTAGGTAATCTCAGTAAAAGACTCTTGTCATACTATTGACCCAATAATTTTAAGACCACTTTAGGTAGTACAAGGGTTGTACAAATTATATCTCCGCTAAATTAAAGCAGTGAAATAGAGAAAAGCAGATTTTATTATAATATAAAACAGGAATATCGAGCGGTCTAATATATATAAGCAAGGACGCGGGCGGCAGGAATCGCGGCAGCGCAAGACGGTATGCGCACGTGCTCGCGCGCGACTGCCGCGCCAGCCGCCGCCCTCCGCAGCAGCCGCGCGCCTCGCCCGCCCGACCCGCCTTGCCTGCCCTGCTTGCCCTGCCGCCCTGCCGCCCTGTCGACCCTGCGCCTCTGCGTCCCGGCCTCTTCCGCCTCCCCCGAACTTATTCTAGGCCAATTCATTACATCGATTCAAATTCCGATTGATATGCTACGAGCGTTCAGAAAAACTCAATCGTAAGACTCATACTCTATAAACAATCATTCATGTTAAGACTTCCAACTCACTGACTTTTGTCTTGTTTTCCAATACTTTTTGTCTTTGCAAAGCCGTAAATCTGAAAATATCGTAGCTATGAACGTAATACACCTTTGTTAGGTGTTGTTGTCAGTTATCTTTCTAAAACTGATCTAGTCGGCCGCGTTTGAGATTACATCTCTTCCACTCAATATTTGGTATAAAGTAAAAATAATAGTATTTCTATAAATTTCTATAATTTACTTTTGATTCTGTCTGTAGATTAATCAAGACTTATTTGTTTGCTATCGAGGTCGTTATTATTATTAAAACAATAGGCAAGGTAATCTAAAATAATAATTTTATGTTCTGCTCCTCTTTCGAATTTTCAATATAGGCCTTTCTGTTTTCTATCGGTATGCGACACGGAATGCATTTGTTCGTTCAATTTTATAAAAAACAGCTGAGTATTTATGACAAAAAATAATTCCTGAAGGAATAGAAATTTGCTACCCTAGGAAGAAATACTCAGGCTGATGAACTGTCTAATAAGTTAATACACATTTTCTACGTTGGCCGGCATTTTGATTTTTAAACCTGAAATGAATAGTTTTCGTATTTCACGGCGTGTGTAAGCTTAAGATAATATAATATCAATGGTCATGAACTAAGGCAATATATAAATTCAGAGACAGTTTTATTATTGTCATTTATATCACTTCAGATTTCATGGACACGAAGACTCCTTTATAAGGCTTGCGTGGACACATTCCAGCTTGTAGTGAACCTTTAAGAGATTTAAAATGACGCATCAACCGGGATCTTCATCTCTGAGTAACCCATAGGGAATTACATATAGGTCACCGGATAAGGCGTAGGAACTATGGAAAATATGGAAAATAAATAATAGCTATGGGGTAGAGTTTTTAGAGACTAATAACTTGGCTTAGATAAGACTACTGGACATCCGACCTACTTCTTAATAGTCTCACATTTGGCAGATGGTGACTTGCTTCCTATTAAATGGCCCCTACAAAGCGGCGTAGTGTCTGACATGGTCGGCTAAGGGGGTCGAGAGGTGTGCATCTATTCCATCATCGTTTTTCGACCCATAATTCCACTCCAAAAGTAAGAGAGGGTGGAGAGAACAAGTGCTGTCATTAACAGAAATTGCTAAAACTGCTAAAGTTTTAAGTTTTAACGCCACAAAACTTAAGGTTTCGAAGATTTTTTTTTAAAAGTCATTGTTTTTAAAAAATATTTCATGTACAGATTTTGCTAAGTTACTGTTTTATTATATGTATATTTCAGCCTCTGACCCTCCCCAAAATTTAACTTTAGATCCGCGCCTGTCCCACGCAGGTGGCTAGTCTCAGTGAAATTAGCCGCCATAGCTGAAATTGGTCAGGAAGCATCTTTCTTGTTACTTTCATAATATGAAATAACAATCCGACACAACCGGTAAGAGTACTGGCGCAGGAGTAAGTTATTATATTAATATTATACTTTACGTGCGATAGTCTAAAATGCAAGCCTAGTTACAGTAGTAGTAGTTAGTACAAACCAATACCAAAGTATTTACACTATTCAGAAACTTACGACGACATTATAAAAAATGTTAACCAGTAAGAAGATCAACAAAAAATACCATGGCGCAAGCGTCAAAAATGCTATCTATGTATGCTTATAAATTAAAATGAAACAATTAAGCATAAATTTATGTGTACACCAAACTCTAAGCAATCAATAGTTTTTGTCTTTTTATTAGCGATTAGTCCGCCTGATTTTTCCTGGCAGGTAGGAAGGTATTTCAGGATAACTGAACTAATTCTTAACTTGACTCTATTTTTCGTAAGTCGTACGAAAATTATTTTTTTTATAAATACAGTTGACATAAAACCAAATGTGTTCAAAATATATCATAAAATTAGCTTAAAACTTTGAATAATATAATAAAAAATGTTTTGAAAGTAAACATGCCTATTACAAGAATTCTTCAAGTAAATTAACCTTTTTTTTTTAACGTTGGGAAATACATTTACGCACGAGGTGTGGGACTCACCGGCAAAGTCAGTACTACCCACTAAAACCCAACAAAGCCTTCCCCCGTCTTAATGAGGCGTCGCAGGATCGCTTACGCATTCAACTACGACGCCCCGACGGCAGGTCTGCCGAAGCAGACCACAACAAACACGAGGTTGCTCCAAGGTCCACTCTGCTATCAGAGAAGTACCAGGAGCAACCCGCATGGTACACCGCCCTCCGAAGAGGGCCACCTCCCACCGCCCACCGAAGTGGGCCACCTCCCTGTGCGTTTCTTGGCTTCGCGTCCGGTTAGGTTGCCGGGCACTACTGAGCCCCCACCACCACGACAAGGTGAACGCACGTTGGGGGGGGGCAAGTAAATTAACCTTCGCCTAACCTCAAAAAATTGACTATGCCAATGAAAGTGGTAAAAAAATGTCTGACATTTAATAAGTTTAGTTTTATCCAACTTTAAATTAGATATTAAAACGTCACGGCAAATAAAAAAATCTCAAGATCAAATACTAAAAGTGAAGTTACAAGATCTAACAACTAAAAGATCTAAGGACCCTGTGCTGGTCAAAGCACTTTGGGTTGTCTGCGCGATGACGGAAAAAAAGACGGACTTCCGGTAGGCGGCCAGTGGTAAAACTTTTGCCAAAACCAATCAGCAAGTACCGAAGATGTACTTTTTTTTGAATGTAGGGAAATGTATTTATATATACCACCTGTTTATACCTTCATGCAGGTGGTTATATGGGACTCTCTGGATAGAGAAAGTAATTGAAAAAATATAAACTAACTTCAAAAATATATACCTAATAAAAAGTAAAAAATAACTGGGGTTTTCATTTACTATAGATACCTAATTAGAAATTTTTCCTCGCTTAAATGTTATCACTTAAAACACGCTTTTTGATAGGTGTGTCAATCTGCACAACATACTTGGTCTTGCGTCTACTCGATGGGTTTCGTTTTCTTAGCGGAGTTTGGCAACGGCCTAAGCGAATTTGCCGAAAAAACATTAGGTATATATAGTAGCAAGAGGACTACGGTTTGTAGACAAACTCTTTGGCGTTATTGTTCAGAAAAGATAAACCAGCTGGGCCATCACGAATGAATGTCTTTCGAATCTTTTACATTGCAAGGATTATAAGAGAATGCAGCATTTCTAAGGCTTTGATCTCTTAACATGACTTCTTTAAAGGTCAATTCATAACATATTCAACATAAGAAACAAAAAAAAAGGAGAGTTTTGACAATCTGCCATAACTCGCCTACCTGCAAAAAAATCGTGAACCGATCAAAATAATAATTAATTCGTAATTTCTAAACAAAATGCCAACACAAAAAAACAATACCATGTAATGAAATTTTAAAAATCAAAGCGTATGAAAAAAAAAACATTACAATACAAACATAATACGTAGAGACATATACAATCAAAATTTTGGTGAAAAACTTACTTTTTGTATATATAATACTTTCTTAGACTTACGCGAATATTTGGCATTTTAAATAAAACTATCTTTTCGGATTTTTTCGCGAATTTATTTTGATTTTTGGTTCCCGTTTGAATTTAGTTGTTATAAACACACTTTCACATTTATAATAGTAGTATAGATAACAAAATTCATCCTTTTTTAAATTAAAAAACAATCCGCGATTTTAATTTTTTTTAACCGTGGTAAAAAAATAATAAAAAATTAAAAGCGCGATCTGTGAACATGCACTCCAAATCCATTACCTAGTTGCAAAATTTTCAACGATCACTAAAATCATGCAATTTGATTTAGAATTTTTAAAAAACCAAAATATACCTCTTTGGAATCCATTAGTTATCCTTTTTTAGATTTACACGAACTTCAATAACAAATTGATACATATAATGCCATCTATTGACATATACTTGAACTATTTTTCTTTGTGGTGAGAACCCATGATTATAAGCGATTGACGCGAGAAAAGACTGCCGAAACTAATAACGCGTGTGACCTCCTCTTGCCAAAATCAAAGCTTGCATTCTTCTGGACATTTGGAATTTGGATTTCCGTTATGTACCGGTGTGTATTTAATATTCCATTTTCTATGAAGACTAACTCCGTACGCTCCGTCGAATTAATTGGTGCCCAAAACATATAACGGAACCTCCGCCATAAGGAGCGATTTCTACGAAACCCACATCCGCATAGCGTTCTCCTGGTCATCGCAGCACTCGCCGGCATCGATCCTCACTATGTAAAGAGATTTTAGCTTCATCAGAAAACAATACATTTTTCCAGTCCTCCAGAGTCCATAATACACAATTTCGAGCAAACTGAGATTGGGCAACTTGGTGCTCACACAGTAATTTAGCGCCCCGGGCCGAGCAGTAACTAAATATTGCCAGCCAAAAGCCTCCTCCAGACCGTCCTCAAGCTAACTACTACTAATCTTACTTCTTCAAGACTCTTCTTTATGTCCATACTTGACGCTTTACGATTGAATGAATTAATTTGCATAATATATCTAAAAGGTTTTAATAAGTAACATTTTCAACAATTCGCGCCATTAATAAAGCAATTTTACAATATCTAATCATTAGTTTTCTTTTGTTAAATAAAAAATTTAACTTTGGAACGTAAACTTTCATGCGGATACTTCAAATAATATGCTAAATTACATCGTCAAATTAATAAAGTCTCTTTCTTGTAATGTTCACTTTTAATACAAAAAATCTAGTGCCCCTTTATTTCAAATATAAAAGCTTTAGTTTATTTTCTGTAACTCTTTTTCAGATTGACTTATAGAAAAGTCATTTTTCTAAAAAACTGTTCTTACAGTTTTGCTAAAAACGTTTCGCTTCAAAGCCATTACCAAAAAAATCCAATAATAGACAAAAAGTACAAAAAAATAAAAAAAATATACACCTGTAGATGATTTAACAGTTTTAAAATTACTTTCTGTAAAATGATGTCCAGATAGCCTTCAATATTACAAAGATTGTGATTTCGCCAATTCTTATTGCTTTAGCCTACAATTTCTTCGTTTTTGTCTTTTAGGAACAAATGATATCCATTTTCTTTGCATCCTGGCACTGCATATTTATCATTTTAACTAAGTTTTAAATAAAATGAAAACAAAAAACATTCAGGCTATAGAGCTTGACTGAGCATCATAGTGATTGCGTCATCTGGCGGGAGGAAATGGCAAAATTCTTCCCCATTGAATTTTTTTATTTCCTTTCATGTTTTTTTTACTTTAATCGGCTTTAGTTTAGGATTCCACGCTTTTATTATTTGCTTTTCAGCATCTGCTTCTTTATGATATATAAATTTTTAATCTCTGCATATAATGTCAATCGTCATTTGTTATGTGTGAATTGACTCGTTTTAAAGTCAACTTTATTTGTCAATTGTCATCAATCATTCAATGATCATTGATCAATTTGAAAATTGTGTTATAATGTCAACAAGTAACAACACGAAAATTGAATTTAACTACTAAAAGTCTACTTTCGAATAACATATTATTGCGATAAACATGAACTAATAAAATACAATATATAAACTATATTTTTACTCAAGTTGCCCAATTAGAGATCACTACATAACCTAATAATGGATACAGTATTTATGAAACCAGTACAACCACACGTATTCAAAGCTTTAAAAGACGTGGATATACAAACACTTATTAAATGTTCAACAGATGAAATAAGGCCTATAATACCGTGCCTTGTACGTATGGCACTTATAGCACCATTAGACGTAACAAGATACTGTGCAGAAGCTAAAAAAGATATTCTAACACTTTTGTCAGGAATTGATTTAGTGAATTTTATTGTATCCCTTCTCTCTATTGAATTCCATGCTCTAGAGGTTGATCTTAAAAAAGAACAGCAAATGCGGTTAGTCGCTTTAATATAAAATCTATTTAAATATTGTTTCATGCATCCATTTTCATGTATAAAAAGTTGTTGATAAAATTAAACTCTTTTACTTTATTTAACAGGCAAAAAAGTGGCTCACAGACTACAGAATCCTTTCTAATACAAAATATTGTAAATGGAATAGCAAATGACTTTGAACAATCAGATTCAGCAAGGAGAGTTCGTCTTGTCCTATCAGAATTATTACAAATGCAAGCACAGCTTGCAGAGTATAATCAAAGTAAAAATATTACAAATGGTGAAGCACCTGTTAAACCTTCAGAACTATTTGATAATGAAGTGTATCTTGAAGAAATTACAGATGTTATATGTATTAGCCTTGCAGAGTTACCAAATTTACTTAATATTTGTGACATAGTTGAAGTACTCCTTCATGTAAATAAAGGCCCTATAATAATCTCATGGGTTGTAGCAAATATGCCTGACACTTTATTAGATGGTAAATAAAAAATTCAGGTATGTTTTTTGTTAAATATGTACATAATTTTTAAAAAGTGTTAATTTTTAAGTGGCCGAATCACTTGTACTAAATGCGGAGAGGAGTGAAGAAGGTGGTATCAGAGCTAAAACTCTTTCAACATTATGTGATGCTTGTCCATATATAGCAGCAGCAGTTAGAGCTAAAGCTGTTTCTGCTTCACGGTTGCCATGTTTAGTCATAAATCTTACTTTGACCCATCATCAGGAAGACTTGGTAATGATATTGCATATTTTATTAAACTAATGAGATGTAAAATATAGTATGCAGTTATGATAACTAATTATTATTATTTTTAAGGTATCTTTCATATCTGGACTTTTACTAGGCTCAGATCAAACTTCCAGAGCATGGTTTGCAACATTTCTACGTAACTCACATAAAAGAGGAAAAGGAGATGGACATTCAACTTTAATAAAATTACGTCATGAACTCTTAAATAGACTAAAAGAAGCAATTGCTGGAGTTGAGGCCTCAGCTTTACTCAGATTGTACTGTGCCTTAAGAGGCATAGCTGGAATTAAATTTCAAGATGATGAAGTATCAGGGCTTCTTAGATTGGTCACTCAAAAGCCACCCCCAACACCAGCAGGTGTTCGGTTTGTTTCTCTCAGTCTTTGTATGATTTTAGCATGTCCATCTCTTATGGGTTAGTATATTTTATTCAATATTTTAAATATATTTTTACATAAAATACAACTATTATACATGACATCGCAATTCTTACAGCTGCTCCAGAACATGAAAAGAAAGCTATTGAATGGGTACAATGGCTTGTTAAAGAAGAAGCATATTTTGAAAGGTATAATAATATTAAGTCATTTTTGGAACAAAGTTTCATCACTACAAAATATAAACTTTGAATGTTGTTAATTCAAAAGTACTTAATTTAAAACAAAAAAATGCAAATTATAGGTCCTGAATGTTTTATTACAATTTTCAGTAATTCTGGAGTTACAGCATCTTTTGGAGAAATGTTACTACTAATAGCTATTCATTTTCATTCTGGACAATTGGCAGCTGTTGGTGAACTAGTATGTGCTACATTAGGAATGCGTGTGCCAGTCCGTCCTAATGGATTAGCACGAATAAAACAAGCATTTACTCAAGAAATATTCACTGAACAGGTACTTTCCAATACTTACTAATATCGGTCTACTAAGCACTGAACCATAACTGTTGACTAACAAAGTGGCACCAAGAGGACTAGTGTGCACAGGAGACATGGCTGTGAGGTTGACGTGTTGAACTGTAACTTGCCACGCGATGGCACTACAGCGTCATAACTCTGAATCCTTCACCATGTAAATTGGTATTTTAGACAACTCTTTTATTTGGAGGGATTTCTGTCTAGGCCAATAAACTTACTGTATGACTTTTTATACTATGGTAATACTTAAATGAAATATTTTGTTAAGCTTCTTCTTTCACTCAGTAGCAAATCAATGTTGTATTTTACTTGAGCCAAAGAGCTAATTTTAATATAGGCTAATTTTATAAACGGTAGGTGTGCTCTGTAAGTTCTGTAAGTCTATTCTAGTAAGGTAGTGCTTGCACCCACTTTTGTTCTAGTTGTGTAACTATTTATCAGTATCCCAATGTTGTTTTGGGTAAATCAACTTATATATTATTATTTTTTCTTAAATAGTAAATTAATCTTAATAGAGAAAAATTCAAATCATTAACAATAAAAAGAAAATAATATGTAATAATGGAATCTTAATTCCATTTATCACCATCCATATTGCAAAACGATTTGTTCTTTCGTTGTAATGATATTGTTATTGAACTTGATTTTATTTGTATAATATACTTCTATATCATTATGACTTGTTTCAGGTTGTTACATCACATGCTGTCAAAGTACCAGTAACAGCAAATTTAAACAGTAATATTACGGGATATTTACCCGTTCATTGCATTCATCAATTACTTAAATCTCGAGCGTTTTCTAAACATAAAGTTCCAATAAAGAATTGGATATACAAACAAATATGCAATTGTACGGCTCCTCTACATCCCGTCATGCCTGCACTTGTTGAGGTTTATGTTAACTCGATTCTCGTTATCAATAACAAAGGCTCCAATGAATACTTTAACAAGCCTATTACTGAAGAGGAGATACGGCAAGTATTCAGAAATTCTATATTTGGCGTAAACTTCGACTCTCAAATTAAACCATTTACACCTATGGAGACTGACGACGAAACATCAATCGATGTGAACATACAAAAACCGACTTTAGCCTCACAGTTGCTACTTATATATTATCTACTTCTCTATGAAGATGTCAGACTTGCAAATTCTGCAACTCTCATAGCAAATGGGAGAAAAATTAAAAGCTATTCAACAGCTTTCTTATCTGAATTGCCGATCAAATACCTACTGCACCAGGCACAAAAGGATCAAATGAGCTACGGCGGTCTTTTTAGTCCACTACTTCGATTGCTTGCTACACATTTTCCGCAACTTTCCCTTGTAGACGATTGGATGGACGACCAAGTGTTTGGGGATACGTGTCGTCACCAGGTCGACGTTAATATTTCCGAAACATCAATTGATGAAGCTTTTCAAAGCATCGAAGGGAATCCATACAAAACTGGTAAGATTTTAAAAGCCATGCTAAACAAGAACCCTACAGATATTTGGCCATTTGCAGAGATATTTGTTAGAAATGTGAAAAGTGTTCTTGGAGATCAAGTACCGAGACATATTCAAGAACTTTATCGCGAAGTTTGGCTTAGACTTAACACAGTTCTACCTCGCTGTCTGTGGATAATGACTATAAATGCTTTACTCGATATTAATAATGGAAACGCACGGAATGTTACAATCACTCAAGAAAATGTTTTAGTAGATCCCTTGCAAGTACTCCGTTGCGATATCAGAGTGTTTAGATGTGGCCCCATACTTAAAATAATTCTTCGAATATTAGAAGCTAGTTTAGCTGCTTCTCGAAGCCAATTGAGTCGTCACTTGTTAGACAAGCCACTACTAGAAAAGAGTGGTCAATTAACATGTGATTCTGAAAGGGAAGAATTAAAAAACGCCTTAGTGGCCGCACAAGAAAGCGCGGCACTTCAAATTCTCCTGGAAGCTTGTCTAGAAACAGAAGAGGATCAGCTAAAACCAGAGTTGATGTGGTCGTTACGAGAAGTCAGGAGTATTATTTGTTCATTTTTGCATCAAATATTTATCGCCGAACCATCTTTAGCTAAACTGGTGCATTTCCAAGGGTATCCTAGAGAACTCTTACATGTCACCGTCCAGGGAATACCATCAATGCACATTTGCTTAGACTTCATTCCAGAACTGTTGAGTCAAGCTTCACTAGAAAAGCAAATATTCGCAGTTGATTTAGTATCTCATTTATCAATTCAATATGCTTTACCTAAAGCAATGTCTATCGCAAGGCTATGTGTGAACACCCTGTCTACTTTGCTATCAGTACTCCCGAGTGATTTACGCCTGGAGCTCTTTCAACCAGTCCTCAAGTCATTTGTAAGAATTTGTACGGCATTTCCTTCTCTCCTCGAAGATATCACATCACTGTTGCTGCAATTAGGCAGAATATGCGAGTCTCAAGTATCTCTTGGACACTGTTGGAATGATGCGAATATATTGGGAGAAGCGGCATACGTACAGGCGGATGCTCAAAGCGACAGTAAAGTATTAGTTGCAGAAGTTCTATGTAGAGATATCAGAGAAACAATGTCCGAAATAATTGAAAAGGCTCTTTTAAATGATAAGCTATATTAAAATATTGATTTAAAATTACCAAATGTTGTTTTATTACTATTCTGTAACTGGATAAAAATAACTTAATTGGGTTTGGGTGAAATTGTTTTATTTTAGCAAATAGAGAATTACTTATAAATATTAATACATTATATGTAATGTGTTCAGTGGTTCAACTGGATTTTGTGTTTCAAGTTGTCTGTACATCCAAGCACATTGATTCCGGGCTACTATGTTGCCAATGTCATTATACAGTTGTGCCTGAAAAATAAAATTACAAATATTTAAAAGTAAGGTAATATATTAAAAAAAATACAAAATTAAAACATTACATAATTTCTTTAAAAAAAACGTGTGCAAGCATTTTGCCTTGATACTTGATATTTAATATTGTTAAAGCACTTATAAATAAACAAATATTATATTTGTTTTTTTAATTATTTTTTGCTAACTTTTTTTACACTGATATAGTTTATAAGTAGGCCGACAAAAGACCGGCTGTAAGCGTCGTAATAGTGATTAATTCTTACTATAATATTTTCATTACAGCATGGTGCCGGTAACATTAGTCAAACCATTCCTTTTCACATTAATGTTCTTATGATTTACACCCATGGCGCAACATTTCAGCTCTAACGTAAACATTACGAGCGTGGGGTCAATCATTAATAACTGTATTAAGTCAAATAATTTAACTTATAATATGTAACTATTTTTAAAATATATTCAAAATATACAAAAACAATGTTAAAATGGATGGAAGAAATTAAAAATCACCTAATTTCTATTAAGGTGTCTCAAAATAGAGTACTAGTATAAATAATGTTCAATCTATATGGCAAGACAATACAAATTAATGGACGAAGTTAATAACATTCATTATGATCGCCTGAAGAAATCTAATCTAATATATTTAAACGAGCAAATTTTGTATATATATATTTATATATATATATATATATATATATATATATATATATATATATATATAATCTGAATCTCGGAAACGGCTCCAACGATTTTCATGAAATTTATGAAACAGGGGGTTTCGGGGGCGATATATCGATCTAGATTAGTCTAATGTCTGGGAAAACACGTGTTTTCAAATTTTCATGCGGTTTTCTTTCGCATTATTCCACGCAAAAATATATGGTCGATAATTTCGAAAGTTAGGGCGTAAGCATCGTGTTCAAGCGGCCAAGGCGCATGATTGACAATTATAGGTGTCCGGGTTCGAATCCCGGTCCCGGTTTTTTAAAGAAAATTGTACTTTGTACCAAAAACTCCGAGCTAAGCTCGGTGGCCCAGGTACTAATAAAAAATTGTGAAACGTTGCGTAAAACAATAGTATTGTATTCAGCCCTTTTTAACGTCCCACTGCTGGGCACGGGCCTCCCTTCAATACGAGGGGGATCAGGCCATAGTCGCTGGCCAAGTGCGGGTTGGCGGACTTCACGTCTTTCGAAAACTTGCTAGGTTTTCTCAGACATGCGGTTTCCTCACGATGTTTTCCTTCGCCTTCCATTACTTGCCTTACGCAAGTGGTAATCATGTTAGAAATGATTCGCACATGAAAATATCAGAGGTGCGAGACCCGGGATTTGAACCCACTCACTCGGTTTCCCAAGCGAGCACCTTAACACTGGGCTACTATTGCCTCTACCAAAATAATAGTAGTTATTAATTAACCAAAACTGATCCTAACATCCTTTAAAATATTAGCTCATTAATACAGCAGGATCTGAGAAAAACCATAATAAAAATAATGCGATTTGTTACACGTGTAACGTCTCAATTAGATATTATTATTACGATGGATGGTAGATATTAATTATGAGAAGTACTTTTTGTATGTTATATAATCTGTTTTTAAATTACAATTCAAGAACAAAAATAAATTACGTACGCACGTTCTAAATAAATTTTGTCACACAACGGATCTCGAGAGAAAGTTGATTATATAAAAAAGTATAATTAATTAATTGAATTACTTTAAAGTATAATTAATTAATTGAATTAATTAAATGAATTACGCAAATTTGAGTTACGAGCGCATTATTTCGTTTCTCTTCAATTAGAATATTTAAAAAAACTTTTTGGGGTCTATTTTTTTATTTTTTGTTAGTTTAACACAACTTTAATAACAAATCGATACATGTAACATCATCTATCGACATTTATTGGAACTAATTTTTCTTTGTTCGTGATGAGAGTGTGAGACCGCATAATGGTACTGACTAGTGTCACCATGTTATAATGAAAATGGTATAAAAAGTATTTAGAGACTATACCAATAAAAAGCTTGAAATGTTAGAAGTAAGCCAAAAAATTTCTGATAATCAGTTAACATTGTCAGATTAAAATAAAACTCAAAATAAATCCGCGAAATAATCCAAAAAGATAGTTTTATCTATACTAATATTATAAGAGGTAAAGTTTGTAACGTTATAGAAGGTAATCAATCCAGGGTCTCACTATCTTCTTACAAAAAATTTGTAAGAAGATAGTGAGATCCTGGGAAGGACATACGATTCTTTTTATCTCGGAAATCATCCCTTAAGGGGGTGAAAATGGGGATGAAAGTTTGTATGGGGAATCAAAACTAAATCAAAACAACAAAACAAAATCAAAAATAAAACTAATATGCCAAATTCGAACGTCTTCTACTGGCCGATTTCGGCCGCGGCAGCCAATCTCACTGAGACTAGCCATATGGACAGGAAATATTATAGTACACAATAATTATTATGCGCGCGCAAACACAAGTGCACTCTATTCTTTTTCACTTCGACACGTCTAGCGGTGAGAGTGTCGGCGCAGGCCCGACCGACGCGGCTTTACGTGCTCTCCGAGGCACGAGAGTCGAACACCACCAACTTCCAACAGAAAAAGTCAATAGTTAAACTTTTTTTTTTTTAACGTTGGGAAATGCATTTACGCACGAAGTGTGGGACTCACCGGCAAAGCCAGTACTACCCACTAAAACCCAACAAAGCCTTCCCCCGTCTTAACGTCGCAGGATCGCTTACGCATTCAACTACGAACTTGGCCCAACCCAGTACTCGAACCCAGGATCTCCAGATCTGCACCCATACATGCTAGCCACTAGAGCATCGAGGCACTACATAGTATAAAACGAAATCGCTTATCGCCGACTGTCTGTCCCTATGTATGCTTAGATCTTTAAAACTACGCAACGGATTTTGGTGCGTTTTTTTTAATAGATAGAATGATTCAAGAGGAAGGTTTATATGTACAATACATGCATATTATAGTACAGAATAACCGAGAAATTCAAAGATTTGTATGAAATACTAACAACCGTTAAAACGTACCTAGGGACGAATGAGTCACTAGTCTTTATATATATAATTCTTCTGTGAGTGTGTATGTCACTGAACTTCTCTCAAACGACTGGACCGATTTTGATGAAATTTTTTGTGTGTGTTCAAGGGGATCTGGGAGTGGTTTAGATTCACAATTTGAATAATAATTTTCATCAAAGAAAATATTAAAAAAAGTTTGAAATTTTCAAATTAAAGACGTGTAGACAGGACAACGTCTGTCGGGTCCGCTAGTTCCTATATAAAATACATGTTACCTGTAGATACCAGGTGTGCAAGAGCCGCGCCTGCGCGCCCACCTTGGCGAAGTTCTCCTTGACGGTGTCGAGCGCGCGGCAGCAGGAGCGCAGCGCGTGCGCGCGCGCCTCGCCCGCCGGCGCCGCCGTCGCCACGCGGCACTTCGTGTATAGTAGTAGTCCTGGAAGAAATAATACCATATAAAACATGTATGTATTTAAATAAATATGTTGGAGTATTAACACACAACACCATCTAGTTCCATGGTAAGCTACGAGACGTGTGTTGTAGGTACCAGATAGTTGATACATTACATATATATAACTTTAAATACATACATGATACATATAATAAATATAAACACCCATGACTGAAGTACAGACATTCGTGCTCATCATACAAAAGAAGCGGGACTCGAAGCCGCGACCGCTGACACAGCAAGTAGGGTTACTACAAACTGAGCCAAACGCGTCGTCAAATATTTATATATGCGCAATAAGTATAATATTAAGTCGCCGTAGGTGACTTTTAATCATGGTTTTATTTATTTCCTTCTTAGTTTGACGCTAATATTTGATATTTTAAATTTATACATATAATAAAATTGTAACTAAGCCGGTACCGTACATTAAATATTTTTTGAAAAATCTTATTGAAATAAACATTATTATCGTTACAGAGGCAGAACCTATAGTTTTTAGAATTTTTGTCTGTCTGTTACCGCATCACAGAAAAACAACTGGAAGGATTTTGATGAAATTTGGTATGGTGATAGCTGGTTATCCGGGTCAACATATAGGATACTTTTTACCGCGGGAAAATATTTCATTTCAGAGAAAAAATACAAAAACTGCAATGTAAGAGTATACTGACATGTAAAACCTAAGAATTTGGCTTTTGGTCATCTGAACGCGGGAGGAGCCGCAGGCATTGCTAGTATAATATAAAATATAATAAATATAACTATTTTTTCGCCATTTATTTTATAATAAATTTTGCGACGTAAAAAACTGACTCTGAATAATTGTCTAAAAAAATTAAAAGTAATAGTTGTCACCATTTTTAAAGAACAACAATAAAAGTTAACTTATTGAGCCAAAAGGCAAACTACAAAGACCAAAAATAATTTAATTAAAAAAATTCGATTTTTCTAGAAAAAAGGTTACCTCTAGCTGAATCATAAGCGCTCCCGTGTTCCATGATTAAGGGCAAAACCCTGCGGGTCAACGAGAGAGCATTCTTCGTACACCCCATATGTAGTTGAACATTTGCTATATGCATTTCAGCCGTTGCTGCCAAATAATGCAGATGGTACTTCCTCGCTAGCGACAGTGCTTCGTTTAAAAGCATAATATTCGTTGAACGAATGCTACTGAAAGTGTGTTGAACCTCTGCCATCATTATCATTGCTTTAACTCTTAAAGACATGTAGTGCAAACTGTCATCCTCTGTTTTACAGTAGTCGAGGATGTCATGTAAAGTTTCCAAGGCGTCTGTTGCGTCGCCCTTCAGGAAATACATCTCCGCTCGCAGCAGCTGGCTTTCCCACCGATCGTACGACGCAAGTTGCCGTATACTTTGATCTGCTTCCTCCCATTTTGCTGCCAAAATAATTAATTAATTTTAGACGTAACATTATGTATTTCAACTATTTCAATTTTGTTATATTTTTTTCTACCTTATAAGACTCCACGCTTTCACTAAGTAACTCTAGCACTCTAACTTTTTACATATTACTTTAAGGCTCGTATTTCATAACAGAATAAAAATCAGTCAGTAGTCAGTACTATATGGAGTACACAACTTCATATCGCCTATGAAATGTAACCAGGTGGAAATTAGGCCAGACCGATCCATGCACTTGTTTCATATATCACACTTATTACTTAAACCACGAAAGCAATGAAAACTTTTTTATAGCTCCATAGAAATCATTAAAATCGATCAGACTAAAATGACAACTTTATTGAGATCCATCAGGTGGGACCGCAAAACCTGTATGTACTCGTATGCAGGTGGTATGCGTAAATGTATTTCCCAACGTTAAAAAACAAATGACAAGTGAGGTTTTTTTTATACTGGCACACCTCCGATGTGGGAGTAGAAGTCGTTTTTTACATTTTCTTATATTTACAATTTTAAAGTAATTTTGTAGGAGGGGCAATGACTCTATACTGTAGTTCTAGGTGTAAATATAATTTTGGTTTATTTTTAACTTAATCTTATTACAGGCTTATCACTATCACATGATTCGTATTTGTACTTATACTTCTATGACAAGTGAGGTCGCGGTCTGGTAGTAGCAGTTACCTGCACGCAGGGCGGCGGCGGCGCGGTGCGCGGCGGCGGCGGCCAGCACCTGCGGCGCGGCGAACAGCGAGGCCAGCGCCGCCGCCAGCGCGCAGCGCCCGCGCCACGCCGCCGCGCACAGCGCGCCCGCGCCCGCCGCGCCGCTCTCCGCCCACTGCCACACGCTGCCGTAGCCCACATTGCATTCTATATTATAAAAAAAAATAATAGTAAGGCAGATTCGCTAGTATTTGTCTTGAATCAAAACACATCAAATTGATAAATAAAAAAAAAATTACTTGTATTTAAGTTCAACAGCAACTGGCAATTAACTGATGCCATTTCCGTTTTGCCATAGAGTCCCCATAATGCGGCGGTGTTGGCGAGCCCCGCCATGGTTAAGTCGGTCATAGAGTGTAGATAATTAATAGAGTCTCCTTTAGTTATGATCTGAAACAAATATTTCCATAATTTTCATATTATCATCAATTTCCATAATTTTCATATCTAAATCTAATAAACCCATTTGCAAAAAAAACGGGCACCCAAAACTTTTCTGTATAACTATGGAAATCTTAAACAAAAGAGGTTTTATATGCATTCAATTAATTAGAAACAATTTTCTACGTATTAAAAAGTACTGGCAAGTAAAATAAAATGTTCCAAATTTGAAAATTTCAAAGTTATTTAAAAATATTCAATTCGATTCGAGCATTCGCTCGCAGTTTGTGTTTAGATATTGTGCTATAAATAAATAAAAAAGGCTTTTTTGTAATTTTTATGAATTGATATTGATGTAAAATTGTTTAAATAAAAGGCAGACAAGACCATTATCGCTGGTAATATAGTGACTCTTCTTCAAGAAGGTTGTACTTAATGTTATGTGTCGGAACGGTTTGGTGTCAGTGGTTCCACTGTTCAGAGGACCTGGACTCGGTTTCAAGAAACCGATTCTTTGAAAAGAAGACCGGGATCAGGAAGAAAACGATGTACAATCTTGAAGATGTTAGAAATGTGAGTGTTAGCGTATGGACTGTCAGGAGGAGACTTCTAGAAGTCAATATACACAGTCGAAGACAAGCTAGAGGTCCTAAATTACTCCGTGGGCACCGTATTGCAAGGTTAAGATTTTCCCAAAATTGTGCGACGTGGACTGATGTAGAATGGAGCAAGGTTTTATTTTCTGATGAAGCAAGAATCTCTTTATTTGGTGAAGACCGACGTCGTAAAGTGCTAAGAAGACCAGGAGAACGTTATGCAGAGGTAAGTTTTGAAGAAATTACGCCGTACGTTGGAGGCTCTATCATCTTTTGGGCTGGCATAACTTCTGAAGATCGTACAGAGTTAGTTTTCGTAGAAAATGGCTCTCTAAATGCACAACGCTACATCACGGAACTCTTAATTCCTCATGCACAACCAGCGTTAGCTGTTACAGGAAGTGCTGCTGTGTTTATGGACGACAATGCTCGAGCACACCGAGCGGGCGACGTAGACGCTTACTTAAGTGAAGTCGGGATCCGCCGTTTAGATTGGCCAGCACGAAGTCCCGACCTCAATCCTATTGAGCATCTATGGGACTTTCTAAAACGACGTGTTAGAGAGCTGTACACCCAGCCCCACAGAACATCCGAGAGCTTAAAATTGCTATTACGGCCGAATGGGAGCGTATTCCTCAAGTACTCATAAAAAAACTCATACAAAGCATGCCACGAAGAATAGCAGCAGTTATTTCAGCCAGAGGAGGCTCCCCCCCAACGTGCGTTCACCTTGTCGTGGTGGGGGGGCTCAGTAGTAGTAGCGCAGCTAAGAAACGCACAGGGAGGTTGCCCACTTCGGTGGGCGGTGGGAGGTGGCCCTCTTCGGGGGGCGGTGTACCTTGCGGGTTGCTCCTGGTACTTCTTTGATAGCAGAGTGGACCTTGGAGCAACCCCATGGTTGTGGTGGTCTGCTTTGGCAGACCTGCCGTCGGGGCGTCGTAGTTGAATGCGTAAGCGATCCTGCGACGCCCCATTAAGACGGGGGAAGGTTTTGTTGGGTTTTAGTGGGTAGTACTGGCTGTATTACGCCGGTGAGTCCCACACGTCGTGCGTAAATGCATTTCCCAACGTTAAAAAAAAAAAAAAAAAGCCAGAGGAGGCTACAATCGATATTAATTTTTTATTTTCTTGTTTGTAACTTTTAGTAAATAAAGGAGAGAAAGTCAATTGAAGTTACCTTATTTTTTTATCAAAATGAGTATTTTCCTAAAAATCAACATAAAGCAAATTAAGATCGACTTAATTACCAAACAAAAGTGTTTTTACATCAGTAAATAATATTTATTTTATTTTGTTGCATCAAATCCCTTTTACAACTGTCAATACTAGAAGTACTCGAATAAATCAAAAGTGCCTGTTTTTTTAGTGTATAATACTTTCTTAGATTTACGCGAATGTTTGACATTATTAAATAAAACTATCTTTTCGGATTATTTCGCGGATTTATTTTGATTTTTGGTTCCCGACGTTTCGAATGCTTTACAGCATCCATGGTCACGGGAGAGACCGTCGGTTTTAAACCGATATCGCCCTAGAATGATTCGAGAAGCCATAGAAATTAAAAAACATCCAAATTTCAATAGGGAAGATGGCTGGGTACTACCATCGTCATGGGATCCTGTTATTAATATAATAAAATCAAATAATAAATATAAACATAACAGACAGGCAGATGTAGTAAGTTCATACTGTGTAGATCAAAATGACAGCTTATCAGATTAATATTTTTCATTTTTCATTTGTAAAAGTATATATTAATAGTGTTGCTTAGTAAGTTGTTTTTAAACAATGAACAATTATATGGCTTAAATAATTAATACTATATTTTCAAAAATCAAAATAAATCCGCGAAATAATCCGAAAAGATAGTTTTATTTAACAAAGGAGTGTATATAAAATTCTCATGTCACAGTGTTTGTAACAAAACTCCTCCGAAACGGCGTGACCAATTCTTATGAAATTTTGTGTGTACCTACTGAATATAGGTCTGAATATAGGACGTAAACTATTTTTCATACCCCTAAGTAATAAGGGTGTCCACCCCAAAAACAAAAAAAATATATTTTTAGACAAAAAATTTTATTTTAATTTTTTTTTGATTCAGTAATAAAAAATGCATACAAATCTAAATTTTTACTAGGGACGAATCCGAACGGAGCGAGGGTGCGTCGCTAGTGTATCATAAAATATAAGTAATTATCCATAAATTATTATATGTCGATTACCATATAACACGCTTTATGAAGGAAAAGAAAAAAGAACTATTATATGAATCCCACACTAATGGAAAAGCAAATGTAAAATTATCCAAATTCAAAATAAACGGACGGCCAGAAAAAGCAATCAATATAAAATTTAAATATTAATTTGTATATAATAAGCATGAAAATGTATCAGTACCTGGAACACTTCCGAGGGGCGCGCGGCGTTGACGGCGGCGTGCTGCGCCATGAGCTGCACGGCGGAGGCGGCGGCGCGCGGCGGGCGCGGCACGCGGGACAGCAGCGCGGCGCGGCGCGCGCGCCCGCCCGCCAGCGCGCCCCACGCCGCCGCGTGCGCCAGGCACGCGCCGTCCGCCGCCTCCTGCGCCGTCGCCAGCGCCTCGCGCACGCCCTCCATTGCGACTGACCTGCCACACAACTGCTTGTATTCAGCCATTTTTAAACTTCCACCGCTGGGCACAAATCTCCCTTTAATACGAGGACGATTAGGCCACAGTCCATTTCACTGACCAAGTGCGGGTTGGCGGACTTCACATGTCTTTCGAAAATGTGCTAGATACTCTTAGACATGCAGGTTTCCTCATGATGTTTTCCTTTACTTTATTACCGCCTAATCAACTGTTGCCGTATATTTTATTGTAAAAACATAGTTTTCTTATACCATTCTTTTTATTTATTAATTACTAGCGTTTTCCCGTGGCTCCGCCCGCGATATTTAATTGTGTATTACGAAATCTTTATAAATTATAGCCTATGTATTACTCTGATGTATGAGCTATATATATATAATGTAAAGTATCATCAAAATCCGTTTCGCAGTTTTACGTGAAAGTTACAACTTTCGTAGTCATAAGTGACTTGGCTGATCCGACAGATATTGTTATAAATATGACATACATTTATAAAAGTACCCTTTAATGTACTGTGCATCCATTAAATGCTAAGATATTGATGATAAAAAGAAGGATCCTTTTTCATTGAAAGAAATATATCTCAGGAAAAAATCGACATAAAGAGTTTAGTACAAAAAAAATTGTTTATTTTTTACATTTTTTATGATTACTTAAAAGAAATATGACTTAATTTTATAAATATCAACTGATTTTTTTTAAATTATCTGTTTAACTAAGGAAAAAACAAGATTCGACTATGAATGAATTTCATTTCTTCTGTAATTACCTAAAAATCATTTTTTTCAGAAAAGAACAATAAATCTAACTCTAAAATCAATCAAAAACTAATAAAATATCGATGAATTCAAAAAAATTATAACATAGATTCTACGGCAAAAAAATACTAATTAAAAACTTAAGGACACAATCTTTTTCGTTTTTTCCCGAAAAATACATTGGTGTAAACAGTTTATTACAATTTGGTCAATAAAATACACTTCTTCAATGATAATTGAAAAAAATGTAGTTTACAAAGTAAAAATTGTCGATTTCTCCAATTTTTAAGTGTGTTTTTACCGGACAACCATACAATGTTTTTATTTTTTTCAAAAAGTAGAGTTCAAGACGAAAAGAATGAGCCCTATCTGAAAATTGAACGATTTTTTTTAAATGTAAACGTCCACTGAAATTGCATTTCAATTTCAATTTTTGTTATTTATTAATGTATTTCGAAGATTACATTCCCTTAGTTTCAAAAAGTCAAAAGATTATTCTAGAAATTAAAAATAAAAAACCTATAAAAAGTAAAAAACCGAGTTTTTTGCAAACATCTCGAAAACTTTGAGGTTATTGTAAAAAGTGTTATTCATAAAAGTTGAAGATTTTTACTAGATCTACAACTTTTGTCGAAAACATTTTTCGATAGAACGTCACAGTAAGCCGGAAATTGAAAAAAACTATTTGCAACGCTTTGTGTCCCCCCCCCCCATTTCTCGGGGGTAGCTGGGCATCAGGGGCATTTTACGAATTTCTATTCCATATATACCTGCTAACATTTTTAAATCATAAAACTTCAGGATTTCAATATTTTGTTCCCAAACCAGATTCCCATTTGGACTAATAACAAACTAAACATCCCAACTTTAATTTTTTTGTTTTGGATGGTAACTGGTAATGGTAAGTTTTATAAAAGTACTTACTTATTTAAAAGCTAAATTAAGCAGTTTATCAGAAGATAATTTTAATAAAAGTATATTGAAAATTACAGAAAATTAACTTACTTATGCCCAAACTGTGTATGCATCGCAGCTCTATTAAGTGCTGCATAACGAAAGTTTTTATTTCTGTCATTCAATGAATTGCCACTTCCGCATATATTGAAAACTGCACGATCAAAACAGTTATAAAGTGAATCTTGTGCACCACAAAATTCTTTCATCCTTATGCAATTCAAAAAGCTAAGAAAATGCTGAAAAATAAGTTTTACTTGTACTTGTACTTTTTAGTTTCCCTCGAAATACACAAATAAATGATATTTAACTAAAGTACTTACTATATCAGGATATTCAGGTATATCATTTATTATCTGCATTATTGTCTTTTGAAGTTGTTTAGGAGGCAAAGCTTTTTTTTCATTTATTTGCAATAAATTAGCCTGTTGTGCTGTAAAAAGCTCTGCCTGTTTTCTTGACCACTGACATTCTTCAAAGTTACTGTCATTATAAAAATTATATACAAGCCTTATAAGTATAAAGTAGCTATATTGATATCTACATTTATATCACAAAAAAGATGTCAATATATGGACATGATTTTAATGTAAATATAATAAAACTTTTGCATGCAAAGTTGTTCAATAATAGCAAAAAAGCAGATACTATTGTATTAATATATTATACTAACGTGTCTCTCTCTAACATATTCATCTTTGGAAATATTTCTTGAGGTTTTAATTCTTCTGAAAGAACAGGTGATATAGATCTTCCTGTGGGTGGGACTTCAACATTGTTTAGCTTCTATAATAAAATGATATGCAACACATATTACAAGTACTGAATGCTTCAAATATTTTAAGCTATAACCAGACTGAAGTAAAATACGAAAATAATATCTGTCCAGTTTCTTTATGTGTAGTAGAGTATATGTACTATATATTTATTTAATACATAGCACTTAATTCAATGACTTTTAAGACAATAGTGTCACTTTATGAAAGTTTTGTTAGTTTTTAATAGTAGTTTTGAATATACATAACATTGATAGAAATGATTTTCTATAAATTATCTTACATTTAATTTACCTACCTCTTTGCTTAACGATCTCATCATTAGTCCAGGTCTTCCTTTTTGATAATATATACAAAATGATTTATAAAGGGAAGCGACTTGCACAAAAGTTAGTTTATCCAAATATAACATTATTCTACGTAAATAGAAACCTGTTATAAAACCAAAAATATTATTGTTATTATTTCAATTAATTCCACTTAAATGTGTAGAAAATGTTTATTTTAATCTCACCTAATACACTACATCTTGTTATGATACATGGATTAGTTTCATTATGCTCAACCATAAGTTTATCAATAGTTGAAGTAACACAATCCATGAGAGCATTTATTCCATTGACATATATGTTTTGTAGTCTTACACAAAAATTTTGTAAATGTACACTTAAAAGATTATATCTTCCATCAGTTAATAGGGCCTCTAATTCCTTAAACTCCATATCTGGACACTTTTTAAAATAATGGTTGAATTAGTAATGGAATATTCAATTCAATATACCTTTATGTCTATAAAATATTAAGTTCACCTGAATAAGTTTTAACGCAAGTAGACAAAAATCTTTTCTGTATTTTGGAGGCATCGTACGATCTATCATATCTTTAGCTACAATTGAAAACAAATTAAATATAATATCAATTATCAAGAGATTCGTTTTTTCAACATAATTTGTATATATTTTCTTCTTATTTACTGTACCTTCCATTTTTAACAACCCATATTCTCTTATAAACGCAACAACGGCAATTTTATGCGGTGTAATATTATCCACATTACCTTTTATGTTAATTAATTTAATAAAATCTATATTATCATTTCCTAGCTCCATAATCACTTATTTATTTGTATCATGGATGACAAAACAAAATTTGGAATTTGTATTTTGTTGTTTACTTGATAAGTGATAACTTGATAAGTGACATTAAACATGGATGACATTGACAAAAAAAGTCGTTAAAGTTTGAAACAAGGATGACAATGGTTTGAAATTTTTACTTACCACAGACTATAATAAATAGAGACCACAGACGAATAATACAAGTAAAGAACCTAGTTTATACACATGACTCCCAGAATCCAGATAGAGCAAAATATAGCCACATGGACCACATGTACCCCTTTTGGATAGCAATAGTTATTGCCAAAATGTTCCCATACGTAAATAAATTTTCCCTTAAGTTTATACGTTTCATAAATCTTAATCAAAAATACTATCAACAAAATATGTTAATTACGAAATATCAGGTGGGGCTATTTCGGGGCAATGGTCGTTGGTTTACGTGAAACGTCTATTTCAGCGAGTCGCATTTAGTTCCCTGTAAGCAAAGAGTATAGACCTGTAAGGCTGTTGTTATTATTCTCTTTGTTTAGTGTTAAAGATTGGAATTAAAATAAGGTTGAACTTCGTTTTGATATTATTTTAATACTATACTGACATTGAATAGTTAGTATATATGTATAAAGTTCTTTCGATTAATATTGGACAACAATTTCATTAAGCATTGATATGAAAAGATATTACAATACTAGCAGCTTACCCTTGGTTCGAAGGATAGGCATTTTATGTCAATAATATGTAGATAAATAAATAAAATATGGAGACGCATTATGTGAAAAAGGTAGTCTTCATTTATTGTTAGAAGAGGCTAGAACATTAAGGACTACAAGTATTTTTTAAAAATTTCGAAAACTCCGTATCAAAGCGTCGTGAAGCTTCTGTTTATAGAAGTCTTATCTTTTGGCACCCAAATTAAAAAAAACCTTCCCAATAAAACTTATCTAACATGTTTGTTTGTAACCATTAAAAAAAAGGAGTGCACAAACATGCGGCAGCCAATACCGAAAGTCTGTTAGTGTTCCTTTGGTCGACTTGCACTTGACCGATTTTTAATATATTAACTTATAAATAATAAGTAATAGATTAACTTGAAACTTCTTTATTTTTCTTGTTATAGCAGCAATATACAACATACTCTGTGAAAATTTCAACTCTACCTATTAAGCTTCATGACATACAGCTAAAGAGTATTATTATTATACAGGAACAGCCCCCTCAAGCTCTGACAGACGGATGGACGGACAGCGGAGACTTAGTAATAGGGCTCCGTTGGCAAACTTCGAGTATGATCTACGGAACACTAATAAAAAGTACATGTACGATGGTACGGAACCCTTCGTATGATAATTTGACTCGCACTTAAATTGAACTCAATCAGACCAAAATACTGACTCAACTTTTCTATCGTTCTTCACAGACACTACATCTTCTGCTTTATGGCTTGTCTAATATTGATATTTTTTGCGTTTTCTTACGTATAATTTTTTTTTAGCAGAAAGTATATCATTCAATTTCTTTACTTAGTGGCTTCTAGGTGTGCCGCTTGTTGACACAATTTACTTCGCAAATATCGCGTAGAATGGAGAAGACACACTTTTATATTGAAGGACCGGGAAAAGAAGATAAAGCTCTAGATCGTATTACATGTAGAAACGGAGCTATTCGTTGTAAAATCAGGACCTATAATAGACATCACAATATATACAAAAACAATAGAATAAAAGTTAATATAATAATAATTGTTAGTACTAATATTAATCTAATAATATAATTACAATTTAATTTTATTATATTTAATATATTATGTGCATAGAAATCTACATAATGGACTGAACACAAGCAAAAACAAATCCGGCAGGGGCTTTAAAAAGATGAATGCCATAGAGAGGATAAAGAAGTTTAGGTCGAGCCTTCGTCAAGGCCACATTCTCATAGGTACTGGTACACTAAGTCAGAATCACCTCTGATCTTAACCAAGGGGACAGGAGTAGTCCTGTCCACTATGCATTGTGCAAGTAGTTGCATGCCCAAGACCATAAACCAGGAACAACAAGACCCAAGACAAGACGTAGACAACAAGTGGTCTTGATATAACCCAATGTTCCGCTAGTTTGTAACGAAAGAACCAGGGGCGATTTGGAATCTTTGGCTGAATACCTGCATAACGCTTAACCTTAAAAGATTTTGATGAGTTCCATTTATTTTTCCACGATTTATCCGAGTTTTTGTAAGTGTTAGCAAATTTTGATCATTATCTTTTAAGTACTGAACGCAGTACAGAAATATTTTATATTTTTATTTTTTAATCTGTGGACTGTAATTATAATCATGGATGACAAAAACATGGCTTCAGATGTTTAGTCCTATCGTTTTTTTAAATAATCTAAAAATGAAATTTAATCAAATATCTTGATTTTTATATTTTACATAATAAATTCTTTTATATAATTTATAATGTTGTCAGTTGTGTAGAGTGATATAGACCTTAGACTTTAAAAAGTTATTGTCAATTACTACATAATGGAAAGGATTTTGTTTATAGATGCATTGTTTCAATTGTTGTTATTAGTAAAAAGTTCAAGTGTTACAGTTTATCAAGGAGATATTTTACCTCAACATGGACGCTGTGAGCCAATAACCATACAATTTTGTCAACATCTAAAATACAATCAAACCCTATTTCCTAATTTGCTAAACCACGCCAAGCAAGAAGATGCTGGTGCCGCAATTCATAGATTTACAACACTCATAAAAGTGAACTGTTCTCCAGATTTAAAACTATTTTTATGTTCAGTATACGCCCCAGTATGTACAATATTAAATAAACCAATACAACCTTGTCGGCATTTGTGCGAATCGGCTAGACATAACTGTGACGAATTAATAACTAAATATGATTTTGTTTGGCCTAAAGAATTGGAATGTTCAAATTTCCCAGTCTTAAATATTGACAATGTAATATGCTTTGGGAATAATAATGTAACAAATGAATCAAAAAAACCTCCCCGAACTAAACTTCCTAAGGTAGATTATAAATCGAGCTATGAGAGAGATCCTATTAAATTACATGGAGCAAAAAACATAGGTTTTGTATGCCCAGTACAATTTAAAATACCAGAAAATTTAGATTTGGAGTATTCCCTTAAAGTAGGGGATAAAATTGAATATAACTGTGGTGCACCATGCAATGGAATGTTTTTTAGTGAAGATGAAAAAAACTTTGCCAGATTATGGATTGGGATTTGGGCTACTTTATGTGCATTGAGCTGCTTATTTACTGTGTTGACATTTCTAATAGACACAGATAGGTTTCGTTATCCTGAGAGGCCTATAATCTTTTTATCAGTTTGTTATCTTATGGTAGCTGCTGCTTATGTAATGGGCTGGAGTGCAGGAGACAGTGTTAGTTGTCAAGGACCATTTTCTTCTACAATAAGTGGTACAACATTACCTAACATTTCAGTAATTACACAAGGAACAAAACATGAACCATGTACCATTCTTTTTATGGTAGTGTACTTTTTTAGTATGGCCTCTAGTATTTGGTGGGTCATATTGACTCTTACATGGTTCTTGGCTGCTGGTCTTAAATGGGGACATGAAGCAATAGAAGCAAATTCACAATATTTTCATTTAGCTGCTTGGGCTGTACCTGCTGTTAAAACCATATCAATATTAGCTATGGGAAAAGTTGATGGTATATATTTTTTTATTAATTAATTATTTCAGTCTCAAATATTTTAAAAATAACCTTTTCCTATTTTGTTTCAGGTGATATTTTGTCTGGTGTTTGTTATGTAGGTCTATGGGATGCAGAGGCACTAAGAGGTTTTGTTCTAGCACCATTATGTGTGTATTTAGTTTTAGGAACAATATTCTTATTTGCTGGTTTTGTTTCACTTTTTCGAATAAGAACAGTTATGAAGCATGATGGTACCAAAACAGATAAACTGGAAAAACTAATGATTCGCATAGGTATTTTTGGAGTACTATATACAGTTCCAGCACTCCTTGTAATTGCTTGTTTATTTTATGAACAAGCTCACTTTGATAGTTGGATGGGAACATGGCATCGTGATATGTGTGCAATGCCAGTGTACTCTATACCATGTCCATTTACATATCAAGAAACTGAAAGACCTAAATTTGAGATGTTTATGATAAAATATCTTATGACAATGATTGTTGGAATCACCTCAAGTTTCTGGATTTGGTCTGGAAAAACTTTAGTATCTTGGCATCAATTTTTTGATAGAATAAAAGGCAGGAGAGTTGAAGCTTATGTATGATGTATTACCTTAATATTACTCTTAAGTACATAAAAGATCAAAGGGAAGTGAATTAATTGTAAACCTGTCTTTAATAACAGGTCTGTGAAATTATTATTTATTTTAAGTTTTTTTTTCTAAAACTGTTTATATTTGATATAATTGTGCTCAAAGTGATATAAAACAGTTTTTGTAAGATATATATACACCATGTCATTACCAGGGCAGATGTAGATGTTGTTGTGTATGAACTTCAAACAATTTTATTTAGCATATAATTTTTTTAAAAAAGCAAAAAAAACGAGTGAATGATTCCAACGTAACAGTTCCTTGCTGTAGCCTCCTAGATCTTTTTGGAAACAATCAATGTGCAACTTTAGAAAATGAATTTTCAGAGTCCTTATGAGTCACGCTAAGCTTTTATCAGATGTTAATCAAAAAATATTTTTAAGTTACTGCAAATTAACCATTTGGTTTCCATGTATTCTCTTTAAAAAACTTTTTAAGTTAGTATAAGTTTAAGACAAACTGAATGAGCTAGAGGTACTGATGCTTTATTGTCAATATGCAAGAGGACAGCTTTCACACTTCTTTTTGAAGAATATGTAAAAAGTCACTATTCTTCAGCATTTAATTTGTTGCCTTTGTTTTAATTGACTAATAGTACAGCAAAATAGTACCTAAATTATTTTCTTTTTTTAAATACTCTTCAAATTATTGTTTTCTGCTTTGGTACTAATACAAAGTCTATATGTATGTACATGAAAATTAAAAAAAATGTGATGTGATACATTAAAACTAAAGTTTAAAATTGAAGTATATAGGTCAAGATCTATAAGTTATATATGGAATTATTACAAAAACTTTTTCTTCCCAGACCCGTGAATTATTCATGAAATTTTGAAGTATTGTTTCTACCATTATACTTTTGAATCTTTTGTCAATTGTTTACATTTAGCTAATAAGCAGTTAAACAAACCTTATCATGTTAGAGCCATAACTTTTATTTGTATATTGATATACTTAGAAATAAGAAAAATCTCGAGATTAATTGTAAGACTGAATGTGTAAATATGATCATGAGTAGCTTAACTTTAAAATTTTAAATAGCACTAAGCTTTATGAATGTACTTAATATACAGTATTTTTATAATTTTCTTGCATTTTTAATTTCAGACCATTGATTCCATTTATGCTTTTTATAAGTATTAATATCGTCCATACAATATTATAAATGCGAAAGTAACTCTGTCTATCTGTTACCTCTTTACGTTTATTCAGCGAAACCGAATTCGATGAAATTTGGTATGGAGATAGTTCAAGACCCTGTAATAAAAACTGATGTCTTTCACATCAGTTTTTATCCCGGGAATCATCCTTTATGAGGGTGAAAAGGGGAGTGGAAGTTTGTGTGGGAAATCTATCATTTCGTAAGGATATAAAACTCATCATACCTATCTTATATAATCAATCTATTCCATACTAACTGCTAAAACGTATGTACCTAGGGACGAACTCGAGTGAAGCTAGGGAGAGACGCTAGTCTATAGTCTATACACATAATAAAATTGTAACTAAGTCGAATCTGTACATTAAATATTTTTTGGGAAATCTTATTGAAATAGACATTATTATCGATACAGAGTTCGAATCTATAGTTTTTCGAATTTTTGTCTGTCTGTCTGTCTGTCTGTTACCGCATCACGAGAAAACCACAGGACAGATTTTGATGAAATTTGGTATGATGACTGGCTTTGGCTGGTTATCCGGGTCAACATTTAGGATACTTTTTACCGCGGTAAATTTCTCATTTCTGAGAAAAAATAAAAAAACTGCAATGTAAGAGTATACTAATATGTAAAACCTAAGAATTTCGTTCTTGGTAATCTGAACGCGGGCGGAGGCGCGGGCAATGCTAGTATAGTATGAAACTGACATAAGTAGAAGCACGGTAATGTAATGCATATGTAACATTACCGTGATAGAAGCCATAACCAAATTAAAACATACTGCTAGTTGCTACCCTTAAGAGTACTGTGAGACTCCTAGCTTACTAAAACCCACAGAGGAACCTGTCGCCGCAGTGCAATGGGGCGTTGCAGGATCGCTTGCGCACACACCACAACACCCCTGCGGACTAGTTGCTACCCTCATGAACTTGGGTAAATAAGGATTCAATTATAACTAGTATATTTTTTCTTGTGTGTACAAGCTTTTATTTTAATAAATTATTATAAACTAGCTCACCCTCGCTTCGCTCGGGTTCGCCTCTGTAAAAACAAAAACCGTATATTTTTCCGGGATAAAAAGTAGCCTATGTGTTAATATTCCAGACTATATCTCTGTGCTACAATATTGCACCCAGATCCGTTCAAGGGTTCTGGCGTGAAAGAGTAACAAACATCCATACATACCTACTCAAAAACTCACATTTATAATATTTATTATACAGAGTAACAGGACCCGCAGCTTCGCTCGCACTAAAACTACAAGTCTCTAAAAATGTAGGGTTCATACAACTTTGAATATAAATATCTTTCAACCGACTTAAAAAAGGAGGAGGTTCTCAATTCGACTGTATTTTTTTAGGTTGTATTTTAGCGTGTTTTTTCCGTCGGAATAAGATCTCCCGCGGTAAAAAGTAGCATAGATGTTTATTGTTATAATTACATTATGTCATGATATTTATATATTTTATATACTGAACAGTTTTAGTATCAGACTGTCTAAAGCCTAGTTCGCATTAAGCTAGTATTTTAGTCTAGTAGCTAAATTACTCGCTACTCACTAAAAATCGTTCGCACTTTGGTCGAGTACAGTTTACGAGTGGTGTTTTTTTATAATTTCAGTATATCATTATATATTTTATAGTATCTTTTGTAAGTCACTGATTATAAACTATAATTTAAGATAAGATGAATAAAATGTAAATTCAAAAAGTATAATATGTTGGTTTGTGCTTAATTTCAACATTTCGATTATACCGTTCTAATTAATTAATTAAATAAATACATAAATATGCCTTTGAAATAAAGTAATGAAAAGTAACCTGATGTTTTTAATTTTCATTTTAATTTCTTTTTCGCCAAATCCGGGTATATTCATTATTTTTTCCAAATCTAAGTATGCGGAATGTTTCATATGCTTGTTTTTATGCAAGGACCTAATATTCCACAAGCATTCGTGTTCAACATATTTCGAAACAAATTTAAGTCATTTCTTCGCTCCAGCGAAACGACATTATGGCGGCAACTAATGAACTCGACTAATTCCAAATATACTCTATGACTAATTCGACAGGTTCGTACTTGTTTAGCCGGTGAACCAGCACAGAGTACATTGGTATATACTTGAACCAGTGAGCTTGGACGCGTGGTGGGGGCTGCTACTCGCTCAAAAAAATAGAATAAAATGGATTGACTCAACTAAATTACTGACTAAACTAAATGACTAAATTTTTAGTGTTCAGACACGTTTAGTTACTAAATTACTCGCTACTAGACTAAAATACTAGCTTAATGCGAACTAGGCTTAAGTGTCCAAGTTAAGCTCCAAAGTGGTTGAATAGATTTCAAAAGGATTTTACAGAATTTAGCCAATGTTATTGTATCTTGGTAAAGAAAAGAGTAATGTTAAAAAATATTGTTGGACCCTTTATTGGGAATTAGTAGAAGGAAATAAAAGTGAAGTTAAAGAAAACCACCAGTTACATGAAATAAATCATAAAATATGCTACAATTGTCTTTCATTTGTTGAAGTAACACAATTTTTTTTAAATATATAACTATGCAAATATTAAATTAAACTATCATATAAATATAATTAAGTGATTTGTTAGGTTTAATAATAAATAAATAACTCTTTTAATTCTATTACACGTTTATCCTTCAAAATACTCTGGTTACTATTATATATTTCTTTAAATAGACTAAAATGAAAAAGCCACAAATTATTTTGCTATATCTTAAGATTTCTTAAAATGATGTAAACAGTAATAATTTTATAGAAAAAGTTTTATTTATTTTAGATCAGAATAATTTATTGAATTTTATAATCAAACACTATAACATATAAAATCACTTAAAATACACTTTTCTCCTACCTTAAAATTTTAATTAAAATTAATGTATAAAGTAATTAGTACATAGAAATATTAAATTTCAATTATGCTCTAGTGTATTTTCCCCAGATATGAAGCATAAAAACTGATGCAATGAACAGCAGAGACATAACCAACACAGGGACTGGACCTCTGAAATAAATCATGAATAACATTTATAAGTTATTATTAAAAAAGATAACATATAATATGATCTTTATATTTTAATGCATAACTTTAAACCTACACTTTGACACCTGGAGAATCATCAGTATAGAAACGCCACATTCCCACCGAGCCGGCACCAGTGCTGCGATTTCTAGCTGCTGTTGTAGTTGTTGTGGACTTGCGTTGCCTTACGGTTCCACCAGAAGCAGATCTGGGAGCTGCCGATGCTTTACTAGGGGAACGACTCCCTGAGCCCACTGAAGTTGAACTTGGTGCAGGTGGCTGCAATTTGATAATAAAATTAAAAGAAACAATAATGAAAAAAAAAACTTGTGATATAAATTATACTTACCATTATTTTTAATCAAGAATATAACTGTTAAAAACAAAGTAGTGTGAATCAACAATATAAAGCAAAACTGCACTTCGAGACAAAATGGTAATTCGTACAACAGTATCAATGGAGAAAGGCTCAAGTTCGAACTTCGAGTTGGCAACTGACTTTGCAACGCGTACAGTGAATTTGACACGTTGTCAAACAATGTTGCTACTTCAAAAAATAAATTCCTTCAGCGTTCCTTTTTACGTATTCTAAAATATATTTTTTTAAAACGTTGCCTCATGCCTGGTGTTCGTGATTCTACTTTTACTGTGAATTACTTTATAAACCTTAAACAAAAGAGTATTCAAAATTTATGGTATAGTACACCGTTTTGGAAGTAATCTCAACAAATTGTGTACAACATTAATAGTAGGATTTATAAATACCATGCAACAAAATTATTTTTTAACCAAAACCAAAAATTAACTACTTATAAGCATTGATATTTTCTCAAGAGTCTAAGAGTAGTGATTAGACCCTCTATAACCTATATTAAATTATTTAACTCTCAATAACCGTATGAAATTCAATAATCATTGGTTTAGTTACGACGTAGCATCTCTCTGTAGTTTGTGGTTACAACTTACAACTTAAATCATAGTACTTTTTGATTACAACCTCTTGAGCGTGTGCTAACTTGTTAAGTGGTATGGTTAAAAGTTTGAAATTAGATCCAAGTTGGATTCGAGAAAATAGAAAGAAATACAAAATTACTAGCAGAACCCGCGGCTTCGCTCGCGCTAAATCTAAAAATCTCTAAAAAGGTAGTTTCATACAAACTTATATCCCCTATTTTACCCCCGTATAGGATGAATTTTGAAAAATGCTAAGACATGTATTTATTTAATTTTATTGAAGAGTATATATACCAAGTTTCAAGTAATTCTGATCATAAATATTTTTTTGGATTGTATTATAACGTGCTGTCCCCTGGGAACTTAAAGTATACATGTGCTATAGAGCGCGCGTATCGCTCATTGTCCATCAATTTTATCTAGGTATACATATGAATAATAACTCGTAGCTAAGCCGAATCTGTACATTAAATATTTTTTGGAAAATCTTATTGAAATAGACATTATTATCGATGCAGAGGCCAAATCTATAGTTTTTAGAATTTTTGTCTGTCTTTCTGTATGTCTATCTGTCTCACGTAAAAACCACTGAAGGGATTTTGATGAAATTTGGTATGGTGATAGCTGGTTATCCGGGTCAATATATAGGATACTTTTTACCGCGAGAAAATGTCTCATTTCTGAGAAAAAATACAAAAACTACAATACAAAGTAAGAGTTATACTAATATGTAAAACCTAAGAATTTGGTTTTTGGTTATGTGAACGGGCGGAGCCACGGGCAATGCTAGTTATATGTATATAGATGAATTCTTTCTTAATTCTTCAATCCTCTGCCGTTATCACTCGTCATTGATTTATTGATCCATTCACCATTGTGTTTGTCAATCTGATTCTGTGGACTGTTGTGCTGTCAAAAATTATAGCCAGTGTTGCTGATTAGGCATTTTTAATGCTAAATTTGGCTGTTGGCATGAAAATTTATCCTTAGCTTATTGTGTATTTTAGCATTTTTTGAATTTTATGTACTAGTGATGGCAACTATTGCTATAGGATTGACAAATTGTTCACAATAATCACATCACCGTCATATATTTACTCTAAGGAAGAGATTGAACTGAAACCGGTGTTAAGTGTTAACTTCTTTGGCCATTTCTATTCTTTCTTTACCGCATTCTGTTGCTGATACAGAACGAGTATTCAGCCAAATGAATGTAGACAAAACAAAATTATGAAATCGAATGTCACTACATATACTAAACTTGATTCTACACATCAGAAACGGCCATAAAAGATCAGGAAAATGTTGTCCTTCCTATACGGTCCCGAGGATGTATTAAAATTTAAAACAGATAAGAAGGGTTAAAGTTTTTAAGATAGCCCATCAACATCACAAGCATAAGCACAAGACGAAGCCGATATTGATGGCTTACAAATAAAATTATACAATATTACCGAATTGATTAAATTTAGTTTTTTTTTATTACACTATTTACAATTATTTTCATTTATGAGTCATTTAAACAAGACTTAGCAGTTGACATTTTTTTAGCATATTAAAGTGCGATCTAGCACTTTTTTAGCATTATCGGTCGTAAAAATCTAGCATTATTTCCATATACAAAACGGCAACACTGATTATAACCTAAAGCTAAACTATTATGGTGATCAAATTTTTAAAGATTGTTCGCTCTGTTCACTCTTTATTAAATATTTCCAAAACTAACATTATGAACAAACACAAATGTTATTTTAGATATATCAAACAAGATGATAAAGTTGATATATCGTTTCTTTTTAGTGTGAATGATGTTTCACGGCAGTTTAATTTGAGTAGAAACTCTTCTGAAAGTTTGGAAACTTTATGTGTTCGAATTGCAACAAATGTACAAAAGTTTTATAATAAAAAGAATAAAAAGAAAACACTGCCTAAAGAACAAGCTATCGAAGTAAAGATTTATGACAGTAAAAAAGATCCTATTTCAAAAGAATGCACTTGTTCTGATTTGTTTGCCTACCAAAGCCCAATATTAACTATATCTGATAATCTTTATGAAATAGTGCTAAATGCACCATGGATTATAAATTTTAATTTGCCAAAGGTTATCTTAGCTGGATTTCCTGTTTATCCAGAAAATTTTGAAACTCAATATACAGATAAACATCTTAGTATTTTTAACTGGTATAAAGGCAAATCATTTAATGATAAGGGAAATGAAATCAGTAATGAACATATTCAATGGCAATTAATATTAAATAGTTTTTATTTTACACCTACAACAGAAGACATTGGTATGAAATTGAAATTAGAATGTATACCAGGTACAGACATACAGTAAAATAGTTTTGATTATGATTTATATTCTTAGTTATATATTTTTTTATTTTCTGTAGTTAATAATGAAAGCACTGGTCCAGCAGTTGAATGTGTGATAAATGGTGTAGTAGAAGCTGGACCTGGTCCCTGCCCATTTGAATGTACACATATGTTTACAAAGCAAAAATTAACAGACAAGAGGTAAAGTGACAATTACTTATAAGACAATTGTATTATATTTAAAGTTATTTTGTAATGAGTATTGTTTTCTTTTTAGCTTTCGATGTGTTTCATACAACATATTGGCTGACTTATACTGTGACTCAGATTTTACTCGTACTGTTTTACATCCTTACTGTCCTCCGTATGCATTACATATTGATTATCGTAAACAATTAATAGTTAAGGAATTAAAAGGTAAAACAAAGCAATTAATTATAAACTTTAAATACTCTACAAAGATAAAATCAAAACTTTTACCCTTAATTTTTTTTAATATTTAAATTATTATTCCCTCCATGACCACGGACACGCCGGCGTGTCAGTTAACAATAGATTTCTTAGAATTTTAATCAATTTCTTAGAAATTTACCTGGAGGTGATATTAATAGTATATATATCTGAGATATTTATTGATTCAAATTAGCAAAAATTGGGTCTAATACAGCTTAAAATAAGATTAATTACAAACAAAATATTTGATATTATTAGAAATTATTGAGATAGTTATTCTATTTCAGGATATAATGCTGATATTATTTGCCTTCAAGAAGTGGATAGCAAAATATTTAATAGCAGCTTAAAAACTTTTTTAGAATGTGAAGGCTTAGAGGGTTTATTTTTTAAAAAAGGAAAAACTGTTTCTGAAGGGTTGGCTTGTTTTTACAGAAAAGATAGGTTCAAGTATGTATTATACAAATAATTTTAAATTAAATGAATTTAAGCTCCTATTGTATGACTTAACATGTTAAATAAATGTAACAATAATTTCTAAAATTATAGTTTTATAGATAGCCAAAGCATATTATTAGCAAAAGCTATTAAAGAAGAAGCTTGCTTGGAGGAGATTTGGTGTAATATTAAAGACAATGAACCATTGCTGGAGAGAGTGTTAGATAGGTCAACTGTTGCAAGTGCAACATTTTTACAATCAATTGAACATCCAAATGAAATTCTTTTGGTTGGCAACACACACCTATATTTTCATCCTGATGCTGATCATATTAGATTGCTTCAAGGTGGCATTCTCATATACTGGTTGCGAGATATACAGAGGAAATTAGAAGAACAAGTAATTATTTATTTAAATTATATTTTTACTATTACTTTATTTTTCTACTCTGTAATAAAAATTAAAATATATAATAGTTATAAATTATGTACATTATAAAAGACATTGGGCAGATCTCACCCGGTCTTGATATTGGGTGGCCTGTGGTTTAAAATTATGTAGCTTTACTTGGTCCAATATGTAGATTATGAACATATATGAATAATTAGTTCAAACTATACCAGTTTTGAGACATATTATAACTAAGTTTTTATTATTTTAGTTCAATTTTAATATTGCTACAATACTAAGTTACAACTTACAATGTTGTTCTTAGCAGGTCTAATCTCAAAGAAAAAAATGATTTGAATAATAATCTATTTCTATACATCTGCCAGAAATAAGATTTTTATCCAAGATTTGAAGAAGTCAAGACCTGCCTATAAAGATAGTTAAATAAGTTACATAAACGGCTGCTGGCTAGGTTATGCACCATACAAATTTGACCAATCCCCTTTAATAAAAGCATAAATTACTATGACCCATTGTGATTTTAAATAACAGGAGAAATACAGCAGTTACTAATAGGTAACATGGTATGCTCTTTCAACGAGTTTTTGTTTGTTGGATTTGTCATTAAGAATGTTTATCATTTGCATAGAAACAAACCTATTTTGTACATGTTTCAGTTCGCAAATCATAGGGTCAGCATTATATTATGTGGCGATTTTAACAGTGTACCATCATGTGGAATCTATCAGTTGTATACTACTGGATCAGCACCAAGCTCTTTGCCAGATTGGAAGTCTAGTAAGTGTAAAAAGATAAATTTTGCTACAAAACATTTTTTAATAGTAATTTCTACATGAGTTCCCTAATTCTTTTTGTTTTTCTAAAATAAAAGTTACTACTTATAACATCAGCTATCTGCCAGTGAATGTCCCAACAAAAACAGTCCAGCTGTTTTGGAGATTAGCTGAACCAGACAAAATAAAAAAAGTTTCTTTCTTATAAGTACTGTATATTATTAATTCATAATATACATTTAGTAAAAAGCTGTTATTTTGACATTACAAACATACACTTAAAATTATTTATCTGTATAGACTATACTATAGATTAATTTATAACATGTTTAACACATGTTATAAATTAATCAATCTTACACAAGTGTTTTCTATATTAATATTTCAGATGAAAAGGAAGCTATTAATGATTTGAGCTTAAAGCAAGACATTCAATTAGATAGTGCCTGTGGAACTCCTCAATATACAAATTTCACAGAAGGATTTGCAGATTGCTTAGACTATATATTTTATGAAAAGAATAAACTAAGAGTTGAACAGGTATGCAAAAAAATGATCTCTGTGTAGAGCTCAGAAATAAGTAAAGCTTGCCAAAAAGAGAGATTTTAAAAAAGTTACAAAATACCTTTGTTGATTGGTCTTACATCAATTTATTCTATCTCATATGGGATCTTTATCATAGTCTGTAGTGCTCTGTCAGCCACTTTCCTGGAAGTGCACACAACATCATACCAAGTTTTATCATTTTAAAAAAAAGATTTATAATATTTATTATTAAACTCCAAAATAAGGCACCTTATTGCGTATTTAATTTAATTAACAAAATCTTACTTATTGTAACCAATTTTAAGTATCTTGATTGGCACTAAACCTTCATAGTAGGTATAAATATATAATATAGGTATCGTCTTTTAATAACTTTACCACAGCACTATGAATTGGTTCATTCATATTACATTTCCATACAACACAGAAATCCATACACTTAAAATTTAATGGGCCGGTTTGTCGCATTAAGTATAATATATTTCAAATAATACTTTATGACTTCTGCACCTATTGTGCATAATGGGACTATGTCGGAATGAAATGAAATTTATTTATTTAGTATCAAATTCCTATAAGTATACAGTAAACAACAATGGCTACGATGGATAGGAATCTTTCGTATGCGCGCGTATAACATAGCATTAAAGTTATATTGTCGTAGCTTAGGCGTAAAAAATATGAATTTTTAAGCTATTGCATAGCTTCTATCGCGGGCCTTGAGCGTGGGGACCGAATCCAGAAATTCCGTAACGAAAAAAACCTGACACCCCCCACTCCGACCGGCACAGCGGTGATACTTCCATCTATCGATAAATACCAGAACTTTTAATGACTTTTTGAAATATCACGCTTGTCTCTTTAGTTCAGCAACCCGCCTTTAGGTGGCATTGGTTGTATTGGAAAACTACCGTAATCAGCTGTTTGTGAGAAAGTATATAGGTGTATAGGTATTTATCATCTATGTACAACAGTGAATATCTGTACTCGTATAATTTGTGTACAAAGTGTTTTAAATAAAGTGCATTTATTAATGAAGAAAGTCAAGGAAAAAAAATACTGCATTAATAAAATAAATAAATAATTATAATTGCATAAGTTGATAAAAAATGCTATGCAATAGCTTTACCGCGGCAGTCTCCGAGTGCCACACGTCTTTTTTTATACATTAATCAATTTGTTGTGTAATTAATCAATTATTTTTTTCAGGTCATCCCACTACCTAGTATTGAACAGCTCAAAGCACACATTGCCTTACCTAGCATTGTATTTCCCTCTGATCACATTGCAATTATTTCAGACTTGCAATTTAGATAATAAAGAAAGTCTATTTTCAAATAGCGGGGCATGTTGAATATAATCCTACTATTTCACTTCCGATTAGAAAAAACAACAAATTTTACAGCTTTCCTGAATAAGGCAAAAAGAGTAGAAAATCTCAGATTAATAGATAGTAAAGTTATATAATTTTTTTGCTATTAAAACTGAGACTGTGTAATATATGTGTAACTTATATTTATTCTAAATATTGTATGTAAGAAGTTTTAATAAAATTTCCTGTTCTATACCTAATGTGTATAAATTTTATATTGTGCGTATAACAGCTTTTGCCAAATGATTTCTAAATTTTATTAGTGACTTATCAGCTTTATCGTTGTAATATACTTGACGGCGCGTTTGACTACTTAAAGAGTAAATGGCCACTTAAAAAGTTTAACTGTCATGAATTTATCGATGAAAAAGATGGGTGGGTTGTCATATTTACTCTGATGCAACACCAAGCGCTAGCGTGGCGAATAATCGACAGCCGGCATCAAGGTTAAAATCGGCAAAAGGTTAATATCACGTTACGTTTGTGGTAGAGTGTCTTTTGATAAAGTAAGGTGTACTTGAATGTGATTGAATTTCGTATAAAACGACTAAAACTATCAGTGTCAAATCTATACATAAGAATATTGTAATTATATTATGTGACTAGCATTGCCCGCGCCTCCGCCCGCGCGCCAAAACCAAATTTTTAGGTTTTACATATTAGTATATTAGTTGACCCGAATAACCAGCTATTACCATAACAAATTTCTTAATAAAATCCCTCCAGTAATTTTTCTGTGATGCGGTCACAGACAGACAGACAAAAATTCTTAAAACTATAGGTTCGGCCTTTGTTAGCGATAATAATGTGTATTTCAATAAGATTGTCCAAAAATATTAAAGCACTTTTTATTTTAGTTTAATTTTAATGTATCTATAGATGTAACTAATTTATAAAGCCAAAAATATAGTTTTTTGATAATTTGAACACTGGCGGGGCCGCGGGTAATATAGTAGTAATTCTAATAAAATCATAGAAACGTCTAATTTGTACATTTAATTTTTTGGAATTAAAACTACGTATTTTAAAGACACATGGCTACATCTATTGACAAATATCTAAATAATACAAAAATAAATATTCATTAAAATAACTTTTATAATGAATATAATAGTGCTATTGATATACTTTTTCAAGATTAGCTATTTTTAATATTTTTTGTCATATTTAGTAAGTTAACTTGCTAAAATGTATATAGTATCATCGTTTTTTATTCTTACCAGTTTTTGTATTTTTTCTCAGAAATGAGATATTTTTCTGCAGTAAAAAGTATCCTGTATGTTGACCCGGATAATCAGCTATGACCATACCAAATTTCATTAAAATCCGTCCAGTAGTTTTTCTGTGATGCGGTAACAGACAGACAGACAGACAAAAATTCTAAAAAATATAGATTCGGCCTCTGTATCGATAATAATGTCTATTTCAATAAGATTTTCCAAAAAATATTTAATGTACAGATTTGACTCAATTAGAATTTTATTATATCCTATAATATAAAAATGAATCGCTGAATGTGTTGGTAAGCGCAAATCTCGAGAGCAGCTGAACCGATTTCGCTAATTCTTTTTTTAGAATATTCCTTGAAGTACGAGGATGGTTCTTACGGAGAGAAAATATAAAAAAAATGCTTACAAAAGTTTAAAAACCATACTTTTCTATACTCCCATACAAAAGATTAGTAATAATACTTAAGAGTCAATTTGAACTTTAATACCATACCATAAAGTTTAAGTTTGGTGGTAGTTTAAGTGGACAGGTTCCGTGAAGGCAAAACAATTGAGTGACGTTAGTATCTTATAAATATGAATGTCAATATTTGTTAATGATATTAACAAAAAAAATTATATGGCTAACGCTGGCTAATAACTATTTATATCTATTTAAAACGTGATGATGTTCTCCTAGCCGATTCCGGCCACGGCGGCCAATCTCAATGAGATTAGCCAACTGCGCAGGAGATATTATAGTGCTCAAGTGTACGCGCAGACACAAGTGCACTCTCTATTCCTATCACTCTCATACTCCGGTGGGACGACCACTCGACACGACCAGTGAGAGTTAAGGCGCAGGACCGACGGCTTTACGTGCTCTCCGAGGCACGGGGGTGAAACACCGCCAACTTCCCAACTCCGGGCTGTTACTGAGACTTACTATACAGGAAGACTCAATAATTAAACTTGGCCCGACCCGGGACTCGAACCCAGGACCTCCGGGTGTGCAGCCGTACATGCTAGCCACTACACCACCGAGGCAGTTAAAACGTACCTAGCGACAAACACGAGCGAAGCGAGGGTGAGCCGCTAGTGTATAGATATAAAGTAACATCTTATTTTCCTCGCCCGATTACCCACGTCCGGCTAAAGTTAAAATATGGAGTTAAATGATAAAATGGATCAATCTAATGTTCCTTTATACTTATTATGAAATTGTTTATCACGGTAAAAAATCTTTAAAATAACTTTTTTTTATTTAAATGCAGGAAGAATTTTACAATATTTAGTTTGCGAATCAACGACATCTATTATCTATTCAAGCAAACAAAAATAGCCCGAATTACCGTTGTCCAATTGTTTTGTATTAGTAGGGGAGCCCAAGAGGGGATTTTCTGTAGTTACTCGAGCGCGGCAGATGGCTGCAGTTTAGAATATGGGACATTACCCCTGGCGGAGTGGGTGGTATTTCTGGATAGGGGACGTGATAGGGCGTCGAAAAGTTAAATAAAAAATTTTCCGAAAACGTACGAGTAAAAAGTTATCCCATCAAAAACATTCTGTAAAAATATTGCAAGTCTCGCAACGCACTTCTTCTACCTCAAAAAGCTATGAGATGTAATGTAAAACCAAGTCGGTTAATTTATTCATTACCTATCTATGAAAGCAACTATCCGACAACTTTGTCATAAATCGTTACCGAATTAGTTAAGTTACAACATTTTATAGTGACCGTATTAATATTAGATATATTTATTTCTTTAATTAGTAGAATGACTTGGCCATCGCACGGAAACATAATCACATAAGAGTCTACAACTTTAAATAGCCCTAATTAAACATATCATGACCAAGGTGGACGGACGACTTGGTCAAAGTCGCTGGAGCCCACTAGATGCGGATGGCACAAGACTGGTTGTCGTGGAACTTTTTGGGAGAGGCCTATGTCCAGCTGTGTGTGTGTTTGGGCTGAGATGAACTGAACATAGCACTAGCGGGTCAAATTTATTCATACACTAACATAAATAATGCACTCAGAACGCTAATTTTAGGTAAATTTTGTTATTTGTAGATTCTATTATCATGTGCGATGGCCAAGTCATTCTATTAATTAAAGAAATAAATATATCTAATATTAATACGGTCACTATAAAATGTTGTAACTTAACTAATTCGGTAACGATTTATGACAAAGTTGTCGGATAGTTGCTTTCATAGATAGGTAATGAATAAATTAACCGACTTGGTTTTACATTACATCTCATAGCTTTTTGAGGTAGAAGAAGTGCGTTGCGAGACTTGCAATATTTTTACAGAATGTTTTTGATGGGATCTCATTTCTTTTTGTAAATATTTCTTCTTTTTATCTTTTCTTGTACTATTTCTTGTGTGTCAGCTAAGGACTTTTTAAAAGCCCACTCCTTGTCTCTGTGGGCTTTTTTCAGAGGCTTTGATATAGGTAACAAATTTTGACAAGTCTGGATGATAAAAAATGTAAGTCTATTGTATTGGGAAATTACGGACTCCTGGACTTTAATACTACTATCTTATGCATTAAGAATAAATATGTATAGTTAATTTAACGAATATTTAAATTTCATTGTTGACCCTAAATACCTACCCCGATACTGATATTCGACTTACATAAGTTTAATAAGACGTGTAGATTTATGTGTCTATCTGCAGCATCGTAGTTAAATCCCGAAAGTTGTATTCCATTCCATTTTAAAAGTAATTTTCGAAGAGATTGATATTTCATGACCTCTATATTCCATGTTCTAATAGGTGGGTACAATTACGAGCAATGAGATGTTGAGAAGGTTTTCTAATTCATATCAACATCATACTTTGTAAAAGAAAATGTACGAGCTTTGTTTCAAAATTAAGTAATCGTCAAGTTGTTTCTTAATTAGGTATATATTTTAATCAATTCATTATAAATAACAGTAATCGAATATTAGTAGGTATCAACTATACACGCTTCACATTACATTTATGTACCCATTTGTATATGCATAAAAATGTATACAGCTACTAAAAAAGCTTAAAATATTATTTTCGCGTTTAAAAATACTTTTCTAATACATATAATTGCAAATATAAACATTAATAAATAGACCAATCGAAATTAGGTTAGTAATTACGAGGGAACATAGGATCGGACGTACAAACATACATACCTACAGGTAAAACACTAACCTAACCCCCTTTTACAGTGCAACTATTGTATAATTAATTTACCATTAATTATAAATTTTATAAGAATATATGAATGAGGTGAAAAAAATAAAAGTAAGATATCGGGAAATGAAAAAATAATATTTAATTTAAATAATGTAAGGAAAAAATAGTGTAAATTTAATTAAAATATTTTATGATTTTTAAACGAAATTTATATTTGACATAACGGCACAAATTAAGGCAAGCTATGATGAAGTTTATTTATATCAAAATATTTATATTATGTGCTATTTTATTGTGACCTATTATTTAAAAAAATACCTAAACCTTCTAGCGTTCCTTGACGTCGTTAAAGTGGAGAAATTGACTAACAAATTAAATACTTAGTGATAACAAACGGAACTCTGAGAAAGATATATTTTAAGTTGGATATTTAAGTTAATAAAATAATATATGAGTTATTCCTGTGTTTTTTTAACATTACTAAACTGAATATTGATAAATACATATTGTATATATTAGTCAAGTAGAAGACAAACTAACGCTCCGAGGGCTCTGTACTTTTTTTTTATAGTTGGGAAATCCTATTACGGATACCACCCGAATTCCCCCGGGCGACTCTCGCTACGGAACACACGAGTGTTCGATTACTTGTATATATTTTTTTATATTTAAGATCTTTTATACATATAAGTTTTAATTTATATATTAAATATATTATTTCTTAAAACTCTTTACAATATTGATAATTACATTTTAGTCGTCGCTAACACTTACAGTATATCCACTATTTACCCTGCTATACATTTGGGTAGTTTAAGTGACGAAAAATGATATGTATGAACTGCAAAAATAACTTTGTAATCCCATATATTGCATATCTATTTGTATAGGAATACAAAGTTACTTATGCAGTTTGTATATCTCGAAAACAGGATTGAAATTGCATGATGTTTGAGTTTTTCCTTCCGTTATAGGCTAAACACTAATTGTGTTCAAAATTTGAAGCTCCTATGTCTCCTAGAAGTACCTTAGAATTTTGATGATCGGTGAGTGAGTGAGTGTGTGAGTGACGATATTAACGAATTTTGATCTGCAACAGTTCTTAAACTACAGGTTCAAATTGAATGTAATTTGGAAATATGCCTAGTTTTATTATGTTCTTTTAGTCACTGAAAATTCAGGCTTTTAGCTTTATCCATAACGAAGTTATGGGGGGGTGGAAAATGCTCTGAATCGCTTCAAGAAAAGGATGGTACTGTCGTGCCCTTTTTTGCTCGACTTGGCGGGGGCACTCCGTGCCCCCCGATTGAGACTTAAAGTTACAACATCTCCATACATTATTTTGACATTACTACCATTTAGACACTTGGAGTCAAAACGTCACTTTCAATTGTCAAAATGATCTCCAGATGATTGTCTTTATTTGTACTTGCGTGAAATTCGAATTTTCTAGTTTTCTAGTCATTTATGGCACTCGCCGGCCGCTACCGCGGCACGCTCGCTTCGCTCGCTCGGCTCGTGCGTTGTGGCAACTGTTCTAACGTAACCTAACCCAGATATGAGGAATAATAAATAAATAATCTTAAATGTTCTAACCTAACCTAACTCAGATATGAGGAATAATAAATAAATAATCTTAAATGTTCTAACCTTTTTTTTTTTTTTTTTTAACGTTGGGAAATGCATTTACGCACGACGTGTGGGACTCACCGGTGTAATACAGCCAGTACTACCCACTAAAACCCAACAAAACCTTCCCCCGTCTTAATGGGGCGTCGCAGGATCGCTTACGCATTCAACTACGACGCCCCGACGGCAGGTCTGCCGAAGCAGACCACCACAACCATGGGGTTGCTCCACAGTCCACTCTGCTATCAGAGAAGTACCAGGAGCAACCCGCATGGTGCACCGCCCCCCGAAGAGGGCCACCTCCCACCGCCCACCGAAGTGGGCAACCTCCCTGTGCGTTTCTTAGCTTCGCGCCCGGTTGGATTGCCGGGCACTACTGAGCCCCCCCACCACGACAAGGTGAACGCACGTTGGGGGGGTAAATGTTCTAACCTAACCTAACCCAGATATGACGAATAATAAATATATAATCTTAAATGTTCTAACCTAACCTAACCCAGATATGACGAATAATTAATAAATAATTAAAAATATTCACAGATAAAAAATGATTTTTTTTACTAAATGTACAATTGTAAAACAATATATTTTACATAAATCAGATAAAAAATCATAAATGTATTTATGAAACGAAAATAATATTTTTCTTTTTATTTATTTATTTATTAATATTACCAACAGAAAAAGCAAAAATAATCAAATATAATCTGTTGTCATTTAAGCGGTAATATAAAACAAAGTGTCAGTTTTGCTTTTGTCAAAATGTAAGATCATTTTGTTTGTGTTGTGAAATTATTAAAATATTAAATACAATAAAGCATTAATTGTTGTGAAAATATGTCTTGTACATAAAAAAGGATGCGTACTATTCGTTAAAGGTATGTTTATCTGTTGTAATCACTTATTTAGGTAAAGAAATGTATGGAAATGTGTTAGATATGTTATAACTTTAAGTCTCAATAACTTTTTACTCGTACGTTTCCTCCAAATATTTTTAATATATTTTGACTCTCTGTCACCTCCCCTATCTAAAAATACCACCCACTCCGAATGGTGGAAAAGAAATATATGAAAATGTATGGAAATGTTGTAACTTTAAGTCTCAATAACTTTTTACTCGTACGTTTTCGGAAAATTTTTTATTTAACTTTTCGACGCCCTATCACGTCCCCTATCCAGAAATACCACCCACTCCGCCAGGGGTAATGTCCCATATTCTAAACTTGTGCCCAGCAGATTAACATAAAAGAGGTTACCTTGTACTCTATTGAGTTCTTTCACCACAATATAAGTCTTCTATATAAAGGGGCGCGTCTAGGGAAGCCGATTAAAATATTTAAAAAATGTTTTGATACGGTAAAAATACTTGAAACCGTCAGATTAAGGTGTGGTAGGCTAGTCACATCCTGAAAAGTGTCCAATTTAATAATCATAAACTTTATAGTCGATTCCGGCCACGGCGGCCAATCTCATTGAGATTAGCCAACTGCGCAGGAGATATTATAGCGCTCAAGTGTACGCGCAGACACAGGTGCACTCTCTATTCCTATCACTCTCATACTCCGGTGGGACGACCACTCGACACGACCGGTGAGAGTCAAGGCGCAGGACCGACGGCTTTACGTGCTCTCCGAGGCACGGGGGTGAAACACCGCCAAATTCCCAACTCCGGGCTGTTACTGAGACTTGCTATGCAGGAAGACTCAATTACTAAACTTGGTCAATTAAAGAGGGTAGAACCAAGGAGGACCATCTCAGTGTATTAAAAGTGTCCGTTGAAAGGGAGCAAATTAAGGTGGCGCTATAGTAGCAAGTGGAAGAATTTTAAAAGGAGCGCCACAAATTATTAGAGTAGGACGCTAAATTAAAAAGGAAAGACTAATTTCCGCTTTGTTACAGCGCATCTTTTTAAATCATTATAATATACAGACAAACATGAATATGGAATAAAATTATACAGTATTTTAAGTACCCCGATTATTTGTAAATTAAATAATCAGTATTTGTATGTTTAATTGTGTATATTTAATTATATTAAATTTTTAAAATAATATTATTTGTAAATTATATTAAATTTTTTAACCCAGCACTTCACTCTGTTTATAACTGCTAAGTTCATATCATTCCCATTTCCTACACTAGCGCTATTTCGGTGAGTGTTCGAACAATAATTTGCTGTTTACAAGTGGACACTTTTTCAACTTACCCCCAAACAAGACGGTCCTCCTTACTGCCATCCGCCATTATTGTCAAATTCCAATTGTAAAGGCTGGTAACACTGAATAGTGAATTTATATTTATCACAGGAACAACAAGTTATTAGATATATATTATACTTAGGTATATGATATAGTAAAGAACTAGTATAATAACTGTTTTTATTTTATATTATGTATATTTCTAACTGTAAATAGTTTAACGATGAATATGGTAATTGTACTGTGAACATATATAAATACCTACCTACATACATTGAAATATCACTTGTATTCTTTTCATTGCGCTGTTTATAACGGTGAACAGGTGTTACAGGAAGTAAAATTTATAGTACCTAATTGAAAAAAATGTTTAAAATTCCCTGCAAGTCTACTTTTAATACAAGTAATAAAATATACTTCAACTATTCATTTGGTATGTACCTATCTATAAATGTCTTAATGTTTAAATTATTATGCGCTTACGCTTTTTGCTATTTTGATATATCTTTAACTTTATAAATAATTATTTTTTTTCTTATTAGGAGGATATAATTATATGGGTAAACCAATACATTATTCACCAATAGTTAGATATCCTCAAGTTGCATCTCTTAAGCTTCCATCAAATGTGGTAAACATAAATGAAACAGAAATGGGCAGATTCTCTCCATTGAGAGCAAGAGATTTGTCTGGTCCCGTTATAAGTACTTTTAAAACAAAAGATGATTTACCTAGAATTGATATTACTTCACAATATGATCCTTATGCAAATAAATATGATTGTTGGGGTGCAGTTAGCCTATCTTCATCTATGCAGAGTAATGTACCAAGCCCATTCAGTGGCAATCATACCCATCTTAACATGCCTGGGTCACAGTGGGGCCAAGGATACAAATATCTTTCGGATCACTTGCACAGTGCTCATTATTTAACTTTGAAAAAAGAATATTCTGGAAAAATGTATAATAAAGGTATAGTGAATATGTGTCAAGTTATAATAAAACATTACTAATTATAAATAACAATAAGGATTAATATTATTATTTCACATAATTATATCTTAAAAGTTATCAATTATATATTTATTTACTAAGCAATTGCTAGGGAATATTTGTGAGCTTCATATAGTCTTTCATATAATATGCATATTATAACTCTGCTGTTCTGAAAAAAAGACTTGTCAAACATCCTTTAAACTGAGTGATGTTAGTTAAAATTTTAAACATATTTTGATAGAAATTTTAAACATATATTGACAAACTGTGAGCATTCATGGCTTAATTCAGAGCCAGAGTTATAATATTGGTAGCATTTTTAGAATTTATAAATTGTTTTTGGAGATTTATCACTTTGTTTTATTTATTTGCTTGTACATTATTTCTCATCTCAAATTAAGACTCATATGAAAACATAAGGTAATTTGTATATTTAGTTAATAATGTAGTAAACATGCTTAATTATTTAATTTTTTTACTTTACATACTTTTCAATGTTAGTATTCATTTCATTAGCTTTTAAATATGCTGCTAAAACTGCTAATAAAAAATGCTTGCCAGTTTATTCTAAATATTATATTTGCTAATCTTGTTATGTTAATTTTTCCAAAGCATAGTTATAACTATTGGGGTGAGGAACATGAGTACAGAAACAGACCCTCCCTTGAGTGCTAAAGAGAAATTAAAAAAAGCTGTCAAAGATTATGGTTCAACAGTTATAATATTTCATATTTCTATATCTCTACTATCTCTGGGGGGATGTTACCTCCTAGTTTCTAGGTATGTGGTATTATCATGTAAATGCATGTCCAAAATTATATTTCATACTAATAATAACGATCAATATGTATATAAAAAGTAATTTTAATGAAAATTTGCCATAAGGCATTTGCATTTTCGGTGATGGAAATTAAGATGAAAATTTCATTTAAAATATAGACTAGATTTCACGCACAACGGACCAGAAGAGAGTCTAAGTGCGGAAAACGAGTCCACCTTACATTACATTACATTAGACTAGATTTATATTATTTTAATCTACATATTCCTCAACTATATTTTTCTATAATGAAAAGTTAAATACTCATTCATTTTTTTTTCAGTGGAGTAGATATAATGGCAGTATTGAGATATTTTAACATTGGTGAAGGAACTCTATCGAATGTAGTAACATCAAATGCTGGCACATTTGTGATAGCATATGGAGTTCATAAAATTTTTGCACCAGCAAGAATTGCTATCACACTAACGGCAACACCATTCATAGTGCGATATTTAAGGAATATAGGTGTTTTAAAACGTAATAATGGGACAGGTGGAGGGAAATAAATAATATTTAATCATTTATTGTTTTATTTTATATTAACTTCATTTTTGTATTATAGAACTTTAAATGTCAACCATTAGAATCAAAATAAAAAAAAAATTCAACGTCGCGTTAAAAAGTCGTCGTTTCCATAGACCCTAAGCCGGATATCTCCAGATATTTTATCTTCGTTTGTTTTTAGGTAATTATTCTAGTTGAAATATATATACAACAATGTAAATACAATGATTGAAGTTGTTTTCACAAAAAAAAAATACGCCGAGGCTCACCGCTCGTCGCCGCCGCCACGGCGCCAAGCCGTGACAAGGAATGAGTGTTTATTACGACCTAATTTAAAAAATATTTAAGAACTGTTTTTATGATGATAATTCTTGACAATAGCAGTATTTACAAGATACTTGCCGAAAACATGAAACTCCATCCTTTTTTAGCGTCCTAGATGTGTGATTTTTGCAATTTTTAAACTAGCACCGAGGCATGTTTACCGTCGGAACGTTCGAATTCTACTAAATTAAAAGCGCGCTCAAATGTTCAAATGAGCGCTCATTAGGCCAGGACATTTTTTGTGGCTGATTGTGTATCTAGTACCTACTTTTTGATAGTGACTGGTCTGGTGTTTGTAAGGACAATCTAATTCTAATATGATGTTCTCCTGACCGATTTCGGCCACGGCGGCCAATCTCATTGAGACTAGCCAACTGCACAGGAAATATAGTGCCTCCGGGCTCCGGTTACTGAGGCTTACTATACAGAAAGACTCAATAACTAAAGTTGGCCCGACCCGGGATTCGAACCCAGGACCTCCGGATGTGCAGCCGTAAATGCTAGCCACTACACCGAGGCAGTTAATTCTAATATAACCCTGTAAGCAATAATTTTCTAATAGACATGCTGCAGACTGCTGATTTAACCTTAGCGCCGCCCCTGGGCATACTAAAAAATGCCGCAATATTATCGAAATTTTGAATAAAATGTTGAAAGTTCAAAAAAATTTTATTATTATTTATGAAAAATGCAATAAAATAATTTATAAATTATATAAATTTTTCGAGAAATGTATCTACTACTTAATGTTGTGTAATTTTTCATTTTTTGTAAAATAAAAAAAGGCATTTTCGATAACGCTAAGAAATTTTTTTTTCCCGTCCTACAAATTTTGCCGCCCTGGGCACTAGCCCCGAGTGTAAATCCAGCGCTGGAAATAGGTACCCGTGTGTACTAATATTCATGGTGATTGTTTGAACGATAAGGATATTTCATTTTTATAAAAATATAATATGAGCTTATATTAAACTCTTCTCAAAAAAAAGTTTTGCATCTAAATCTACGAGCCTTCTTTGTAGGTTATAAATTCCATAATCTTTGTAAGTGCGTAACATTATTACTTAAGCAGGTACCTGACTATAAAATTACAGCTTGTGATCAGAGTAAAATGTATAAAAGAGTAACAAATTAAAATAAGAGTAATTGTTATTTTTAAATTTCTACGAAACAATAACACATTTAAAAGAAATGGTATAGAATAGAGCAAGAATATAATTCATAGGCGCAGCAGTCACGACAAATAGTGCCGGTTCATACCTACACGCGGCGTTCCACGCTCCTGTTACCTGTTTATTATCCATATCGTTGCTTCAAGGTCATGTTTCTTGTTATCGATTAAATTATTATTATAAAGTAGCACCTTCGCGTCACTGACATAATATAAATATTGTTATTGCGAGTACAAACTTACAAAGTAACAAATAGTTATTGCAAATGTTCCTTGCGAGACAGACAATATGTATATAGGTATATTGTCTTGCGGACTTTTCTTTAGGCCTTTTTATGACCTACAAAAGGTTTAGTCAGCCATAGAAACAGATATACAGACAAAAAGAGAAAATCAATAACTATTGTTTTGGTCTATATTCTGTACACAATACGTAGCAGTCACTGTTTCTTTTTTGATATATTTCATGTACCTACAGATTTCTCTTAATTACTATTTTATTATTATTATGTATAAATTATAATAAATAATCGATCAAAAATAACTTTTTGTGATGAATTCTTGCGAACGACAATTTTAATCACGAGTACACTAGGCTCTCGATATTTTGTTGATTGTTCGCCAGTTGTATTCCCCCACTACACAGGTTTTTGCTCACGATGTTTGCTAGCCAAGAACTTTAGGTACAACAATGGGCGTCTTGTAGTATTGGCTACATATCTTTTTACCCAAAGTGATGGGTATTAAACTGATTCAAGAAGATTTTCATAATTTTCATAAAATGATTAAGTAATTATTACGATAATTTTAATTATAAACCGTAACTTTAGACGTATTATCATATAATACACTCGTGAGCAAAAAAATCGACTCATAGTCGCAAGTCACTGGAAAAAAAAAACTGAAAGCAAATATATTTCTTTCATAGTAAAATGTTAAAGCTGCTAGTATTAGCTTCAAAATGATATAAAATATTGTAAGGTTTATTGCTCACACAACCCAACAATATGTTGTGATCAGTAACCACCCTTTTTACGCTTGTTTACAATAGTGCTAATTAAGGGTTACTGACCCAATATAAAAGGTTATCTACCTAACCCACCCATTCCCCTAGGGCTAACAGCATATTAATCCATTTGATTACAGGTACAGGTACCCACCCATATCAGTTAGCCGTCAAACGTCAACCGATACACATCTCCGTTATCAACAATCAAGAATTCTACCTGAAAATGGACACAACAAGCGATTTAGCAGTTCAAGCGATCACCCTAATGCGACAAGGCCAGAGTCAGCGTGAAATGGCACGTGCACTGAACATGAGCCAGTCTGCTGTTTCCAGAGTTTACCGTCGTTACCAGGAGACTGGTGGCTTCAATCGAAGACGCGGTTCCGGTAGAAAAAGGTGCACATCAGAGAGAGAGATGACCGATTTATTGTCAGCACATCGTTAAGAAATCGGGCCCTCACTGGCGTTCAAGTCCAACAAGAGCTCAGAGAAACGCGAGGAGTAGCTGTGAGTGGCTGGACAGTCAGAAGACGACTTAAGGCAGCTAGGCTTAGGTAGGTACAGTTAATATTAGACACCTACGTAAAGTATAATATTTCAAACATTAACTATCAATTCCTACTTGTTTTTATAATAACTGAACATGTTTTAAAAAAATTTTGGAAATTTCTGGATAATATTAAAAATATGAATATTGAATGTTAAGTTTTGCTATCTAGCAGCATTTTCCACCATATTTACACTTTGTTTTTCACATTCAATCGTACAGTAGTGTTGTTTTGTACTTGCATAACTGTAATTATATGATATATTTAAATAATGTGACTATATGATGTTTTTATGTTAGACTCTTATAAAATTATAATGCTACCCAATAAAATAACCAAATAAAATTGTATCTTGGATAAAAATCAATAATGTCAGTGCATTCTCATAATAATGAAGCGGTGTCTGTCCTTAATTCAGATCTGAATGCAATGTAAGTACTGTATAGTTTAAGTAAGTACATCACAGGCAGCTGATACTGTTCCCATGTCATAATAAAAATATGATTTTGAAGTTAAACATTGTGATACCGCAAGAAGTCAATAACATTAACAATGATAAGAATGTCAAGTGTTCAATAGAGTGGGTAAATATGTAATATACCTACTTGTTTATTCTGATAATTTATTCATACTACATTTTTGAAATTGTAGTATTCCATTCATTGTTAATCAACTAGAAGTTAAGTTAGTATTTCTGTATACTGCTTTATAATCATGATTCGACGTCAAATTAATTTTCTGCGGTTAACGTGTGTTATTTTGTTTTCTTTTTATTATATTAGTGTACTTTGTGCAAACAAGTAAGTACAATATATAAGTAAATAGTAATTTAAATATACTTATTAGAAATATGTTCAAAGCCATCATTAGTGCATAAACTCTATAAAAAATATTATAGTAAGTTGATTTTGTTCATTTATAAAAAAATAACATAGATAATTAAAAAGGCGCAGGGAATAGGGATATATACTCAATCACATAAAATCGAGTGTTCTAAAACTTTGTTTATTTTATTTGTTGACATCGCGCCTAACCTAATAATCTAACTTTGATCCCGATCTATTGGATATAGTTCTCGTGGAATTAATTTGCCGAGTCGTCTATTACGTAGTTTGAAGATGGTTCAAATAATTAAGATGGATAAAAATGGCGCGGAAGGCATGTATATAATTAATTATTAGAGTGTAAATAATTAATTAGTAAATTACAATTTCTATGAAATGGATATCTTTTACATATATGAAATTAAGTATGAAAAGAATTATAAAGAGAAGTTATAGTTAGATTTTTTTCTAATTATGTACCTAATAGGTATCACTGTTCACCAAAAAACGTCAGTTTATCAATATTTATAAGTAACTAGCATTGCCCGCGGCTCCGCCTGCGTTCAGGTGACCAAAAACCAAATTCTTAGGTTTTACATATTAATATACTCTTACATTGCAGTTTTTGTATTTTTCTCAGAGAACATACATTATCCCGCGGTAAAAAGTATCCTATATGTTGACCAGGATAACCAGCTATGACCATACCAAATTTCATCAAAATCCCTCCAGTGGTTTTTCCGTGATGCGGTAACAGACAGACAGACAAAAATTCTAAAAACTATAGATTCGGCCTCTGTATCGATAATAATGTCTATTTCATTAAGATTTTATTCTACAAAATGAAAAACACTAATAGAGATATATTAGTTCCCACAGAAACCGTTCATTTTTCCGGGATGAAAAGTAACCTGTTGTTTGACCGGCAATGTAAGTTATCAGAATGTTAAATGTTACTAAATTAGGTGCATATGTTGTTGTGTACTAAGCTGTATAAGATACTATAGTTTTTTAACTATCCTACGGGAACTTTTTAATTTTCCAGGACAAAAAGTATCTAAAATGTTGCCCAGGGATATAAGGTACCACCATGCAAAATTTCATTTAAAGCGGTCCAATAGATTCGGAGATTAGCCTGTACAAAAAATAGACAGAGAAACAAAATATTAAAAAAAAACTGGATTTGTTCTATTTGTCTTCTTACATCCCCCTGATTCGGTTTCTAGCATTTTTTTGCTATGTACAGACATTCGATCTCTACTGTTTTACTATAGTATAGATAGATGATGAAAAGTTATTGTTTGTTGATTTTTAAACAAATGAAATAGAAGTCAGATTTAGATACGAAAAAAAGATAAAAGGTTAATTCTAACTAATAAAAATAGATGTAGAAAAGTAATTTTTAGTTATCAAGTTTAGACCGTGCGCGGTGCGACTCGTCGGATAGATACAAAAAAATAAAAAATATCACCATTTACATCGGCGGAAACGCGGATATCTCTGGAAGGATATAAGTCAGGAATCATGATCGACAACCTCGAAGAGGCTTTAGTTTGATTGTTTTACTAATATATTACTACTTCATTTTTCAGTAATATATCTGCGCCAAATGGAAAATATTTATTCGACTTTACAAAAACCGATGATGTAAGTAACTGGCAAGAACAGTCCGATACAGTGCGCAGTGTCGGAATGTCCAAAGCTGTATTTGTTATACATCAAAATTCCGAATTTAGAAGAGCCATATTCTTCGCATTGTTAAATCCTCAACCGAATGGTGCTGGTTTTGCTGGTACACGCTCTCTTGGCTTTTACGACTTATCAGGATATACCAAACTGCAACTGTACTGTCGTGGTCAAGGACATTTTAATGGTTTCAAAGTTGTTCTCCGACACAAAGGATTAAACGATGAACCGAACTATTCTTTTGAGCAATACTTCCAGGTACCATTTTTATTTCCACAAAAATATATTGAGTAACGTTATTTTGATTTGCAATAATTATACAAACATTAATAAATTCTATATTTGTGGAATATATTATTTTTCAGGCTCCAAAGGATGAGTTTGCACTCCGCACGTTACCATTTTCAGAATTCAAAGCTTATTACAGAGGAAAGCGAGTAAATAACAACGAAACTTTAGATATTTCCCAAGTGACCAGCATAGGCATTCAAATGTATGGTGGAGTATATCAGACAATCAAACAGAAAGGGCCTGCAACATTAGAATTAGATTGGATAAGAGCAGAGTAATTTGAGAATATTTTTTTATAATTTTTAGAAAATTAATAAAAACCTACCTTAAATCCTTTTTTTAAATTTCTTTCTTGCCGAAAGGTTTTACCAAAAACGCTTTCCTTATGAATTGTGATAACAATATAATTAGAGTACTATAACTATTGTAGCTCTTTCAATAGACGGCATAGTTGTTTACATCTCAAAACAAAGATTTCAGTTCAGAATAATCACGCGTCTTTAATAATTTCTTAATGTTTATTTCATTTACGGGATATTCATATCCTGAAAATGTTAATAATTTTGTGATGTCTTTCTAAACTTTCAACCATTAAAACAAAGATTACAGTCTTATCGCATTCGTCAGTAAATATTTATGAAACATCACAATGTCGCATTTAGCAATATGTTCTTTGCGAACAACGGTACATACTAGTATAGTATAATATAGTTTCAGATTGTGTGTAAAAGTTGCCTAAGATTACATGAATAGTACGTAAATATGTAATACATATTTATCTATTGTCTATACGTAATGTATAGATTATGCATATTATTTCCATATTAATAAAATTAATTCCTTCTTCGATAACAATGGAACAAATGTGGTATGCATAGTTAATAATGAATCACCATATGAGATTACAGTATCATACTCATTCCTAAGACCAAGAAAAAAAGGAAGGCAAATAAATAAGTGAAATCACATATAATATAATTAATTATATTGCCTATCATACAGAACACCACTAGATATCCTATAAAAGTCCTTATAGCTAGTTTGCTTTGCATTAACATAACATTGTACGTTTATCGTTGTCGCGAGGGCAGCAGGAGGGTGAGGGCGGTCATGGCGTCGGGGAAGAGGGAGTGGTAGTTGACGAGCGGCACGTAGGCGGCGGTGATGACGCGGCCGGCGAACCAGCGGCCGTGCAGCGAGTTGACGGACGCCACCGCCGTCGCGATGGTGGGGCACTTGCAGTACACGTTGCCCTGCGGCGACGCCTTGTCCACGTACACGTGCAGCACGCCGCCGTGCTTGTTGCACTCGCTGATCACGTCGTCCCTGATCTCGATGTCCCAACTTGGATTTGTTTCCCTGTTCAAAATATACAATATACAAATATTATTTATGGCACACCAATATTTTACACTAGCGGCTCACCCTCGCTTCGCTTGGGTTCGCCTCTAGTAAAACAAAAACAAATCTAACCCTCGGGAACCGTATATTCCGGGATAAAATATGTATGTGTTATTCCAGATTATAAATCTCTGTGCTAAATTTCAAATCCAGATCCGTTCAGCGGTTCTGGCGTGAAAGAGTAACAAACATCCTTACATACTCACAAACTTTCACATGTAAATATTTATACAGATTACACAGATACATACATAGACAAATATATGTGACAATATACATACATATTTACAATCACAACAGATCAATAATTATATATCATTTAAGAATATCAAAAGCTTGGGTATAATAATTAAATTAAGTGAGTCAAAATATGAGAAAAATACTTACGTTGCTGGGTCAAACATGTTATTCAGCATGAAGCATTGTGTGGCGATCGGCGGCGCTACTTGTGGCTGGGGAGCGACCAGCGTGGACCCTGCGCCCATTAAGACCGACGCGGCTGCGGGGGGTATCTGAATAAAAATAATACATTCAAATAAATAACACATTCATGAATAAAATACTTTTCCATTAAGAAGTATATCTGGAACCTGGTGTATATTTTAATCATAAAAATAAAAAGTGAAAAAGAAAGAGTAAAGAAAAAGAAAGAGTAAAAAAAAAGAAATAATTTGATTTGGTAGTGTGCATAGCATTTTACACGATTAATTGGGGATAAAAAAAAGTATCTGGGTCGCCAGAATGCTTAATATTGTCATAATTTTAGCAAATTACATTATCAACACGAACACAATAATACGAAAACGTCAATAATGAACGTGATAATAAAATGATAATATTTTACCCCCCTCTTTTCTCAGGTATAAATCGAAAAATATCGATCCTACGAAAAAATTGACAAGGACCAAAAATTGTATTAAATTAGATTTTAAACAACTTTGTTTATATATATTCTTTATTGCATATTAACAGAGTAACACAGATAATACAGAGAACAATGTGGGCAAAGGTGGACTTATCTCTAGAAGAGATCTCTTCCAGCCAACCTAAGGAAGTGAGAAATAGTGTTATATGACGGGACTAAAAGTGTGCAATTGATTTAAGATAAAATTATGTCTTACTCTTTGGTATGTCGAGCATTGACATGACGCAAGACCGCCTGGAACGTGAGAGGATAGGGAGAAGTTGGATACGGGAACGAAGGTAGGGAGGAGAATTTGGGTCGTTAAGAATATTGAAGAGGAAGGAAAGGATGTGCATATCACGGCGAAGTCGGATTGGGAGCCATTTAAGTTGAGCACGAAAGTTTGATACATGGTCATGCTTGCGCAAGCCAAAAATAAAGCGAATAGCTAGATTCTGGAGACGCTCTAGTTTGTTAAGTTGCTCCTCAGTCACATCCAAATAGCAGACATCAGCGTAGTCAAGTATGGGGAGAAGAAGGGTTTGAGCAAGCATAATCTTGTAGTAGGGGAGCCCAAGAGGGGATTTTCTGTAGTTACTCGAGCGCGGCAGATTAACATAAAAGAGGTTACCTTGCACTCTATTGAGTACTTTCACCACAATAAAAGTCTTCTATATAAAGGGGCGCGTCTAGGGAAGCCGATTAAAATATTTAAAAAACTAGCGGCTCACCCTCGCTTCGCTCGGGTTTACCTCTAGAAAAGCACAAACTGATCTATCCCACGGGAACCGTTCATTTTTCCGGGATAAAAATAAGTAACCTGTTGTTTGATCTGCAATATAAGGTATCAGCATGCCAAATTTTACCAAATTAGGTGCATAATTTGTTGTGTACTGAACTGTATAAGAGTTACTATAGTTTTTTAACTATCCCACGGGAACTCTTTAATTTTCTAGATTATCGGAGATTAGCCCGTACAAACAGACAAACAGACAGAGAAACAAAAAAATTGAAAAAAATCTGGATTTGTTCTATTTCTCTCCTTACGGGATGTAAGAAGAGAACTGACTCGGTTTTTAGAATTTTTTTCTACCATCTATGTACAGACATTCGACCTCGACAGTTTTATTATTCATATAGGTATATTCAGATAGAATAAATAACGTATAATAAAACAGTAATATTATAATGAAAATAGTTATAGCGAGTGTACCTTAGGAGATAGACATATATACTATGTAGAACTTTTCTACAAACCTTTTTAAGACTCACAATTTTTTTGTACAATGTTTTGATCTATCTCTTAAGGTTGAGCCAACGTTAGCCATATAAATTACTAAGGACAATTCGATAGAACCAGTTATTGTATTTTCCCGTGGGAATGAATAATTTGCCTGTCGTAAAAGGTATTCTAAATGTTGACCCGAGCACTAAGTTTTATCAGTATACAAAATTAAGTTAAAATCGGTTCAGTACTTCTTGCGTGAAACGTGCACATCGATTTGACTAAGTTTTATTATAGGTATAGATAAGAATAAATATTGCGAGTGTAACTTAGGAGATAGACATATACTATTCAGAACTTTTCTGTAGGACTTTTCAAGACCTACAATTTTTTAGTATATTGTTTTGATGTATGTATGTCTTAAGGCTTAGCCAGCGGAAGGTTTCTAGGCAGGACTCGATACAGCCAGTTATTGTATTTTCCCGTGGGAAAGAAAGATTTTCTTTAAGTAAAAGGTATCTAGGCAGTGGTATCTCAGTGGTAACGCGCTCGCTTGGGAAACCGAGTAAAGCAAGTTCAAATCCCGGGTCTCGCACCTATGATATTTTCATGTGCGAATCATTTCTAACACAATTACCACTTGTCTTAACGGCGAAGGAAAACCTGCATGTCTGACAGAACCTAGCAAGTTTTCGAAAGACATGTGAAGTCCACCAACCTGCACTTGGCCAGCGTGGTGGACTATGGCCTGATCCACCTCGTACTGGAGGGAGGCCCGTGCCCAGCAGTGGTACGTTAAAAAGGGCTGAATACATACATACATACAAAAGGTACCCTAAATGTTGACTCGAGTAATAAGTTATCACTTCACCAAATTTCGTTGAAATTGGTACATTACTTTTTGCGTGAAACGCGCACACAAAAACAGACAAACAGACATACAGACAAACAGACAATTTTTTTATTAACTATTGTTTTGGGGTCTATGTTGTGTACATAATACGTAACAAATAAACAAAAACATGTATCCCACGGGAAACGTACATTTTTCCGGGATAAAAAGTTACCTATTTGTTATTCTAATGTATGAACTATATTATTGTAAAGTTTCATCAAAATCCAATCAGTAGTTTTTGTGTACTAAGCTGTATAAGTTACTATAGTTTTTTGACTATCCCATGGAAACTCTTTTATTTTCCGGGATAAAAAGTAGCCGATTTGTTACTCTCATGTATGAGCTATATTATTGTAAAGTTTTGTTAAAATCCAATCAGTGGTTTATGTGTATTAAGCTGTATAAGATGTTATAGTTTTTCAACTATCCCACGGGAACTCTTTAATTTTCCGGGATGAAAAGTATCTAAGGTATCACCCGGGGATATAAGGTACCACTATGCAAAATTTCATTTAAATCGGTCCAATAGATTTGGAGATTAGCCCGTACAAACAGAAAAACAGACAAACAGCTCGCTCGGGTTCGTCCATACCTACGAATATGTTGTATTATCTCTTTAACCATTTGTCCAAATTATATGCAGTAAAAGGGAAAAGTCTTTTGTTTTAAACATTTTAGACGATAAATTTACTTATTTTGATAAGAATTCATAATTGTTGATAATATGACCAATAAACATGACCTACCGATTTAAATTATCTTTTTAATATAAAAAACTACTTTTTGTGACTTAAATATAAAAGTTAGACATATGCTGTCGCTGACTTTTTTGTAGGCATTATTAAGCTCTACAACTTTACTCTAGAACATAATCATATATCTCTCATCGTTAAGGCAGCGTTCGTAAGAAACGTTTTCGTTCGACCGTTTTTTCTCCGACTTTGCAAATCCGACCACCACGAAAAAGCCTTTTCATTTTTAGGGTTAATATATAGCCTATGACACTCAGAAAGAACGTGGCTTTCTATTGGTAAAAGAATTTTGAAAATCGGTTCAGTAGATCCAGAGATTACCCCCTACAACGTCACAAACTCACAAACTCACAAGATCACAAACTTTACCTCTTTATAATATTAGTATAGATGTTTTGATAAGGTAGAAATACTTGAAACCGTCAGATTAAGGTGTGGTAGGCTAGTCACATCCTGAAAAGTGTCCAATTCAATAATCTGCCGATTTGCACAAGCCTAAGAGGCAAAAATCATCATAAACTTTATAGTCGATTTTTGCCTCTTCGGCTTGTGCAAATCGGCAGATTATTGAATTGGACACTTTTCAGGATGTGACTAGCCTACCACACCTTAATCTGACGGTTTCAAGTATTTCTACCTTATCAAAACATTTTTTAAATATTTTAATCGGCTTCCCTAGACGCGCCCCTTTATATAGAAGACTTATATTATGGTGAAAGTACTCAATAGAGTGCAAGGTAACCTCTTTTATGTTAATCTGCCGCGCTCGAGTAACTACAGAAAATCCCCTCTTGGGCTCCCCTACTATTGGTACTAAAGGGGAGAAAGAGAGACGCTTGAGACGCTTGAGAGAGTGGAACGAGTGATGCATTCGTTTCCTGACCTCGTTGACATGAGCTACCCAGGTCATGTTACAATCCATTATTAGGCCCAAGCTTTTCACTCTATCACAATAAGGGATTGGAACACCAGAAAACTCGACTTGAGGTATTGAAGTCCAGTCGATTGTACACCTTACTCTACTACTGCCAAATATTATGCACTGTGATTTGCTGGGATTCACAAGAAGGCCGAAAGACTCAGCCCATAGTTGGAGTTTATTACAATTTTTCGCGGAAAATTGAGAATAAACGAGTTGTTCAATAAACGAAAATTCACCCATACATTCAAGACTAGCGGTTGATTCCCCATACAAACTTTCATCCCCATTTTCACCCCCTTAAGGGATGATTTCCGAGATAAAAAGTATCCTATGTCCTTCCCAGGGTCTCAAACATTCTTCTTACCAAAGTTCATCCAAATCGGTTCAGTAGATCCAGAGATAACCCCCTATACCGGTCACAATCTCACAATTCACAGACTTTACCTATTATATATTATATAATATTAGTATAGACGGCGGATGACGCAACGGGTCTGGTACGCCACGGAACGCGCCAATGGGATCCAGAAACAAAAACTACAGTCTATGACTTGGAAAAGACCACCGTTTCTAAACCTTCAGAAAGTTAAAGCGAGTCATTTCGCCGGAAACATCATGTCTTTTCTTTGATAGCAAAGGGGTGGTCTCCAAATAATATCTCGACCTATGGAGATTCACGAGAAACGGCAAGGCAAACTAGCAAAAATTGTTTTGTTCCATCAACATAATGCCCAGGGCATTATCTTGATTATCTTGATATCTCACAGGTCCACCGTTGCTATGGCTGCAATTCGAGACACTGGCTTCGAAATACTTGAGCATCCTGCATATTCACCCGACCTTGGCCCTAGTGATTTCTATTTATTTCCAAGGTTAAAGGAGTCTCTGAGAGGAGAAAGATTCGAAAATGATAAATATAAGTTGCTGCAGTACAGGAAATTTTAGGTGCTCAGGTTTTTTTTTAAGATAGAAATTTTAAGCCTAGAAAAAAGATATTCGAAGTGCGCCATATACTAAAAAGTGACTATATCGGAAAATAAAATAACATTTAATAAGTTACCAGCAACATACTCATTCTCACTTTTTATCGAACACCCCTCGTAATATTGTGCAGTCAGAGACATACATCTTTCATCCTTGCTGCGAGATATAAATATTATGTTTATATGATAAAATAAATATGTGTACAAACTGGAGTCTTAGTAGATGCAAAACATCTCCATAGACATACCACATAAAAACGTCATAATAGAAAAAAAATGCCACTAATATATGCAAAAGTAATTATTCTTACAGGGAAAACTATATAATAAATTCTAATATATTTATATGATATATGTGTATATAATGTTATATACATTTTCTGTTATCTCTTTATATAATTTTCCATCCCCATCCATCTATCTTAGTGCCGATTCCTACACCTTTAGATTGCCAGGAAGAAATCGCTCTGTATGCTATGAGGCATTAAGGATTTTTTTTTTCACTTTGCTCTTTGGGTGCACAACACTGATATACAAAAACTCAAGATCAGCGAATGAAATTATCAAGATAAATATGTCTATTGATAATTATCAAGATAATAATTCGATAAATCTAATAGATATAAGCTTAGCAATCCTTGTGTAGATATTGGTATTTGACTACTTGCATATCATAATTTACGTTAGAATAAATTATACACTTATAACAATCAAGGTAATCTTTTACTATATTTTTTTTTCATAATTTTGGCACATACAAACTTGAAAACAAAAACAGAATAAATTTAACCAACTACATAGGCACTATTTAATTAAATTAATGAGCGGAATATCATCCTCCTCAACTCATGTTTGCTGATCGAGTTTTGCGAGCCGATTGAGAGAGTTCAGTTTGACAATTTGAAGAGTTGCAAATTAAAAATTTCAGTTATATTTATCAAAGATAATTATTAAACTATACTTATCATGATAATTATCAATGATAATTATTATCGCTTCGAACCCTGCTCAAGATACTGATGATACTCTAAGAATTTGTGTTTAGACAGGTACCCATTTGGCTACCATTTAAGGGCCTATAACATGGTTTATTGTAAAATGTTTTAACCAAAACCTTTCAATATGGTACTGGGTAACTCTTTTATTTATCTGTATAGTTTAGTGGAACTTACTTGTAATCCGGTGCCTTCAGCAAGTTTGAACATGAGCTGCAAGCGGCCGGTGGCGCCGAGGTCAACGCCCGCGCGGTCCAGCTCGTCGGCGTCGAAGCGCGTGCTGGAGCCGCCGTCGGTGCGCTCCGTCACGTTGCCCACCTTCATGGGCCGCCCGGCCAGCTCGAACCCGTTCAGTTGCTCCATCGCCTTCTTCGCATCTGCTGCGTGATGGAACTGTAAATAATCATAACGAGTATTATTTATAATATTAAGAAATTTTATTTGAAAATTTCGTAATTTATAATAATAATAATATATGAAAAAATACGCGCTATTAAAGGGCGATCTCCAGCTTCTGTTGATCTACATTATGTTCATTCTAAAATATACAAAGATTTATTATATTTGTGTCAAAAATAATTACTATTTTATAAAATTGCTGATATATTTTGCTATATGTAATACTGTCAAATGAAACATTTAAATCATAATGCTGAATATATTTTCCAAGCACTTTGGTTTGTAACGCATCATGCAAAAATTTCATACTTAAAAATGAACCAGAAATTTGACTTTGATTATAAAAACTGATTTACGAGGTAAAATCTACTATAGCAAATAACACAATATTATACTAGTATAGGTGCCATATTCCAACCATAATTTGAGTATATTTTTTTTTAAATAGTTTTGGATGGTGTTAACAGTCAACCATTGACCTTTTTGATCAACCGAGTGTGTTATTTGCGAGGCCAGATTGAGAACGATATTCTAAGAATAGAAAGGTATGAAAGATGAATAAAAGAAAAATAGGATGATATGTCATAATGGCGGCACGACGATACGCGTAATTGTGTTTTGTAATTTAAATATAATAAAAAGTATGTTATAAACGCTTTTCCTTTATTAGTATCCCCGGATTCTACAAATTGGGGGCTAGATTTTGCAAATATGTATGTATTAAAACATGCTAAGTAAAGCAAAATAATATTGCATACAGCTCATGTATTGTAAACAGAACCATCTAAGAATATGTACAAAGTACAAACTCATTACCTAATGGCTATGCAATTAGTAATGAGTTTAATAATGCATTATTTTCTTTCTCTTTACTATGATTTTTTTAATACTCAAATATATATATATATATATTTCTTTTCTTTAAATGATGAGACCCTATTAAAATAAAACTTACTGTTAAAAATCCGTAGCCTTTACTTTTCCCTGTATCTGGATCAGTCATGAGTTGAATGTGATCAATTTTTCCAAAAGGTTCAAATATTCCTCTCAACATATCTTCTGTGATGTTAAAGTGCAGCGAGCCTACATAAAGCCGAGTTGGTCCATTGCTTGTCTTTGGTGCTAAGTTAGGAAGTGTGTTACCTACTCTATTTTTCTCAGCTTGTGTATGTTGTACAATTATAGGAACACCAAGTAATTTTTGTCCTGTCAAACCTAGAGCCTGAAATAAAAAAAAAAAGTTTAGAAAACTGTAACATTTTATAAATACCACTTTGAAATAAATGCTACCTACCAATGGTACTGATTCAGCATCTTTAAATTCTATGTATGCAATGCCTTTAAATCTTCTTGTTTTGTTACAAGTAATAAGTCTTACATCTCTAACTTTCCCAACGGACGAAAAAAATTCTTCTAAATCCTTTGCTCTAATTCGTTGAGACAATTGCATACAAAAAACGGTTCGCAAATCTCTTTCTTCTGGAGGTAAATCGTCAACTTTAGGTTCTATTCCTCTAGATTTTGATCTGTATTCGCCGCGTTCCTTCTCCCGACTGCGTTCTCTTCGAGTTGAATGTGCATCCCGGCTACGTTCCCGATCTCCGCTGCGTTCTTTGTCTTTACTACGTCTTTTATCTCGATCTCTTTCCCGTTCTCGTTCCCTGTCCTTGTCTCCACGGTCTCCACGGTCCCCACGATCGCCGCGATCTCTCTCCTTTTCCCTATTCGTACGTTCCTTGTCGCGATCACGACGGTCTCTGTCGCGATCACGATCACGGTCGCGATCTCTTCCCTCTCGTTTGTCATCTTTATCTTTAGAACGGCGCGTATCCCTGTCACGTGATTTTCTTCTATCTCTCGACCGGCTTCTCCTAAAAGATATACAACTTTAATCAATCCATGAGTTCATATTAAAATAACTTTGAATTCAAATTTTCCTTAAAAATTTACCTTCGACTGCCTTCCTTTTCTTTGTCTCTGTGCTTGTCAGAATACTTGTCCGACCGGTGTTTTGAAGAGGAAGTGTTATCCTGTCACACAAAGCACAAGGTAGAAGCAGCGCCACAGCAACACACGCCGAGTGAATAAATAAAAATTGCATTAGTTTATTGAATGAACTGTATGAAATCAACTGTAAACTTTCATTAATGACATAAAGTTATAATTTATATCATTAAAGAAAATTACAGATGTCGGTTTTATTCCTATGCTACAGAAGACTGCTTTCACAATCATGTTATGTCCTAGAGGTGGTTGAAGTCGGTCCCCGGTCTACACTTACCATTCGGAAAACCACTGATTAATGATGTACACAGCACTAACATCACACAGGGATACTTCTGTAAAAGATTTACGACCCATCAGCGCATGGTCCTTTTCAATTTGAAAACTCACTTATAATGCATTTTTTATTAGAAAATTATTTTAAACTTTTAAGTTTATTGAAGTTAAAAAATGTAAGAGGAAAAAAATTAAGTATAGTAGTCGATACCTCATTTTGTTCAGGTCGGTGAAGTATGCTGGACAATTACCACAAAGTTCTATAAATACAAGAAATGAATCTCAAATGTAATTTTGTTTTATTGTGTTTAAATGAGAAACTGTTCAAAGGTGCTGTTTAATTAAATATATTGTGCAATTTGAAGTATAATTTTGACATCTTTGAACAGTCTATCAGTCTTGTTACTAACCAGCACCAGTCAGGATACTATTGCTAAGCAACTATCAATTATATTTTCCATAAGTGTACATAAAAAGTTTTACAATATGAAGTGTTACATATAGTAATAGAATATAATGTAATGAATATTAAATGTACACATTTTTACTTTTATTATTTTATCTATTTCTTGTAAGGAATTACTATAACAATGGTTTTAGAAATAACTTCAGTACTGTACAAATATTATGTTATAGGTACCAATATATTTTCAGAAAACAACAGGTGAACATATTGTCATATTTTATAAAACTTAAACATATTTTTATGTGACATTTCAGTGTTAATAAAATTTAATTTCTCTAATACAATAAAAATGAACTTTTATTACTTACCGATTTATTATATGGAGCTTCTAACATTGCTTCTACATCCAAGTCTTCAGCCATTCTTTAATAAATACAAATTTCTTTTAAATTGGAGATACAAATAAATGTGTTTCTTGATATTTTTTGCAAAATGAAAATTGTAGAGTATCTAGTTATTATATATTTTTAAATTAAATGCAAATCATTACATTCTTGTCTTTTTAATAATTTAATACGGTAAGCATTCCACAACAAGTAAAAGTACTAATAGTAATTAATAAAATATTTAATATAGTTATTGCGAGAATTTATCGTAATAGCAGTTGCTATAGTAAAAAATATTCATATAATATAAAATCTAGATTTTTTTAAATATTAAATTAAAGACGAATTATTAGTTAAAATACAAGTGAGTAACTCTGAATACATATTTAGATAAAATTTTAATATATAAAAGCCATGTTGTTGTCAAAATGGGTACAAAATGGCGAACATACAGTTTGTACTCGACGTTTCTATGAAGTTGATATTTGATTACAAGTTTATAATATTTACAATTTACCTTTTATTATCTTTTATGGTGGCAAACAAAACAAATATAGTATTGAAGTAAGTATTTGTAAAATAGTATCTGGAAATAAAAATTTAATTAATTTTTTTTAAACTTCAGAGTGCTCCACATTGACAGCTTGTATTCACCATAGATAATTCACATTTCACATGTCAGTTGTCACATTTATGCACTATGGTCTATGAATAAGAAACAAGTTCAGTAAATGAGAAATTTGTCATTTGAGAATAAGAAAAAAATGTAAAAATATAAAAGATTACATTAAAATTTTCTTATTATATCTATTACATAAAAAAAAAAAAAACATTTTATTATGTGAATACATTATTTGCTATTTCATTTATGTACGTTACTATAATATTAACTCGTTTTACTAAGAAGTAAAACGAGTTTCAGTTTTCCAATTACAGAGCATAATACCACACTTTGGCGCACAAACACGAACAACACGAAAAAACTTCTATTTTCTACTACTGAGTTGGTTGGTCACGCCAAAGCAGTACTTTTCAAAGTGCTCAATTATGCGGAGCGTCACTGTTGTTAAAAAAGTTGAAGTTGAACATTATTCCGCATAATTTGAAAATAGGGTATTATTAGAGAGTAAAATTGATGTAATGTGGTGGTTCAAGAAACCTTCCCCGGTTTCTTGAAAGGCACCACACGTATGGTCTATTTACATTCAGTCTGAGGTTTAGCAATTTATTATGATATCTCTTTTTGTTAGAATCTTACCTGTGCAATGTATTATACCTGGAAGGTAGATCAGTTGAAGGAAGAATTGAGAAGAAAAGGTGCATATTGTGGTGATCCTGACTGACTGATGGATCAACACACAGCATAAACTGCTGGTCGTGGAAACTTGAAATTTTTTGAAAGAATTTTTCGAAATTCATCCTCTAAGGGGGTAAGATAGTGGATTAAAGTTTGTATGAAACTCTGTGATTCTTAATGGAAAAACACAGAAAGTGGTGTTTAGCCTAAAGATAAAAAGTAAGAAATATATTTATTTGTTTTTATTTTTAATCGAAATTCAGGGGATAAAAGAAGGTAATAAAGTTTATATGGGTAAATAATTATTTATGATTAGAATGAGTTAGAGTTGTTATTGTCTGACAAATGATATATAATATTATATTCTTTCCTTATTTTCTTTCCTTTCGGCCACTTTTATAGAGGTATTTTATCATGAACAGAAATGAATATACGCCATGAACGTATAAATGTAATTAAAACATTTTTAATGACTCGCAACCACGTTTGCGGCCACTTTTACATAGGCAGACGTAGTTTATCAGGTACAGAAAAAAATTAGCTTTAATTTGATATATAAATGAAGAACATACGCGATGAACGTATAAACGTCCCAAAATATGACCTGCTTACACCTGGCTGCGAAGAGGTTGCGGCCAAATGCGCAACGGCAGCTATCATTTTTCAAGATCTCTACGTATAGTTCTGTGAAGTGGAGTATAATTCATTGTAATAACAAATGAATCGTTTTTATTCCAAAAAAGTCAACTATTATTTAGTTAATTAAACATACTAGCGGGCACATTTGGATAGGCACCCCGGTCAAAACATATTGTCGCTTTTATTATTGTATATAAAAAAATGAATTCGATTAAATACGCTATGAACGTAGCAATCTTGCAGTGGGATCTTAGTCCATAAGCAGATGTTCTACACACACCTATTGATACATATTTGTAGATGAAGCGGTTGAATAGTGATGCGCCTAGTAAAACTTTTAGAATTTAATTATAATAGAAGTATATTAACATAAACTATTTAATAAAACCATTTATTCACGCACATATAGACTTATTATCTAAAATTACAGTATTTTAAATTAATATCTTTCATTTGTAAATCTATGTAGTAATAGTGTTGCTTAATATATTGATTTTTTTTAAATAATAGTAAACTAAATTAAAATTATATATTATTCTCTTTAACTTTTCGCGTTCCATAATTATATAATAATTACACTACGGGACTTAAACGCAAATTACGGGAACTAAAAGTGAATTCACGCGTTTAAATTCCGTAATGTAATTATTATTCTTAATTAATTTTAAACATTTTTTTTTAATTTCACATATAACAATAATGTTACTTGAATAATTCTTTTTTTATATTTAAAAATATAATAGTGACAACAATAAATAAGATGACTAATTAATAAAGTTTTCTAAAAAAATTGTAATAATTATAATAATAACGGCTAAAATGAAATAAATAATATTCCATGCAATTATAAAGCTTTTTAAATAAAACCATCTTTTCGGATTTTGTCGCGGATTTATTTGTATTTTTGTTTCCCGACGTTTCGAATGCTTTACAGCAATCATGGTCACGGGAGAGACTTTAAATAATAAGGTAATATATTTATTAAGATATGTATTTATTTAAATATGTTTTAGGGCGGAATAGTGACACATGACACATTGTATTGCAGGCGCTACACACGTTAATAAAGTTGCAATGTTCTCATGGCAAGATATCCGGGGCGGGTCAAACCGTACGTGAGGAGGAGCTTACTGAATTATATAGATGGCTGGACTGGTGTGCGTCAGCTATTACATAGTCATCTTTATTATACATCTATGGTCCTGATTATAGATGGGCCAACTCGGGTTTTTGCTAACCCGAGTTAACACGAGTTAAAATCATGGTAACTCGAGTTCAACCCGAGTTAAGTAACTCGAGTTAGCATGATAAGTGTTATGAAATTAATACATTCTTTCATTCTATTTCGAGTTGAATACATCTACGAGTATTCTTTTCAAGTTTTTGACATGTTTTGACTATTGGTTACTAAAGTGAGTCTTTTTAAACCATAGTAAGTGAATAATTGAAAGAAATTATATTATTATTATAATGTATTTTCATTAATGTACAGTGTTTTACAGTTTATCGATAAAGAAGTAACTTCCGACAAGACAAGTGCGAGTCGGACTCGCCCACCGAGGGTTCCGTACAAATGTGTAGGAAATCTGTTTAACTTTAATTTGCAATTTACAACAAGTAAAGGGAAAATTTCAAAAAATAAAAAAAGTTCAAAGCTAAGGTAAATTTTGGTTAATTACAAGTTTTTGTGAAAATCTAAATTTGCCCATATCTTTTTATCGTGTTGACTCAGGACCTTGATTTTATACACCCAATAGCGAGAATAGACCTTAGTATCTGGTATACATTTTAACTTGCTAGGTCCACCCATTTCTTTGAAAATCGGCGGTAACACACGGACAGACGGTTGTCCGTGAGTGATCTTATATGGAATCCTTTTTTATTTTTTGAGTTACGGAACCCTAGAAAACAATAAAAATAGCTTAGCTTTTTTGGCTTAGGCTAAAGAAACTAGAATAAAAACACCAGTTCTCAAATAATAATTTGATAAATTTAAAGTTTAAACATGAAAAAATAACAACGACATTAATATTAAAATATTAATTAGTCTATAGTAATATTAAAATAAAATGTTGGTAGATAGAGATACTACCAGACGGTGGTACCGTACCCGGTCTACATCCGGGTGTCTCCCTAGGTACGTTTTAAATACATATGTAGTTAAAAATAGTTATTGCGAGTGTACCTTAGGAGATAGACATTTTTACTATTGGGACCTTTTTAAAGATCTACAATTTTCTATTACCTATCTTGTTTTTATGTTTAGTTAGTATTGCTTGTAAATTTCTGTGGATGACTCAGTAGAAACAGTTTTTGTGTTTTTCCGTGGGAAATAACAGGTTTTCTGTAGTAAAATTTATTTACAATCGGTTAAGTACTTTTGGCGTAAAATGCATATAGATATACAAACAAACAGACGTGCAGACAATCAGACAAACTTTCAATATAAATTTATTATATGGTACTATTAAGGAAAAGTATTTGGTTTAATTTTTTGGGTACTAATCTATTTCGGCGAGGCGGTATATTTAGCAGTCATGACAAAGGTTTGTTAAAGAGTTTCCTACAATGTTTTGTGTTGATCAAGTTGTTTTTTTAAATATGATTCTTCAATGTAGTTGTATTACCGGAATATTTATATGATTCAGAACACCATTTAAATTTACACTCGTTACATTGAACTGGTGCTTCAAAAATTACCCAAAAAAGGGATGTTTTTTTTGGCCCCGGTATTATCGAAATAATCACAATTAAACTTTTTATAAAGAATTCAAATAAGAATTAATAAATTATTAAATTTAAGAACTCGTTATTTAATAAAAATGCAACTTTTTTGGAGATTTGCTACCTACTGTTTCTAATGTCATTTCGTTCGCGCGCAAATATTCGTAAGCATACGGGTAAAGTCGGCTTCTCTCGAAAAGCAAACTTCGTTTCGTGTATGAAATGTAAAACGAAGTTCCTTAAGAAACTAGGTTTGTGTGTCGGTATCTAACCCGAGTTACGATCGGTCGAACTCGGGCTAACTCGACGTGACGCTAACTCGGGTTAACCCGAGTTGGCAAACCGAGTTGACACATCGCTAGACTCCTGATACTGTGCCTTTTATAGTCTGTGCAATACATTTATTTGTCAATTGTCATCCATGTTGTATGTATTTGGTATTAGGTACATACAAAAATATTTTTAGTCATTAAAATTTAAATAATCTGTAACCTGTGTGTGTATATCACAGACGATATTTAACAACAATTAAAGAAACGTAGTAACGTAATAACTAATAGCATTTTGTAATAATACAAGTTTCTTTAAATGGTTGCAGTAGTGGTTCATGGTGGTATTATATTCTCATTGTATGGTTTATTTAACTATATAAAGGCAACGTTAAATTAACGTGTTTAAGTAGATAGATATTAAAGTGCTAAACTTTTACAATGACTACTGCGGCTAGACCTACTTTTGATCCAGCTAGGGGTGGCCAGGGTCGCGGTGAAAAGGATTTGAGTGCAATATCTCGGCAATATTCTAGTAGGGATCTTCCTGGTCACACTAAATTAAAATACAGGTATATGTAATGAAATAGAATTACTTTAAATATAATTAAAATTAATCCAGTTTAAAGACAGTGAGATAATTTTTTTGCAGAGAACAAGGCCAAGGAACTACTGATGAGCTACGTTCAAGAGATTTTCGTAAGGAGCTTGATGAAAGGGAAAAAGAAGTTAAACCTACAGGTGCAAGAAGACCTAATGAACCACCTGTTAAACGTTTAAAAATAGATCAAGTTCCAGCAGCTAGTTTAGACGCTGATGATCCTCTAGAAGGTGATTCATCAGCTTCAGAAGATTCTGATGATGACACTGCTGCATTATTAGCCGAATTAAATAAAATTAAAAAAGAAAGAGCAATTGAACAGGCGAAGAAGGTAAATCTTATATTAGAATTTCTATAAATTATAATTGTAATATTGTAATGGCTAATGATATTAGTTTAAAAATACTTACATATTAGTTATATAACACTCTTGAGTAACTTATAAAAAAATATTTGTAACTTAATTTGATGCAATATATTTTGAAAATATAATTAATGTTAGTGACTATTTCCATGATCTATAGGTCTACTGGAAGCTTTCCCAGCTGAACTGTGGATTGATTAAATTTAGTTCAAACTTTTAGATCCACGGGCTATATATGGAGTCACTCTAAGAAAGGTTTTAATTGATTCATGCATTAATTGTTAAATTAATATCAATATCCAAAAATCGGACTGAAACGAAATAGTTACTATTAAATGAATGATTTTTGAAAATTTGTAATTTTGTTAACAGGAAATATACAAACACCTGTCATGATAACAGAATTAGATCAGCTACGGGAAAGCATCTTGTAGACCTGTAGATCTGAAGAATAATCACAGCCTATAAATAAATTACTAATTGTAAAGCATATTATCTTTAATCATTGAGACAAGTGTCGTTAGTAATATGATTAATTATTGAAGAATAACTATCCTATAATATTATTTTATAATTATAGGAAGCTGAAAAGAAACAAGAAGAGGAAAGAATAAGGATGGAAAATATATTGTCTGGTAATCCACTTCTGAATTACTCATCAGCAGGACAAAAAAGCGACTTAAAGGTATTTTATTATTTGCTATTGTTATAATGATAAACTCTTTACTAATAAATAATACTTAAAACTTAATAGTGTCTAGCCTTTATTACTTATACATACAGTTTATATTTTTCTAATTGATGGACCTAAAATCCTGAAATTTGAACAGCATTTTAAGTTAATGACTTAAGTAACTGTATATGGAAGAAGTAGCTTGCTACAGTAGCATAGCTTGCCCTGGCTCACAATATAAAATTAGATTTTATATTTATTTATTTCCTTTTCATTTAATACCTTTTTTTGTAGGTCAAACGACGTTGGGACGATGATGTGGTATTTAAGAATTGTGCACGCTCTGAACCTGAAAAGAAAGCAAATACTTTTATCAATGATTCCTTAAGATCAGAGTTTCACAAGAAGTTTATGGAAAAATATGTTAAATAATAATTATTATATCTTAGTAATGTATCTTCTCAATAATTGACTTTATTAAGCCTTTTATAATAGTATCTTTAATAAAGTATACTGCTAATGTATTCCATTTTTTTTTATTTTGATTGTATTCAGCCTTTTTTAAAGTCCCACTGCTGAGCACGGGCCTCCCTTCAGTACGAGGGGGATCAGGCCATAGTCCACCACGCTGGCCAAGTGCGGGTTGGCGGACTTCACATGTCTTTCGAAAACTTGCTAGGTTCTCTCAGACATGCAAGTTTCCTCACGATGTTTTCCTTTACCGTAAGGCAAGTGGTAATCATGTTAGAAATAATTCGCACAGGAAAATATCAGAGGTGCGAGACCCGGGATTTGAACTCGCTTCACTCGGTTTCTCAAGCGAGCGCTTACCACTGGGCTACCACTGCCTATTAATTTCATTTTGATTAACATTTTTTTTCATTCATTTCTTATTTTACTAAGTTTAAAATTAAATTGTATCTTTCCCGTTAAGAAAATTCGTGAAGTTTTTCTATTTATTCATTATTTTGGTTTATTAATCCATACTTTGCAATATTATAAGTGTGTTTGTTTGTTTTTGTGTTTGTGTGTTTGTTTATCTGTTCTTTCACTTCAAAACACGGTGACGAAATGGCGTAATTTTTGTGTGGAGATAGTTGGAGGCCTGGAGAGTGATATAGGCTAGTTTTTATAGCGGGAGATTACATTCCCACAGTAAAACACCATAAATTACAACTGACAACAACTTATCAAACCTATGTATATATATAATATTCCATACTAACCAGCAAAAAGTACCGAACAAACGTAACGACGTAAACGTAACAAACGTAACGCTAGTATAAAAAATAAAAACAAAATACAACAGTAATCACTCTTTGATCTTCATTAACATACAAGACAAATAATATTGGCTTCAAGTATCTCTTTCCAATATCACTGAATTAAGTTATAATATAGGATAGACGTTATGAATAGGACATGGAATAAAGGTACCATATAATTTAAAAGTTATCAAGAATCATTTGAAAGAAACTTTCTTTAATTTAAAAATAGTAATAACTACATTAAAATATATTAAAAAAATCTATCCTCTTGTTGAAGAATGTTTCATTTAAGTAAAGCTTGATATTTCAATATTTAAGGTACAAAAGTAATTTAAATATTGAAAACATCAATCTAACAAAAGTTCTACGTCCCGTTTGTTTTTTCCACAGTACTAGTTAAGAGTCTGTATTTATGGATTGTAAGATTTCTTCGTTTTCTGTGATACTAATTGTAAGATCCAATGTTTGTCAGAGAGGTTTTGTTTTCACCATTTACCCTATCGATTAGTTCCATAATATAGTGATGTACTTTTTGCATTTTTAGTTGGTTACATTTATTTTTATCCTCGAAGTAAGGATAAAACGTATATCTATGGCTGAATTAATCATAATACATATTTCCTTCCTCAACTTGTTACCTTCTTCTTAGCTCGCTTTTAACGCAGGTGGGTTTTTCATTAATATATATTTTTTTATAACTTTTTCGTTTTTCCAGTTATACATTTGGAGTATTATTTAACAACTAGCGACTCACCCTCTCTTTGCTAGGGTTCGTCTCTAAATACGTTTTAACGCTTAGTATGAAATAAATAGATTACCTATCCATACCTTTTTTTTTCTTTTTAACGTTGGGAAATGCATTTACGCACGACGTGTGGGACTCACCGGCGTAATAAAGTAAAGCCAGTACTACCCACTAAAACCCAACAAAACCTTCCCCCGTCTTAATGGGGCGCCGCAGGATCGCTTACGCATTGAACTACGACGCCCCGACGGCAGGTTTGCCAAAGCAGATCACCACAACCATGGGGTTGCTCCAAGGTCCACTCTGCTATCAGAGAAGTACCAGGAGCAACCCGCAAGGTACACCGCCCCCCCGAAGAGGGCCACCTCCCACCGCCCACCGAAGTGGGCAACCTCCCTGTGCGTTTCTTAGCTTCGCTACTGCTACTGAGCCCCCCCACCACGACAAGGTGAACGCACGTTGGGGGGGTTACCTATCCATACCTACTTCCATACTAATATTATAAAAGTGAAAGTGTGTTTGTTTGTTTGTCCTTTTTTCACGTTGGAACGGAATGAAGGATTGGTGCGATTTTTTTGTGTGGAAATAGTTGGAAGGCTGGAGAGTGACATAGGCTACTTTTTACCGCGGCAGATTATTTCATTCAAATGGAGAAACAAGTTAAAATACAACTAAAAAAAAATAGTTATGATCAGAATTACTTGAAACTTGGTATTAATGCTCTTCAATACCAATAAATAAATACGTGTTTTAGCATTTTTCGAAATTATTCCTATAAGAGGGTAAAATAGGGCATTAAAGTTTGTATGAAACTTAAGAGGATTTTTCGTAGTTTTACCGCGAGCGAAGCCGCGGGTTCCGCTAGTATATTATATATGTACATATTATTGTCAACTTGAAAAGTCTGGTCACTATGAATAATGACTACCTTATCTTGAGCAATATAAAAATACAGATGAAAGTTTTTGTTTATTATAGTCTCAGACCAATGAAAAGTATTTTATTGGTCTGAGATTATAGTACATGAAATTAAACTTACATAATTCTGATCGAAAGGTTCAAAAAAAGCAATTCAACATAGTAGTTCAAAATAAGTAAAACAATTAATATCAGTAGTTACCTTACTTTTATTTTGATAAAAATATTTCTTACGAACAATAGTTTAAAATTAATAATTAGTAGGTATAGGTACTGTAGAAAAAATCTACTGAAATATTTGAAATCATAATTCATAGGATTGATTGTGCAAGAATTTTATTAAGATTAGAATTATTTAATCCTGCAAAGAGAGCTTTTGTGACATTTTGAATAGCAAAAAATGTTTGTTTTCTTGCTTTTACAACGTTTTGAATGGCGATGTGTCGCGGCCCTCTCCCCGCGCGTGCCCTGCGCACGTCACACGGCACGACCGAATTAATAATCACATTGTCCGGCTACTGTGAATAAATACTTATTATTTATTCGTAGCCTGGCTAGAAGTAGTGAAGTATTCACACTGCCCGGTCCAAGTGATAAATTCAAGCTAATTTAACTGATTTTTTAAATGGACCACGGGCTGACCGACATTATTGATATGGGTCGGCCAAAATAATTAATTTATCGATTTGACCGACTCTCTTAGTCATTATTCACAATGATCGGTTCATATTAATACTGCCCTGTTAATCTAGTTACCCGTAACAGGGTACATATATACTTACGATGAGTTGTGGATTGTAATACAACGTTTTTTCCGTTGGAATGGATATCTCCCGCGCCCGCGGTAAAAAATAGCATACATGTCACACTCTCCAGCCCTAAAAACAAAAATTATTTCCACACAAAAATAATCAAGCTAATCCATCACTCTTTCGACGTGATTCGTGAAAGAAGGACAAACAAACAAACACACTTTCACATTTATAATATTAATATGGATATGTTCACTTAAATTATTATTAAACATATAAGTTGTATATATTTTTGTGATCGTATTTTGGAGGATTCTTTTTTTCAAGACACAAATTGATGCCTGATATCAAGGCAAATCTAACGATGTATGAATAGTTAAAATCGGTTAAGCCGTTTAAGAATTACGAGAGAACATAGGATCGGACTAACATACCTACATGTATGTGTATACATACAGTTCAAATACATAACCCTCCTTTGAGCTTCGCCGCTGTAGGGTAAAAACATTACAGGAAAATAAATTAATGACGTTTTCAGAGTTAATTAAACATTAGTTAAGTAGTCTCATTGTTTCTGCGTGTACTCAATGATCTGTATATGGATTCGTGTTTTTAATCAAGTGTTTCCTGCGCCTACACATAATAACATTTTTGTCAATTGTGTAGTATGTAGTGTGACCGCGCGTCTAGTATTTAAAAACCTAAATTCTACGAAAATAAAGAAAATTGTTACACAATATTTCTTTATATTTTCTCTAACGCCTATTTAAGACTTCTTATCTTGTAGTTTGGTATTAGATAATAGAGATGTCGTCAGTTATAGTATGATGGTCCGCGAGTGTGTGTATCGAATTCTCAATCAGTCAAGTATTGAGATATGCGAATGCGCGCTGGCCGGCTGCTGCTGTGATGTTTACATTATTTCATACGATGTATGTGTTGAGGGAGGGGAGGCTGCGGTGAGCGCGGCGGTCGGCGGCCCACCTTGAGTGGGCAGGTTCAGTGGCTGGTCCCGTCTCGGACGTATTTGCGTCTTGTGGCTTGTACCCGGCTCACTCGCTAGTTGTTTAGGCGCGTTGACGGTGTTCACTAGAAGCTAAAACGCTAGCAAATATGGCCCGACGGAAGACGGCTTTGCTGTGTGCTATTGTATTACTATTTGTTGGTACCGCAGACGCTGCCCTTTCAGGGCTTTATATAGATAATGGTGTCGATCAGACAGTGATACATCATTCCATGACGCGACATGAACGACAAGTTGTTGAACATGAAATATTGGAGCTGTTGGGTTTGGGTGAGAGACCGAGGCGATCACAAGCACCGCCTTTGGATCGTTCGGCGCCGAGCTTCTTGCTAGACGTTTACAAACAAATAGCCGAGGAACATGAACAGGCTCGCCCAACTCGTAGTTCTGAAATGGCCCTTAGTGGAGAAGAACAGCACGCCATCGATGAAAGTGATCTGATAATGACATTCCAAAGCAAAAGTAAGTATTTACAATATTTCATGGCGTGGGTTAACTAGTCATAGTAATTTATTTACTTTGTTCATATCAATTTTGTATGTTAGTATTCATTAACGCAGAATTTGCAAATATATGCGCAGTGAGTATTTTCTCAGAATGTTATTTACGTATAGTTTTATCAGTAGGTATTACTGGAAGTTTAACATTGTTCACGAGTCTATAATTATTTAGTATTGAAAGATAGTGTTTATTATTAATTACTTGTATATCTCATATGAGTACATCAATTTATACTTTATACTATATATATATGAAATATTTAATATTTGTATCTCCACAGTAGATACTTTTAATCAAGTAGGTACCAAAAGCAGGTACTCGTTTACATATGCCTGTTGGTAAATATATTCTAACTTGGATTAAAATTCATTTAGTTGTAACAAATTCATTGCATAGTATGAAAACTATACATAATAGAATTGAATACTAATGATCATTCATTACATAATATTTTCTACCTTGTATTATCTTATTCTAATGTAACGATCGAGTTTGAAATAACTTTAATTCAAACAAATTAAATAGAAAAACAGCAGTGCTGTGGATTAGCACTTATTTTTTTGACTCCAGGTAAATTTCTAAGAATTTAATTAAATTTGTAAGCAATCTATTGTTAACTGTAACGCCGGCGTGTCCGCGGTCGTTGAGGGATTACCGATTATCGAAATTCGTTATGTTGAATAAAAAGTTCTATTTCACATGATTTTAACTTTATTTATAAGTTTCGATGTTAAATTCATCAAAATATCTTTAATTAATATCCGTTTAAGTGTAAAAAAATAGAAGTAAGGAGATATCTAAACGACAAATATATCTAACAGTATTGTATTTTAAATTTAAGAGGAAATATATAATAGGTATTTAGTAAGGGCCTTCCAAAAACGCCTGGAGCCTGCAGGTAAAAATGAGTCATGAATAATGACCCGCATACCTCAGACGCCAATTCCCAGTTCGTCGAGACTTAATACTCAGATTAAAGCGCGTTGTCTCACAATTGACACTTATTGTCTCTTAAGAGAATTCTGCGAAGACAATTGTATTTTACTTTCGTATCTTTTCACTTCTAAAATATAATAGGATTTGTCTTTAACAACTTACTTCAGTTATTTTAATAATTTATTTTTATTGTCTGTTTTATTACCGTTTGGTCTTATTTACAAAAAGATAAAGCTTTCATCTATACTATAATAAAACTGAAGAGGTCGAATGTCTGTCTGTACATAGCAAAAAATGCTAAAAACCGAGTCAGGGGGATGTAAGAAGACAAATAGAACAAATCCAGATTTTTTAAAAAATTTTGTTTCTCTGTCTGTTTGTCTGTTTGTACGGGCTAATCTCCGAATCTATTGTACCGATTTAAATGAGATTTTGCATGGTGGTTCCTTATATCCTCGGTTAACATTTTAGACACTTTTCATCCCCGAAAATTAAAGAGTTCCTGTGGGATAGTTAAAAAACTATAGTATCTTATACAGCTTAGTACACAACAACTTATGCACCTAATTTAGTAAAATTTAAAATTCTGATATCTTATATTGCCGGTCAAACAACAGGTTACTTTTCATCCGGGAAAAATGAACGGTTCCCGTGGGAACTAATAGATCTCTATTAGTATTTCTCTAGAGGCGAACCCGAGCGAAGCGAGGGTGAGCCGCTAGTATTATATATTTATATTTATTTATTTGTTTGTTTGTTTGTGTAACTGTTTCTTTAACTGTTTGTTTGTTTAACTGTGAATTTGCTTAACTGTCAGTAATATTAACTGTCAGTTTTATGAACAGCTAGTAAGTTTAACAGTCAGTTAATTCAACTGTCGGTTAGTTTTGGGTCGAAAACCTATATTGTAGTTACCGTTGACCTAGAATCACGAAATTTGGCAAAAAGCAAGGTCTTACAACACAAATAAAGGAAAAATTTCAAAATATAAAAAAGTTGAAAAGTAAAGTTAAACAGATTTCCTAAAATTTGTACGGAACCTCGGTGGGCGAGTCCGACTCGCACTTGTCAGTATTTTTTTTAGTTTCTCTGTGTTTGTCTGTTTGTACGGGCTAATCTCCGAAACTGTTGGGCCGATTAAAATGATTTCATGGTGGTACCTTATACGCCCCGGTCAACATTTTAGATACTTTTCATCCCGGAAAACTATTTTGATGTATGAGCTATATTTTTGTAAAGTTTCATTAAAATCCATTCCGTAGTTTTTGCGTGAAAGAGTAACAAACATCCATATATCTATACATTCCGACATCCATACATCCTCACAAACTTTTGTATTTATAATATTGTTAGAATATACAAAACTACAAGCACCTGCCTGTTATTGTATTTTGTCGTTCATCTTACTGCCGCCGGAACACCCCGGTCGCTCAATGTTCTCACTACCTATGCCTACAGTTTTCTAGACTCACCATGGTGTAACAGTTTCTGCTCATTGGATTGGAGTATAATGTTACATTGGCTGTACTTTCCTTAAAGGCATTTAAGCAAATAAGTTTTAAATTGGACGGGTAGTTAGCGAGTTCAAAATATACCTATAGGGATTCTATGGTTCTTAATAGTATTGACTACCTGTTTTATTTTATCTAGTCCTCAACTTACTTCATAATAATTTTCAGAGAGTATAAACTAGGTTAATACATTTTACGCAGTCGGATTTTTTATTTTATAATTTAAATTTTTATTTACAGATTTTTAGTTTTATTTATTAACTAACGGCTGACCCTGGCTTCGCTTGGGTTCGCCTCTAGAAAATCCCCACGGGAACCGTTCATTTTTCCGCGATGAAAAGTAACTTCTTGTTTAATCGGCAATATAAGGTATCAGCATGCCAAATTTTACTAAATTAGGTACATAAGTTGTTGTGTACTAAGCTGTATAATTTACGATAGTTTTTAACTATCCCACGGGAACTCTTAAATTTTCCGGGATGAAAAGTATCTAAGATTTTGCTCGGGGACTTAGGGTACCACCATGCAAAATTTCATTTAAATCGGTCAGACACACAGACAACAGACAGACAGAGAAACAAAAAAAATGAAAAAAATCTAGATTTGTTCTGTTTGTCTTCTTACATCCGGTTTTTGGCATATTTTTGCTATGTACAGACATTCGACTTCTACAGTTTTATTATAGTATAGATTGTTTTAAGAATATTATTGAAGATATAAGTTGTATATATTTTTGTAATCGCCTCTTAGAAACCTTCATTTTGATATCGCACTCCATAGTTACGGAGTAAATATTTTTTCACAATACATAGGTACAAGTTGGCGCCTGAAATCCGCCATTTTGGTTTATAATATTCATATAGCCTGTGACACTCACGGTTAAGCCGTTTAGTAATTCGAGGAAACATAGGATCGTACATACATACAGGTCAAACACAGTACCCTTCTTTGCCGAGGTCGGGTAAAAAAACACTCTCTCTCTTCTCTCTCTCTCGTAGAATATTTAAAAAAATTCTGTTGTACTAGATTTCATTGTGAGATGTTGATTTTAATCTGACTATTCCGTCTGTCCGTATGTCCCAAGCATTTTACTCGAAGACTATTAAAGTTAAAATGCTGAAATTTAGGAGATACATATGTGTCTCATGTTAACCACGAAACAATTCTGTAGTCAAATAGAAATAAAAAAATAATAGAAATCGCACTCCACACGTATAACGAGGGGCGAAAAGACATAAGCGTGTGCGGTAGGTATCTCTGGAAAGGTTTTATAAAAATAAAGGGTATCTCGGAGAAAACGGTATACGTACGTATACTTACTACATAAAAATAAATAATCTATTCTTTTTTTAGAAGTCGGTTAAAATACTCAAACTACGCAGAGTACTTGCGTGCTGATGTGAAAGAAATTAAAAAGTGTTTGTATATAAATAAAAATATTAAATGTAACTACTAGTTACTACAGTGCTGTATAATGTATATATTATTTAAAATATGAAAGATTTTATAAATATGTATTTATAATATACTAGCGATTCATCCTCGCTTCGCTCGGGTTCGTCCCTGGGCTGATTCCCCATACAAATTTTCAACCCCGTTTTCAACCTTTAAGGGATGATTTACGGTATAAAAAGTATTTCATGTCCTTCCCAGGGTCTCAAACTACCTTCTTACCAAATTTCATCTAAATCGGTTCAATAGATCCAGAGATTACCCTCTAAAACGTCACAAACTCACAATTCACAAACTCACTAACTTTATCTCTTTAAAATATTAGTATAGATATGCCTTATTATAAAACGTATAATATCGTGCACGTGCATTTATATCAAGTTACATCGAGTTTGTTAAAGGACATTAAGACACACCTGTTAATAAATACTATTAACTTATTAGCATATTATTGTCTTTTTCGAATATATTAAAATGTTTATTCCATAAGTTTTTTTTGGTTATATTATAATACTAGTGACTCACCCTCGCTACTCTCGGGTTCGTCTCTAGGTGATTCTTCAAATTGACGTAACTTATTTATTTATGAACTGATTTATTTTTTTATGAAATTTTATTTATTTATGAAATAAAACAATACTAAGTGTTAAGTGAAGCTTATCATAATATATTAGTAAAAACCGCATCCAAATCGGTTAAGTTTTTTCTGAGATTAGCGCGCACAAACGCACAGACAAACAGACAAAAATTCTAAAAATTATTGTTATGAGTTCTATTGCGTAAATAAAGACCCCCAATGATAGTTTTTCTCAAATATCTTCCATGTACAGATAGCGATCAGTTACATTTTTATTATATGTATAGATGTAAATTAGTACATAATAAATAGATACTACTATATTATATTAAAATATCTATTGTGGAACGATACTTAAGTAGGTTAGGTAGTAACCTTCCACAATATCGAAAAAGAAAGAAAAATGCGAAGTAATCACTATAATGTACCATATTATTAACTTATCATTTAAATTGGAATATTATCAAATTTTACATATTATGTGAAATAGCGAAATTACAAAAAAATGTTGTTAATATAATTTTTTTTTGATTTTTCAGAGCATCACCTGGGTGCATTACGACATGGTCACGGTCGCCACGTCTGGTTCGATGTCGCCAGCGCGCCAGGAGACGCATCGTCCCTTCTCACTGCAGAACTACGTTTGCATCAGGCAGCTACTCACACGGTTGATCCAACAGCTCTGTATTCAGTGGTAGCACATCGAGTTATCAGTGTCGATAATCTAGGGTAAAGCATTTGTTGCATATAGTGAAAGGACATGCATTAATGTACATAATTTATAAATAATATATTTACCGAATGTTTTAGAATAAACCATTTTTTAAATGTTTTTTTCTCATGTGATTTATATTTAAATATTTTTTCTAACCTGTTTATCGTATTGATCTGGCTAAGCAAAAAAGAAACAGACTAAGTACTAAATATTTATATTTTGAGTTACGTTTTATAACTACAGGTTATTTATTAATCAGTACGCTAATTTGTAAAGCAGTATATATGTACTTGGCGGAAAAGATAATTTATAGGTTTCATCCATTTTCAGAGGAATTGAAATGGAACGTATTGCAGCAGTCAATACTAGCGCCGGAGCTGAGGGCTGGTTAGAATTAAATGTTACAGGAGCATTGGCAACGTGGCTAAACGCTCCCGTCGATAATCGCGGCTTCTTTATTACTTTGCACCCGCATTCGCAACCAGGTATGATTATTCTTTTTCACTATCTCATTTTTTTGTTATGATTTAGATTCCGAATGATTGTCGTAACTCACTAAAAACACAACAAACATGCTGAAATAGTTTTAAACACTGTTTCAAAATAGTTTGTGCGAATGAAAATTTACTAAAATTTAATGTATCTTTTATACCTACTATCTCTCTATTTTCCTTATTTTACTATGTCTCTATTTTCTTAAATAATAAATAGATTACTATTTTTTTATATTTGTATTGTTTTTGCTTTAGAACGTCATGTAAAACCAGAAGAGATTGGACTAGATGAAGCTCACGGTGGTACTTTAGAGGGCAAGCAACCTTTCATGGTAGCATTTTTCAAGAATGGTCCAAAACTTGGCAATTCTGATGCTGGAGCGCGTAGAAAACGTGAAGCACGACGCTGGCGCAATAACGGCTATTCAGAAAACTATTTGAGAAACCCTTTAACAGGCTAGTCAATATTTATTATTTACGTATGCTTATGCGTATGTTTCATCAAAACGGTATTTTAATTAAAAAATGGCACATTTAAGAAAAATATTAACAACAGACATTTTGGTATTATCCGAAAATAACATTCTATACGAGTATAAAAGTAAAAAGATTGGTAGGAATTAAAAAGTTTAAAATATCAAGATGAATTTTAAATTCTTGAATGTTTTTTTTTTAATGTTGGGACATTCATACACAGCATCATCTAGTTCCATGGTAAGTTACGAGGTTTGTGTTATGGATACCAGATAGTTGATACACTAAATATATATCACTTTAAATACATACATATTATAAATACAAACACCCATGACTGGAGTACAAACATTCATGGTCATCCAAAAATGAATGTCCCCAGCGGGACTCGAACCCGCGACCGGTGGTACAATAAGTAGGGTCACTACAAACTGAGCCAAACGTGTCGTCAAATTCATAAAATATTGTGGTTTCGTTAGTATCAGTGAAAGTATGGCGGTAGATTGAAGGAGGCCGGTTGTTGTTTCTCTGCGAAACTTGATTAAAATAATAAGACCCTGGACATTGGACATACGTATATGATATGTCTGGAAGCAGTTTCACTTAATGTAATAATCTTAAATTAATTCTAGATGTAATACATTAATATATAAAATATTTTCTACAATTTACGCAAATTTTTGAGGTTTTCAATGAAACTATCTTTTCGGATTTCGCGGTTTTATTCTACGTATTAGTTCCCCACGTTTCTAATGCTTTACAGCAAACATAGTCACGGAGTCTTTGAAAGTTGAGCAGAGAGGACATGGTGACGCTTTCTTTGTTCTTTGTTTTTATAGTTACTAAAAAAACGGGGCGTTTTGCTAGTAAAGATTTTCAGAATTGAATAATCAATAATATGCTATGAATTGCAACAGTAATTTTGTAAAATAATAGGCAGCGTTACAATTTGCTACTACTTTTAAGACATTTTCATATATATCTATTATCTACATACTTTCGAACTAGTAATGTAAGTAAATGCAAAAGCTTGTATATGTGTGTTATTCCTCAACGCTGAAATGGCTGCACAGATATGATGAAATTTAGTAGGTACACCTATAGATTTGTGACCTTTGGGTCCTGGAGTAACACATATATACCTTGGGACGAGGGTAAGTCACTAGTAATACAAATATGTATGTAAGTTAGAAATTGTAGTTTTCGTTTTCAACCTTCTTTATGTCAATATTTTCTTTCAGAAACAAACCGAATAAGACGTTTATTGAAATTCCAGATACATCGCACTGGACGACCAGAAGCTGTGAAATACAAACACTTTACGTCAGCTTTAAGGACTTAGAATGGCAGGTGAGATCGCATATTGGAGTTGTTGGCTTAGTTATTAATACGACCCTCCCCCCAACGTGGGTTCACCTTGTCGTGGTGGGGGGCTCAGTAGTGCCCGGCAATCCAACCGGGCGCAAAGCCAAGAAACGCACAAGGAGGTGACCCACTTCGGTGGGCGGTGGGAGGTGGCCCTCTTCGGAGGGCGGTGTACCATGCGGGTTGCTCCTGGTACTTCTCTGATAGCAGAGTGGACCTTGGAGCAACCCCATGGTTGTTGTGGTCTGCTTCGGCAGACCTGCCGTCGGGGCGTCGTAGTTGAATGCGTAAGCGATCCTGCGACGCCCCATTAAGACGGGGGAAGGCTTTGTTGGGTTTTAGTGGGTAGAACTAGCTTTACCGGTGAGTCCCACACCTCGTGCATAAATGCATTTCCCAACGTTAAAAAAAAAGTTATTAATACGACGACCTATGAGATTGCTCCTATGTAACAAACAAATTGTTGATACTTTCAATTCAATTAAACGCGAAACGAAACTTCAAATTTTAATATATTTTATTTCTAAGTAAACGTATTTTTAATTAGTTTATATTTGGGAGCTATAAATAGAGTTAAAAAGCGTATTTACAAATGTTCGGAGTCACGTTTACTTAATATTTATATAAATAAAAAATCATATGTGGATTTTTCTATGATAAAATCATTTTTATTATTATACCGGATCTCGTCGTCTATTTACGCAATTAAGTATTAAATCTACAGACATATTTTTCTATAGAAACGTCATTAAGCTTTGAGAAGTTTTTGTAATCTATTTTTAATTATTAAAAATAAAATAAAGTACGAGTATGAGAACAAAACAGGTTCACCTGATATGTAAAAAAATATATATACAAGGAGATAAGTGTTTTAAATTAATTTTATAGTGCGAAAATAACTGTAAAAAAATAATATCAACAACACTAGAAACTACAAAGATATTCTGCAATTTGTTACAGGATTGGATCATCGCACCTGATGGCTATGGGGCATTTTATTGTAGCGGTGAATGCAATTTCCCACTGAACGCGCATAAAAATGCCACAAATCATGCTATTGTACAAACGTTGGTCCATCTTTTAAATCCAACTCAGGTTTGATATAAAGTCACTATATACCTTTCTTATTGTATTAAGACTCTTATATAACCATAAATATTTTATTAAGGCCCGACGCAAAAGAGGAGTGTTATAAGTTTAACGTGTGTATCTGTGTGTCTGTCTTTGGCATCGTAGCGCCGATTTTTGATTAAGTTTTTTTTTCTTTAAAAGGTAACTTAATCGAGCGTATTCTTAATTATAAATCAAGAAAATCCGTTATGGCTATCAACTCTTTTCTAGTAGGTAAAAAGATTTGAGCAACTTCCACAGAACTAATCTATTCGAAACTTGGCATCCCTTTACTTCAATGACATTGCAACGATATGGTAACCTTGGCCTGAGGCTGCAACGTCACCTGGAATATGCAAGATACTCAACAATATATGTACTAAAATACTGCAGATATATCGTGATTAAGCTAATTGCATTCAATGACTGTAGGTTATTGTGCTGGGAGGTTTTAATTTTTATTTTACTTTCTTTTAGTAGAAAACAATGTTAGTAGTAAAGCTTTAATATCAATCAGTATCATATGACTTTTCTCTAAGTTTTATATTACTAAAATTATATATTTTTTATAATTAAATAAGTCATTATACGTGTTTATAAAACTTATTTATCTTTGTAACGATTTAATATCGAATTATTAAGTTTTTAGGGTAGAATTAGTTTAATATATAATTGTTAAATAACAATTCATATACAAATATCATGTCTAAAACAATTCGTACTTATTTGTAGTGTAATATAATCATATTTCAATAATACTAATAACTAATAAGGATTTTTTTGTGTACTTACCAAAAGTCAAAACAATTGGTATGAAAAAATTTCGGCTGGCATGTAAAATGTAAATAAAAATATTATGTGAGCTTTTGTCCTTCACAAAAGCCCACATAATAAGCCCACTCTTCTGTCGGAACGGTATCTAGATTTATAATCTGTTTTCCAAAAATTTCTAAACAGGTCAAATTTCCTAACTTCAGGCAGCCGTGCTTGCTAGTAACTTTAAAATATACATAGATCAAAGACGGAACCGACAGATAATAAACAACTATACTGACGAATTAACTTTCATGTTAATAATATTATTAACGATTATCTATTTGATTTTTTAGGTACCGAAGCCATCATGTGCTCCAATCAAACTTTCTCCAATCTCAGTTCTATACTACACCGATGATTCCAACGTGATTTTAAGGAAATATAAGAACATGGTCGTTAAAAGTTGTGGGTGTCATTAGCTATAGTTATTAATTTAAAATGTTGACAGCCAAACCTAGTCTTAGATAAAGATTAAAAATAGGTAGCTAAAATAGATTATGTACATAAATACTGTTCATATAATAATGTATGTGCTATACATGAAATAATGTTCTAAAAAAAAATGTCTCGTGCGCGTATCGAATCCGCGGTTAATACTGAAACTATTAAGCCAGGCGTCTGCCTGAAGTTCTAGACGGCTATTAATATCATTCCCGAGTTCGGGGTACGATTGATTTATTGTTTATCAATACGAAACATAAGAAGCAGCACTATGAAATTACAACAACATAAAAATATACTGTATCTTTATGTTTTGCGCTTAAACCAAGTATCTAAATGACTTGTGCCTACTAAAACTAAAAATCTAAAAAGAATAAACTGATATTACTCTAATTTTAATAATTCTACTATTTATGTTGTTTTTATTAATATAATTTGATAATTTTGTGGATAAGATCAAGATAATACTCAAAAAGTCGATGTCATTATTCATAGTGTTTTTTCTGCATAAAAATATGTTTTATTATTTTTTGTACTTTAGACATCGTAGAAAATATTTATCATCGTTTATTTTGTACAAAATGTTATTACGAGTAAATGCACATTCTTCTCTAGCGGTTGTTATTCAATTCTTATAGCTCTGTGAATAAAACTGACGTATTTTTATGCTATAAAGTTCAATTGATATACATACATTTTAATCCCTCCACGAGCGCGGACACGCCGGCGTGTCAGTTAACAATAGATTTCTTAGAATTTAAATTAATTTGTTAGAAATTTACCTGGAGTTGATAATGTTGCCTTTTGAGATTGTGGTTAGTTTAAAATTAAAGGTTGCTTGCCAGTTGTCTGGTCTTATTGTATTATAGTCGATTTCGATTGTTAGAAATATGTCCAAAGTTTTAATTGGTGTTAATTTCTGTTACTAAAATATGTTTCATACATATAGAAAATAGATTAAAATCAATTACCTATGGAAATATTTTTATTACATTTATATCCCACTTTTTATGACATTACTTGATTTTTTTTGTTCATTTGTACTTAGTCAATTACAAGGAAACTTTATAGTACTGAGGACTTATAATTATATTTTTATTAATAATCTTATTGCGTCAAAAATTTTAGTGAATATCGAAATCAAAACGTCTTTTATACTTATTTAATTTAAATGAATGTAATAAATCGATAATATTAAGTCAATTCAATTATAAGAAAAATGTTTTTAGTGTGTGTCTGTAAGTAGTAAGATATTTGAAATGTGTCTGTATCATTAACTCTATATATGCAATAAATTTTAAATATCCAACATTAAATATTAAGTCGTTTTAATTTTCTACTTCTTGGTCTACAAGAGAACCTAAAAATCCTAATATGAATAAACTTTATAATTACCTATTGGCTATTATGCATTTTTTTTAGTTTAACATTTTAAAAACCTTAATTGATACCCTGTACGATAGGTTTGGATAAAAAAATTGTAAACATACAAATGGGCGATTGAAATTCGCCTTTTTGCCAACGATGCATGAATATCAAAATTATATAAGCCATCTAATAGAATACTCAATAGATTAAACACGTAGGCCTCTTTCTTTATCTGTTATGTATACATACTCGTATACCGTAGTAGTAGCGCGGTTGAAGGATTTTTTTGGTTTATGTTAAAAAGATGCCTCTCATATTCATTATCATTTTTTTATATATTTTGTCTGTATATACATATATACTATGTTTAAAAATAGGAATAACGAGTCTACTAAATTTATTGAACAGCTTTATTACGTTTACGTGTTTTTGTATAAAACGTGATGTACTTGGGACTAAATGTAAATAAAGTTAAACTCACCGGCGGAGCAGAGGGCCGAAGTGGGTACAATATATGATATTATTGAGATTTTCTGATGATAGAGCCGAATGATGTTTTTGAAGTATTATATGATCATAATGAAACAACATAGCTTATTATATTTGCCCTTTCATGAGCTGCTGAAATATGTACAATGTACATATATATTTTTCACACGAATAAATTCCATACAGTAATGAGAGCAGGTAGTCATTGGAACTCTATAAAGGAAAAACGAATCCTCATTTATATTTAATATGGTGTCTCCGCCTTTAATATAATAATACTTCAGATATATCTTAATCATTAACTAGCGACTCAGACTCGCTTTGCTCGGGTTTGTCCCTAGGTACGTTTTAACGGTTAGTATCGAATAGATTCTCTCTATTTATATATATATATATATATATATATATATATATATATATATATATATATATATGATGATGATGTTCTCCTAGCCGATTCCGGCCACGGCGGCCAATCTCAATGAGATTAGCCAACTGCGCAGGAGATATTATAGTGCTCAAGTGTACGCGCAGACACAAGTGCACTCTCTATTCCTACCACTCTCATACTCCGGTGGGACGACCACTCGACACGACCGGTGAGAGTTAAGGCGCAGGACCGACGGCTTTACGTGCTCTCCGAGGCACGGGGGTGAAACACCGCCAACTTCCCAACTCCGGGCTGTTACTGAGACTTACTATACAGGAAGACTCAATAACTAAACTTGGCCCGACCCGGGACTCGAACCCAGGACCTCCGGGTGTGCATCCGTACATGCTAGCCACTACACCACCGAGGCAGTTATATATATATATATATATACATATATATATATATATATATATATATATATATATATATATATATATATATATATATATATATATATATATATATATATATATAATTATTTAGTATTCCTCAATAAACGAGCTAATGCAAAAAAGATTTTTCAAATCGGATTAGTAGTTACTGAGATTAGCGCGTTCAAACAAGCAAACAAACTCTGCCTCTTTATAATATTAGTATAGATAAGTATTAAATTCAGTAAAGATCGATTTGTTTAAATTATCTATTTAATGAGATTGTAAAAACCTTATCGGAGATGAAACATGACGAAGCCTGAATAGAGTTCTAGAAATAGAGTCGTAAAATATTACGCCTTCTACTTATTTTAATAAAACATAAATGTTTAAAAATAAATAAAATAAATATGGCTTTTATAAGTACAACACTGAAAATAATATATAGTGATTTTCTTTGCCAGGAATACCGTCAGATCCTGTTGTGATCAATCTATATACAGATAAATAAAATTGAAGTGTCTGTTTGTAATGTCAAAATAACAGCTTTTTACTAAATGTTAAATTTTTGTCTGTCTGTTTGTTCCGACTAATCTCCGAAACGACTGAGCCGATTTTGATAGGACTTTCACTGGCAGGTAGTTGATTTTATAAGGAGTAAAAGAATTAGGTTTCCGCTTAAAAAAAAGTATCTAAGGACTAATTCGAGCGAAGCGAGGATGAGTCGCTAGTTATTTATAATATTTGAGAGTATTTATGCACGGTGTACTTAATGTCTCTCAAAGAAATTTTAATATAAGATACTTCTAAATATAAAGTACTCGTACTTACAAATTATATTTTAGTTTACATTAGTTTTAGAAGGTAGTATATTAGGATGATTGTTTTATTTACGCTTCCATAAAATGCGTTATTTATACATGGCAATAGATTAAGTAGTAATAGGTACCTATAGGATTTAGTACATAGGCGTACATAGACAATTTTTTTGAATACATATTCTTCGAAGAAATCAATCGTCCGAGTGTCGATTATCAGTATTTGATAAGGACAAAATCGTATTCGTTGTCGCGATATCTATGATTATACGTAAATTTACAAATACTAGTGATTACTTGATGTGCTACAAGTGATATTGGATATTTATGTGCATTAAAAGTTTTAACAGTTTGAGAGTGTAATCAAGCTTTAATATTATGCAAACTATAGTATATGAGAGTGTATTACGAATATAATTATATTATTATAGGTTGCTTTTAACTAAGTCAGTGTGTGGATGAATATTGCGGATACAATTTTTAGGAGGCGAAAAGCAGAACGTCACTTTACTAACAGCTTCAAGGACTGTGCAGCCTCCCGCGAGTAGTCTGGCACTGATCATAGAAGCTTTAGCCGGCTTCATTCACCTACAGCCGTCGAACTACAGCGCACGTTTTATATATTACGCCAAATAAACAATGCATTCCGAGTCTATCGAGTATTTCCACCTGTTATAATTTTATTTATTTGTAAAAGTCAGAGTTTTGTGTAAACAATGTTGCTGTTGTTTTTACTTTTCACATACGCTTTTGCAGCGGCGAATGTTACCGGAGTAATCGACGTTAATGATCAGAAATTAGTATTTCGTAAGTGTTGTGCGAGATATCAAAATTTAGTTAAAGTGAGTGAAACAAATAAGACTACAAGTGAACACTATATATGTATGGATAGTGATAAATTAGAAAAAAACTATAACGTTTTCAGTAATACACTATACGTTAGTAGCGGTATCGTAGTGAAAGAAGGTTTTCCAACTGAATGTAGTGACTTGCAAATGGTACAAATTAATAAAACTGAAGCTGAGATTTTTTCAAACCAAGATGATTGTTACGACAGATTAGTAGCTGAAATTGTAGATGGCACTCTTATACAAAGCATTCCAAACATTGTAGCTATAGCTTGTAACCGCAGTGATGTAGAAATAGTGTATGATAATAAATTAAGAATACATAAAATACACAAATGTTGCCCGAAAGGACAAAGTTATGACACAGAATATCATCAGTGTATTCGTAAAACAACAGTTGGGCCAGACGATAATGACTGGTTAGCACAATTAAAAATAAACTTTGGTGATATATTTAAAATAGAATATGACTTCCTATGTAATGCAAATGAATCAGCTGTTGAATTACATGAAAGAGCGTATCACTTATCCATAGAAGGAGACACATTGTTTGCTTTAAGTAGAAATGGAGAAAAATATGGACGATCGATGTCAGGAAAGTGGTGTATAGATCAAGAATATAATCATCAGGGACTAGTAGCCCAAGTTTGTACTCAAAATTGTGATACCTTTAGTGCATTTTGTGTTAGAAAATGTTGCCCACTCGGCCAACATTACAAACTTAGAAAATGCGGTACCTACATCAGTACTTGTGTTCCCAACGATGATGAAGATGTAAGATTTAATATTTCTACATACTTAGACCCATTAAAGAAGTATGATAAAAATCTATTAGGTAAGTCCTTAAAAAACTAAAAAAATATATTTATTGACTACTTTGGTCAGTTGTATTACTCAAAGACCAAACTAAAGTTCTCGATTATTTTGTGCTTTTCGTATACCTATCACAAAGTGAATAAAATTTATTTAAATTTAGCCGATGATTACGATTGAGTACACTTACATAAACAAACAATAAATATGAAAATCAAATGAATCAAGTAGAATAGTTTCAACACATATTCGACCAAATATAATTGACTTCAATTTTTTTTTGTAGACGTAATGGGTGTACGCATTGGTTTATTGGAATGCACTCGTGGAAGATACGGTCTTAACTCATCTTTGATGTTAGACCAGCATAATCTAACTACAGACGCACGTCTACAGACCCGTACTACACTAACAAACAACTATTGTGTGGAGGTGTTCGACCGTCGGGATTGCCCAACAAATGACATCATCGTTAATGGCGTTCTTTGCTTCGTACCTCCAAAAGAGATCAAAAACTATTACATTTCTTTTATAGTAAGTTATTAAATATAGGTGTCTAAATCATTGTGATTAAGTAAAACTTTCTTTTCTTAGGGTTCCGTACCTCAAAAGGTAAAAAAGGAACTCTTATAAAATCACTCTTTTGTCCGTCTGTCTGTCCGTGTGTCACCACCGATTTTCTCAGGAACGGGTGGACCTAGCAAGTTGAATTTTATACCAGATATTGATGTCTATAGTCCCTATTAGGTGATGATATGGAAAATTTACCTTAATCAACTTTTTTTATTTTTCGGAATTTTTCCTTTTTTTTTGCTGTAAGACCTAGCTTTTAACCAAAATTGACAATTCTAGGTCAACTGGAAGTACCCTATAGGCTTTGGGTCGAAAGCCTATATGGTAGTTCCCGTTGACCTAGAATCACGAAATCTGGCAAAAAGCAAGGTCCTTACAGCACAAATAAAGGAAAAAATCTAAAAGTTAAAAAAAGTTGAAAATTAAAATTAAACAGATTTCTTACTTTACTTTGTTAAGCGGAAATTACTGCATCATATTTGACTTAAATTAATATTATACCAATAAATTGTCCTGACTAACTTACATCTAGACGAAGCCATTAGACACGTAAGGTGCTAAAATTTTGATAATCTTTTGTTACCTCAATAGTCATTACTAACAAGGTAACAAAAATAATTTTTGAAATTTTGAAAAATAATGAAGAAGTTTGTTTCATGGTTATTTTGAGTAGATATTTAACTAACAAAAAGAGAAAAATGGTTTTAAATTTGAACAAGTTAATAAATTGTCATAGGAAACCGAGAATTCGCAAATATCTTATAGAACCTGAAAAGTTTTTATTGAAAAACTTTTATATTATGTAGGAAATAAATGGATTATATATGTATATAATATGTATATTAATACATATATTAGTCAATACATATTTTCTTTGAGTATTAAAGTAGGGATATAAAGTAGAAAATTGATTTCATATGAGAAAATAATTGTAAAGTAAATATTTAAAAGCGGCAACATTCAAGTACTTTCATGTTTAGAATATAATATGATTTCCATCGGACATAGTAAATTCCAATCCTAGTAAAATTTAAGCTAAAATCCTTAAAGTGAAACCTCAAGGTGTGCTATTTATCACATACTAGAGTTCGCCGAGTGGTCGAACTTCGACCATGATTATTATCAATTTTTCGTAAAACAGGGTACAAAGTTTTTGCTTCACGTATTAATATATAGATAACGAACATTTGCTGATTATAAAATAAAAAAGAAATAAAGAAAGTTTCTGAAAGTAATAAAATATGTATTAAATATTTAAACTTGAAATATAAATTTGTTAGATAAATTTTCATCGTCGTCATTAGGTACAATTTAAATTTTTGTGTTTTTTATTTCTTTATTAAGTATAATTCATATAGCAAATTCTTAGCATTAATTTGTTGTTTATTCAAAGTTCCCAAGAATACGTTGTAACATATAAAAAATCATTTCATTTTCTTTTTGATTCGAGGATACCAATAAAAGCGCACCACACTAATAACTATTTATTCAGTTTAAATTATAAACACAATGTTTACGCGTATCTCGTGTCGCCATTATGACAACAACATCCTTCTTTTCTTTTATTCATCTTTCATGAATCATATCATACGTCTCTTTTTACCGTTAAAATATCATTTCACACATACTGATCTCGTAAATCCCACATTTATATGTATCATCAAATTTAATTTTTCATAATGTATGTATTCAGCCCTTTTTAACGCCCCACTGCTGGGTACGGGTATCCCTTCAATGCGAGGGGGATCAGGCTATACTTAGTCCACCACGCAGGCCAAGTGCGGGTTGAGGTTGGCGGACTTCGCATGTCTTTCGAAAACTTGCTAGGTTCTCTCAGACATGCAAGTTTCCTCACGATGTTTTCCTTCACCGTAAGACAAGTTACAAATGATTCGCACATGAAAATATCAGAGGTGCGAGACCCCGGATTTGAACCCGCTTCACTCGGTTGCCCAAGCGATCGCGTTAGCACTGGGCTATCACTGCCTTAATTTTAAATATTTTTCATAAAATACCTCAAATTTTTCTTAACAACTGTTCACACATTAAATTGTATCAGGAAGCTTTCAGTAGATAAAACTTTCATCGTTAGATTATGCATTATGGGCTATGCTGATGTTATAAAAGGCTTATTGTCTTCTGATTTTTATTACTAATCAGGTTGCACTATTACTACCTACTACGTTATTATTATTTAGTCATCGAGTTGAATACTGCTATTCAACATAGGACTATACTTCGGATCTTACTAAAAATTCTTTACATGCATAGATAGTTATAATAGCTCAATCAAAATACTATTTGTCGTCGTTAAAAGAGTTAAATAATACACAGGTAACACAATACAACCATTTTGACAAATTGTACCTTATACAAGCGAAATGCCCACGCTTTACATGGGCTCTATTCTCTAACGGTACGATACGTAAACAGAAAGCAATTTAGGGCACCTTTTTGATAGGGTATTTAATATTTATGCCTTAGAATCATATAGTAAATTGAATAACTATAAACAATCTTTCATGGAATATTCAACTTTATTTATATGATGAATCGAAATGATGACAGATATGATTATATTTTTATAATATTTACTTATTTTTAATCTTCAAGGGAAAATTATCTTTTTGTTGTGCGTTGTGGAAATGGATAGTGTGGTGTTTATAAGTGCGTGTTTGCAAATGATTCATGCGGGTGATGTATTGTATGTTTATAAAAACTAGTGATCGTTCCATGGTTGAAAATCAACTATAATTCATTTTGTTTGATCGATATTGAGGTTTTCTTTTCAAAATTATATAGATAGAATATAAAAACCATAAAAATTTTGAACAGGCCCATAGATTCAGAGATTTGCACGTACAGACAAACAAAACTTTTCGTCTTTATAATTTGTAAGTACTCGTATAATATTTATAAAGGTTATCTATCATCGTGCTGCATCTTTTAGCAGTGAAGTAATTATATATAAATAAAATACGCGAGCGGATTCGCGGGTAAAAGAAAGTCAGTAAATTTTGGCTTTCTGCAGTCCTTTTTTATATAAACTTTAACTACGCCAAAGGTCATAATCCTCTATACATGCAATATACTTAAAAAGGGGTTCAAAGTTTTCCCTTCACGTATTAATATATAGATAACTAGCATTGTCCGCGGCTCCGCCCGCGTTCAGGTGACTAAAAACCAAATTCTTAGGTTTTACATATTAGTATACTCTTACAATGCAGTTTTTGTATTTTTTCTCAGAAATGAGATATTTTCCCGCGGTAAAAACTATCCTATATGTTGATCCGAATAACCAGCTATCATCATACCAAATTTCATCAAAATTCCTCCAGTGGTTTTCTCGTGATGCGGTAACAGACAGAGAGACAGACAGACTGACAGACAGACAGACGAAAATTCTAAAAACTATAGATTCGGACTCTGTATCGATAATAATGTCTATTTCATATAGATTTTCCAAAAAATATTTAATGTACAGATTCGACTTAGTTACAATATTATTATATGTACCTATAGATTTATTTTTTCATCAATTTATTAACTATTTGTTTAATGTTTTAAAAATAAAAGCATGGTAACTACCTAACCTTCATATTGTTAATTTGTCTAGATCATCACTATTTCGTGTATCTGCCTGGTGTTGACTTTATTCGTTTACTGCGTTTTACCGGAGCTGAGAAACTTACATGGGCGTACACTCATTTGTCACGTTAGCATGATGCTGCTAGCTTGCACCTGCCTCGCGAGGGTACAGCACAGTCAGGTTCATGATGAACGTATATGCACATTTCTTGGTAAGTTGTAAAATATTATTAAGCCTACAATATTTTAAGATATGAATATCTAATAGGTAAATATGTATTTTACGTATCGAAGTATATTAGATTTGCTTTGCATCGACTGGCATCGACTTCGAAAATATCTGATTAGTTATCTATTCTAAATGAAAACCTCCGTTTAGTTATTTTTAACATTTTAGTGCTTGGAAGTGTGTTTTTTTTTAAGTTTTTATATTATAACCCACAGCTTTTAATACTTGCTATTCCGTGAGATCCGTTTCAATTTATAAAAACTTAAAGTTACTTCTGCACTTATCTTCAACCGTGAGATTGAATTTATTTTCGATTTGTTTTAGTTACTTCGAAATGTTTTTATTTCACGTTAATATCTATTGAGAACAAAGAATGTACGTATTTCTCCGTCTATATTATGCGTTTTACAATGGATCACATATATCTACCGTTATACGTTATTAAATGGATCCAATATCATGACGCAGTAGCATATGAACTCACGTATGACGTAGGTAATGAGTTTGTAACCCACGTTCGGTATAGATACGTCAGGTTAGTATTGACAAAATTCCTAATTCAATTCAATTTCTTGTTAATGGCTTCAAAGCGTGCCAGTTGAACACAGATATTACTTCGCTAACTTTCCTTACAAATGTTTTATCCAATCTGATTAACACAACAGCAACGTCATATCTTCTATACCGCCTCTATGTTAGCGTAACTGCTGTGTAACTTAAGATATTTTTAACATGATTATACAACTAACCTATAAATATGTATAATCAAATTTTAAATAGTTTTTAGGATGAGAGGTATAGAACAAATGTGTGATGTCCGACAGTTTGTCGATGATTTGTTCATTGTTTGTACAGGGTACGCCATATACTTTGGTTTCGTAGCGGCGTTTGCTTGGCTCAACGTCATGTGCTTCGACATCTGGTGGACATTTGGGTGAGATTACTTAGCCTGTTTAAAATAAAATATAAATATATAATAAAATAAATATGAATATCTGAGGATAATCATAGAATTAGGTACTACATATATTAATCTATGGAGTTAGTGGTCACAAGATATTCAAGTTATAATTTACTTCTTTTCGTTAGACGACAATAATCATTCTAGCAAAAATAATTTTATCATCTGTTATATCTATAGTACCTATATTTAAAAAGTTCGATTTCATAACACATTTATTTTAGAAATAATAAAAAATTTGTCAGTTCGAGTTTGACTTGAATTCTTTAATCAAACATTCTATCACGCCGCTCTAGGAGCTCTACGAAAACATTTTGTGAAATATTTAACACTCCTTGTATTACCGTCAGAAAAGTCGGATAATCTAGAATATTTTATTTAAAATAATCATTATTATTTATACTGTAATATAATTAGTAAGTAACTTAGCTTCAAAACTTCCAGTTTGAGTACGTATCTTAATTTTTTTCATAGTAATAATAAAAAAAATATTGTAATAAATTTATAAAATAAACTATTAATATGATAAAAACAGCGGGAAATATATATACTAGACGTTTTATGAAATATTAGTTATACTTTTTTATAGTAGTATTTTCAGTCGCACTGACTTTTGTGTTAAAACGTCCAATTTAACTATATTATTTCTGAATTTTATTATAGTAATAATAAACGTATGTATCACGTGTGTCAGTCAAATACTCGGAACCTAAATATGTTTTGGATATACAAACGATGACGGGATGATTGAATTAAAACACCTTGAACTGTATTGAAATATGTATGTTCTTTCAATAAGATGTGATTTATTGTAACTGCTGACTTGTAAACCTTGGATATACTCATAAGAATTATGCTTAAATTCCTCTTACGTAGCGATTAGGGAAACCAGTGATGGATCATGGATGATGAATTAGCGTATTTTTTTCGAAATACTTCGTAATCTCATTGAGTAACGTTTGCACTATTTATATCGCGATTCTTAGTAAATTTGTGGAGAGTAGATAATCGAGAACATTATCTTAGATCAAATTAATACTGCCACGTTTTTAACAAATAGATATATTCAATTTAAAAAAATAAAATATAATCTTAAAAAATCAAAATGGTTTAAAAATATTTTCTAGTGACTTTTTGTAACTTTTCATACCGGTATAAGATGTATTCTCTGGCACTTTTAGACACTGGATATGCTATTCCTATGTAAAACCATATTGTTGTTATTTTATTGACGAGAATAAACAACGACAATAAAAAAAACACTTTCACATTTATAATAGATTTTAAAGTGCAGTATAATTTAAAAAAAATCTCTATTTATCCAAACGAGATCATTAGATATCTACTATATCTAAAGATTATAGACTGACCGAGAGAAGCGTCACTGCTTCAAGTCTGGAAAAATTTGCTTTCCTCTGTCAGTTTGTTGGTACTCCTCTACAGGTCGTATTTTACAACCGATCTGGACGAAACTTGATATACGGGTTTTACGAATTTAGATTGTTTTGTCGTCGGGGATTTTTGATTGGACGGAAGTACTCCTTCCTCCAAAAAGGGGCAAAAAGAGGGCTACTAAATGGCGGATATCTCCGCTGCATGAGGTCCGATTTCGATGGTTCTTTATATATTTGAAAGGTAGTAACTTCGAGTTGGTCTTCTAAAAATTTGGTGAAGATCTAATGAGTATCTTCGGCGTGATGAGCAAAATAGCTCTTGAAAATACAGTTTGTGCTCGCGAGGTCTACTGTTCGCAGAACACCTAATTATTTGGGCTGATATTATAATTAAGCATCATTAATATATTTTAGGTAATAAATTAAGAATCATTTGTCTAATTGTGTCATCATAAGTGAAAATTGCTTTCATTAATTGTAGGTAATAAAAGGTTGGGGCGTGGAAGATTCACGATAATCTGTTTTGTCTTCTCATGCCCTTGAGCCGTACTGACATAGACAGCGCCTTTCTACGATTTTTTTTGTTTTAATTATAGTCTATACTGTATACATAATAATAGAATTGGGATATCAAATACAATATGCTCCATGCAAACAACTTTGTTTGATAGCAATCTGGTCTATTACCAATATTACTTGGAAAATTGATCATTACGGATACGTTTATAATTCTACCAATAACATATTGTTTCTTTTTGTTATTAGTTTATTGTACTAGACTAGGCTCACCCAAAATTTATATTGAAATTAGTCATCATATCGAATAATGGTTAAATTGTGTTAGTTTTTATATGATATGCTATATCATTAGTTAAAAAGCATTTAAGGTTAAAAAATATAATGAATAGCCTTATAAAAGTACTAAAATCATACATAAATGCCTAATTAAATAAAATTTGTTAATTACCAAAAAAAATAATAAATTGGCACTAATGAAAACGGACATTCACTTTACATATTAGCCATAAAGGAGGTTGGGCTCTAATTAACTGACATCAATGTCAGTAGGGAATTTGGGTATAGAATATATATGTATGATAATTCTAACTATTCAAACAAAAGCAATGAGCTAAAATTAAATCACGTATGATGTATAAAGTACGCATCATAAAATTATTAAAGATGAAAACATTTGGTATATGTTAACGTTAGTGTTCAATTGTTTATGCTATCTACGGCGAGAATATTCAGGTGAATATGCTTGGAAGTAGAGGATGTTGGTCGACGTCTATAATTATACTTCATAATAACATTTTTCTATATTAACATTTAATACGAATTAAAGTCTGATTGAGAGCGAATAGAATTAAGCAAGATGAGCTTTTTTATTATTTTATTATTGTTACGTGGTTTGGAGAATATTTACTAACAGTATATATCTTTATAATCTATACTAGCATTGCCCGTGGCTCCGCCCGCGTTCAGGTGACCAAAAACCAAATTCTTAGGTTTTACATATTACGAGTAGTATACTTTTACATTGCAGTTTTTGTATTTTTCTCAGAAATGAGACATTTTTCCGCGGTAAAAAGTATCCTATATGTTGATCCGGATAACCAGCTATTACCATACCAAATTTCATCAAAATCCTTCCAGTGGTTTTTCTGTGATGCGGTAACAGACAGACAGACAGACAAACATTCTAAACACTATAGATTCGGTCTCTGTATCGATAATAATGTTTATTTCAATAAGATTTTCAATAAAATGTATGGATTATATTGTATTATACTTAATATTTACATAATAATAAAATGTATATATATATATATATATATATATATATATATATATGTGGCTGGCTGTGGTTGTATCTTATGGGGCCTTGGCAACGAACTGCGTGTTAAGACAAAAACTTTCACTGGGTTTTCTGAAGAGTAGACTAAGATTGGGAAGGTCGTCTGATATTTATATCTACCTGCACACTTTGGAAGATTTAGGCAACAGTTGTTCACGAGTGTTTGCACATTTGGCTGCCCTGATAGAAAATCGCTCAGGATTCATGATATTATTATACAAAAATGTAAATACCGATATGTTATGTCATAATTATGTTGTTAAAACATAATTTTAAATTTATTACTTTATTCATAGTGTAGGTATGTAAAACTATTAAAATATCATTTATGCTTCCAGTAGTTTAAATAGGTACTTAATTTAATTTTACTTATTTTATTGTTATTTATTCCATATAAATGTAAATATATATTATATATGTCTGTATATCTAATAATGGAATAAGCAACAGATAACGTCGTGACTCACTACCAATTTTAATTTTCCAATAAATATACGAATTTGTGAACATTTTAGTTTTGTCTTACAATTAACCTGATAGTATGTCGAAAACAAAAAAAAAACTTTAGTGCCCAAAGTTACCGAAAAGAATATCAAAGCTTGCGTACAATATAAAATAAACGTGATACGAGAATAATCTTATTATAAAACTAATTTTGTTTTATTAAGATAATATTTTATGTGTATTGATCGATGATAATACATAATTAACCAATAACTATGCTTCTTTATCAACACTCTTCGTTATCGTTTATTCCGCCCACTATCAGATAATTTTCACAAAGCTTTTGGTATCGTAAAGCGTTTAATATACGTGACCTATGGAGGAGGGTGGCACCGATCATACATATAATAGGCATGATACGCAATTTAGCCATTAATAGGTATTATAATACAATTACTCATCCAATTTCACGGCAGATATAATTTTATATGAAAGCACAAGCAGTTATTTACAAAAATAACAGCTTAAATTTAGAATATCTTTTTTCTGTTATGTGCTGTGGCATTTGAAGAGTATTAGATATCAGAGGATTTAAGAGGGATATTGCGATCGATTTTCATGACGTTATTAATTTTTTAAAGGGTAATTCGCGTCAATGTAACATTCAAACCAAGTCTATACATTGTATTTGTAAATTTTATATCTTTCTATATCTTTATTTCTTAAAAGTATTCTATTTTTTTAATAAATATTTGCATAAAGAATGTAGAAGGCGCTATCTATTAACACTGCAGATCACTATACGAATAAAAGTCGTATGGGTTAATTACAAATATTTAATTATATATACTTAGGTACAAGACAAAGATATATTTAATTAATTATTATTACTATAGGGGCCAATTAGTAATGTTTTTGATAGATTTGTCTCTTATCAGGAGTATGCGCACTGTGAAGCCTCTTCGTAAAACTGCGTCAGAGTGTCGTCGATTCATCTGGTACTCTTTATATGCATGGAGCTTTACGATACTGTTGACATTGACAATGTTCTTTTTTGATCGGTATCCTGTCGCTACAGTTTTGGACGCCAATATAGGAAACGGCATTTGTTGGTTTGGTGCAGGTAAATAAAATACAAAATTTAATTTAAATTACATATATGTATTTCTGTTCCTTTTACAGTTCTCAACAATGACGTAACCGTTTTATAAGAAATCTTTTAGGCACTATGCTTAGTTCCATTGGTAGCCCGTCTATTTCCAAACGATGTACGATAAAGACAGTCAAAAATTCCAATAATTATAATTGCATCATTGCAATAAAATGTTATGTTGTAATTCACATATTATATACACATAAAAAAATTAATTTGTATATATATTACACATTTCGTGTAGGTAAAATCTTTTTTGGTAGATTAGCACTACCATATTGTGGGTTTAACTATATTGAACGGATGTCTGTCTTTATCGTTCCTACAGATATTTGTGTCTTAGTCAGATCCATGAAATGTTTTGAATAAATAAATAAAATAAATAGAATAAATAAATAATACTTGCACAATAAATTATATCTATTTCAATATAAAATAGTCATAAATATCTAACAAAGTATTAATTTATCTTATCCTCAAGAAATAGTCAGTTTCTTATCCTTGTGTAAAGTTCTATCTGAGTAATGCACTCATTCATTGGAAGGAATCTCTTATGACGTCGGTATTACCTATAAAGACACTAGACAGTATAAATATTTAATATATCCCTCAAAATAAGTTTGTTTTGTCTGAATGATGACATTTATTAAAAAATAAAATCGACTAAAGTGAATCGGATTCTCGTATCGTTGGATCCATAATGAACAGTTAACGAATAAATAAAATAATATCTATGTATAGGTAGGTATATGTAATTAAAATATATTTATAATTAATTTCAGTACAAAACACACAAGAAGATTGGCCGCATTATATATTTTTCGTTATACCGATGGGGATAGTGACATGTATTAACTTCATCCTGTGGCTCCTCACGGCTCGTCATTGCGCTCAAGTAAAGTCTGAAGTTCATCGGTTACAAGCTGGTTCCGTAGGAGATCGGGCCAAACGTAGATTTAGAATTGATAGAGCGAAGTAAGTATTTAATTTTATATTATATGTATGTATGTATTCAGCCTTGTTTATCGTCCCACTGCTGGGCACGGGCCTTCCTTCAATATGATCCTTCGTATTGATCAGGCCATAGTCCACCACGCTGGCCAAGTGCGGGTTGGCGGTCTAGTGACTTCACATGTCTTTCGAAAACTTGCTAGGTTTTTTCAGACATGCAGGTATTCGCACGATACTTTCCTTCACCGTAAGGCAAGTGGTAATCATGTTAGAATTATTTATATTCTTGTAATGGATTAGAATAAAGTTTCTGGAACGATTGGTATTACTTGCCCTTTTCAAACTTTTTAAAAGTACACGTGTGCACGTGGTATATGAAGAGTAATGGCTTATATCAGCCACTGAACACTTTAATTAACAATGTCCAATGTCGAAAAATTCGTAATCAATTATCGAAATCTATACCTACTCCAAATACTTCTTTTCCATATTGCGGATGTTTGGTATTTGAATGCAAAATGTTTACAATTAGAAATTACTGTGCAATTATGTATCTTAATATTTTATGTAGGTGAATTTTTCTTTGGGTATTAAATATTTTAAAATATATTTTGTTTATGGCTACAATAGGTGTGTAGTAATTAGTTTCTATTGTCTTACAAATATTATTAGTATAACATAAAACTCTAATCAAACAGTATGTTTTTTGCCTTTTCGTAAGGCATATCTAATATTTAAATATCCTTGTCAAGTGAACTTTTGTCTGTTTGCTCTTACAAAATATAGAATAAGTTAAAGCTACGTAATGTTTGAACAGCATACACAACATACTTACGTGTTATATTATTATACTATCCGTACAAACTAGTAAAATATATCCAAATATATTAATAATTACAAGCCAAGCCAATTTTGTATTTACAATTTAAGTAAATCTTTATATTTTTTAAATAGGTAGAGTTTTAGATTTTAGTCAACAAAAATGTTCTAGAGGAAGTAGGTAGTTTAAACTAAAAGTATAGATACGTTGTATTTCAAATGATCGAGTAGATTTATTATATTCTTTATTGTACTTAAAATATGATACAGAAAAAATAACAAAAATAAACATAGTTCACAAAGGTGGACTTATCTCTAAAAGAGATCACTCCCAGTCAACCCCTGGATGTGGAAGAAGATGTCAGCGGGCAATATAGTGCAAAAAAAAACTAAATATATACTAGAAATAAAGGTAATAATAATCACATATACATACACACAGATATACAAATACATATATAATACCTAATGTAAAGTCTCTACTTATACATACATACATACTTAATATATAAAATATGAAAATAGAGAAAGGTAAAAAGAAGATTAAAAAAAAATCAGCTCTCTGTTCTACGTAATTTCGTTCAACAGAGACGTACATATCGTTACGTTTTTACGGACTGAAAATAAAATTATATACAGGCATTCATTGTGGATATTACCACCCGATTTTATATATGTATTAATTCTCTGATTAAGCTAGAAAGATACTTAGTTATATATAGTTTAGGCCACATTAACGATTTTATAGGTAGTAAAACAAGGTACCGTCAGTGCACGTTAACTGTCGCTATATTCATCAATTGGTTTTTTATTGATGTATCCTAATTAGAGATGTAAACAGATACCTTTAATAGATAGAGGTATAAATACATACATAACTGGTTACAGAGCAAACGAGTAGATCTATAGTTGCAGTTCGTCTACCAAAAAAATAGTGGAAATAAAACTGTTTATCATCTATTATGATTTGATAGCATATTTTTAACCGACTTCTTCGAAAAGGAGGAGGTTCTCAATTCGGCTGTATTTTTTCAGCCAACTTCAAAAAGGAGGAGGTTCTCAATTCGACTGTATTTTTTTTATGTTTGTTACCTCAGAACTCCGTCATTTATTAACCGATTTGGACAATTTTTGTGCTGTTTGAAAGTGTATACTTCCAGATTGGTCCCATTTAAATTTCAAAAAAAAAAAACTACCCTTAAGGGTGGAAAAATAGCTTATAAAAATTTTACTGACACACTGACTTCGAAAATATCTGATTACGTATCTATAGTACCTAAATGAAAACTACCAATCAGTATTTATTTTTTACTTGTTAGTGTTTTTTTGCAGTCGATTAATTTATTATTAGGATTGCCTTAGGGCCTGCGTTGACTCTGATATTTTAATTCAAAGTGTTACCTTGGTAGTGATATGGCAAATAAAAATAATCATAGTTTATTTCAAAGCCACGATAAAAACGCAAACTTTTAACTGCCATTAACTATTAATTGAACATAATATATTATATTGGTATTACTTTTATATTGGTAGTCTAGTTGGCCTAGTTCACGATTGTTTATTTACTTAGATGTAAGTAGACAGTTGCACTGATAAATTCGCTCTTAAGTTCTCAAGTAGTATTTGAGTTGGCTTTTAATGTTATTTATATTTTTAATTTTAAGTTTAACTTTGTCTTGTAAGAAAACAATAAGATTTGAATTCTAAGATGTTTTTAGTGGATTTATACTATAGTAAAACACATTTCTAGAGCACTGCGTAACCTAAATTTTTTTACTTCTACTAAACTTATTTAACGCTTGTGTTGGTTGTATTTACACCGTGTAATAATTTAATGAGTCAGACTTATATGATAGGCAAAAGAATTAAGAAGTGTGTTTGGATGTGATCTGATAATTACCTTACAGTATTCATTTTTTATTCACTTTAAAATATTATTCTTTGGCTGAAATCACATCATTTCGGGTTTGATTTTTAAGAATAGAAATATGAACCTATTTAATTCGATTATTTTATATTTAATACTAGCGACTCGTCGTCGCGTTCGTCAATAGTTTGATATCCCATACAAACTTTTATCCCCATTTTCACCCCCTTGAGGGATGATTTCCGGGATAAAAAGTATTCTATGTCTTTCCCAGGATCTCAAACTATCTTCTTACCAAATTTCATTTAAATCAGTTTAGTAGATCCAGAGATTACCTCCTACAACGTCACAAACTTAAAAAATCACAATCTCACAAACTTTACCTCTTTATAATATTAAGTATAGATTTATTGTGTAACGCGATAATTTTATTCATCCAATACGAAAACGTTGGCAATGTACCAAAGTTAGATTTTTGGCTTACGAAGAATGCGGATATAGTATATTGTCAAACGAGATATAAAATAGTATACGAGAAGTGCGATTTCATAGTCGATTATTGCACAGCGTGAGTTAGCGCCCGAGTGTAGCGAGGGTGATAAACGCCGTAATGTATAGTATAGTACCTACATATATTGTCAGTATTTTATAAATATAACGAGTAACAAATGATACATAACATACATATAAAAAAATCCTATTATGTATACATATTAAGAATGTTCTGTATACAGGTAAATATATACATAGGTTTACTGTAAGGAAAATGATTGAAATAATTTTATCAATCTTTTTGTATATAAGTATAAAAAAAACTGAGATAGGGTTATTACAAGATTATCATAATTTAAATACATTCATTTACATGTGATAAATAAAGTAAAATAATAAATGTAATTATATTATAGGTATATCCTTACGGGAAAGCTATGGGTAGTGATGGGCGCAGGATGGGGATCAGAACTCCTTTCTACCATCGTGTCCCAGCCACTATGGTTATGGAATATCGTCGACCTCTTCAATGAATTACAAGGCGTGTTCATATTTATCATATTAGTGGTGAAACCAAAAGTTTACTATCTCATCAGAAAACGACTCGGTAAGTTTTATAACTACTTGTCTAAAGTCTATTATTTTATAAAACAAAAGTTACTATGGCATGTGATACGAGTGCCTTTCTTCTCTTTCGAGTAGCTAACACGTTTTTTTTTAAATTAATCTAAACTCGGAACTTTTTACTGGTAGCTTTTGAAGAGTTTCACTATACATTAACCTGTTGGCCTCATCATAATATTAGTTCTATAGTATCAAATTATTGTATCATTGAATTTTGATTACTATAATATTAGTTATAGTAGGAACTGATTCTTAACCTTGACGCGTAAGAGCATAAAAAACGAATTGATTAAACTGAAAGTAATCTGTATGAAAAATCATTTATGTACATGTACATATTGTAGGTATGTTTGAATTGTTATTTAAGTCTATTATAAATTATAACGAAAGATATTAAACATATTGTGATTATATGTCAAATAATATTTACTTATTCCAATAAAAAGTTTTTGCTTATTATAATTTTAACATAATATTAGATAATAGTGTTAAATAATTATTATGAGTGAAGGGCCTGTTCAACAAAACGTCGAAGGTTAGTGAAAGTGCATCATTTCAAAATTGCATTTATAGGATTAGTTTAGTTTGGTAGTTAAATACATATGTATGGTTAACCAAAAATCTTAGTTATGATTTTATTAAATAAAAGCGACTTATCCTCGCTTCGTTCAGGCGTCCCTAGGCCCCCCCTAACTTGCGTTCACCTTGTCGCGGTGAGGGGGGCTCAGTAGGTCCCGGCCGAAAAGTCGAAGAGGGTAGAAGCTAAGAAACGCACAGGGAGGTGGCCCACTGCGGTGAAGGGTGTCCCACTTCTGTGGGCGGTGTACCATGCAGGTTGCTCCTGGTACTTCTCTGATAGCAGAGTGGACTGTGGAGCAACCCCGTGGTTGTTGTGGTTTGCTTCGGCAGACCTGCCGTCGGGGCGTCGTAGTTGAATGCGTAAGCGATCCTGCGACGCCCCATTAAGACAGGGGAAGGTTTTGTTGGGTTTTAGTGGGTAGTACTGGCTTTTCGAGCCGGTGGGTCTCACATAACCACCTGTATGTCTACAGGTAGTATGCGTAAATGCATTTCCCAACAAACAAAAGGTGCGTCTCTAGATACGTTTTAATTTTTTTGTGCGGAAGCGTAATTTTTTTTCTAAAATAAAAGTAGCCTCAGTTACTCCTCATATCTAACATCAATTATCTGCCAGTGAAAGTCCCGTTAAAATCAGCCGGAACAAACAGACAGACGGACAAAAATGTCAAGAATTGTGTTTTTATTAAAAGTACCGTATATAATTTCATATGCATTTAGTAAAAAGCTTTTAATTTGAAATTACAAACAAACTCTTCAACTTCAAATAGATGATTAGTATTATTAGTAAATCTTTCAGGAGAGCGAACTTGTAGTATTTTTTTTCTAGGAATGGCATAATTATACTTTACACCTATGCAAGATCTATAATAATAGATTCAAAATAATATTTCACACAAAATTATATTATTCTGTATTGCTTCTTTTATACTGGTTAAATTAAAGTATATGAATGATGTTCTCCTAACCGATTCCGGCCACGGCGGCCAATCTCATTGAGACTAGCCAACTGCGCAGGAGATATTATAGTGCACAAGTGTACGCGCAGACACAAGTGCACTCTCTATTCCTGTCAATCTCATACTCCGGTGGGACGACTGCTCGACACGACCAGTGAGAGGACCGACGGCTTTACGTGCTCTCCGAGGCACGGGGGTAAAATACCGCCAACGTCGCGTTACTGAGGCTTACTATACAGAAAGATTCGGTAACTAAACTAAGCCCGACCCGGGACTCGAACCCAGGACCTCCGGGTGTGCAGCCATACCTGCTAGCCACTACACCACCGAGGCAGTTGAGTTGAGTAGATGAATAGATATTAGAACAGTATTATACTACATAATATCTATACTTATTATAAAAATAAGTCCCCCGGCCGCGTCTTTCTGTCCTCCTGTCTGTCTGTACGCGATAAACTCGAAAACTACTGAACGGATTTTTATACGGTTTTCAACAATAGAAAGAGTAATTCTTGAGGAAGGTTTAGGTATATAATTTATTATGCTTTTATGTAAATTAGCTGAAATACGGCGACAAATGTTGAAGAGGTCGCAAAAAATCTCGCCAAATGGGAACTTTCCACGCGAACGCCGCGTAAACTAGCAAAGATACAGTTAAGTAATGTACTAGAGAATTCAAAATCTATAAAAATGCTACAAAAAAGTCCGCGATAGCATATCTCTATCTCTTACGGTTGACTTACAATAACCACTTTTATGTTAACATTTTTAATTAAAAACATTACGTTATTTTCAAAGTTATTTTCTTTAGTTCGGTATTAATCCTTATCCAAATGAATATTTTAGTTAGCTTAGTCATTTAATGCAGATTAAAATTGCTCTTTACACTAAATCAATCAGATGAATAGTTTTTGAGATATCGTTGTTAGAAGTAATTAGTAGCGAAACATTTTTAATGCTTGGCGAGCATTGAGATGCCTACGGCGAGTCCATCCCCTCTGCCCCGCATCGCTCGACCGCCTGCTCAAGCTATATAAACCGGGCGATGTAGCGCGCGATCCTAGGATACTTTTTACCGCGGGAAAATATCTTATTTCTGAGGAAAAATACAAAAACTGCAATGTAAGAGTATACTAATATGTAACACCTAAGAATTTAGTTTTTGGTCATCTGAACGCGGGCGGAGCCGCGGGCAATGCTAGTATATTATAATATCAAATTAAGTCGAAAGTAAGATAGTTTAAAGAAAAATAAGATTTAAAATACATTTTTTTACAGGTTTAACTCGGACAGCAACTGAAACAAGTATATATTAGTATTAATTTCTGTTGTATTTCTTCGTATTAACCGGCAAAAGTACCTACTGGTGGCGTATAGTTGTAATACGCATGTACTTCTTATATAATTCGTATTACAATATTCCACTTGACTTGTGATATGTTTTGTGTTGTGATTATATTTAAGTAATGTATTATAATTCACATGTTTTAACATTCACAATTCGTTTATCGCGATAACTATATGCCCATAACCATATGTAGCTTTTATATGTAACTAACCTAACAAATGTTATTTTACATAAACATATTTTTCTAGCAAAATGAATGTATGCATGAACCATGGTAACCTAATTTTCTTAATAATTAACATAATACTAATTACGCAGGGCTCGAGAAACCGGGTGCGCAGAACAACGCCACGTCATCTTCAAGTCGAACATCATCCACATTTTTGTCAAGAACCATTAGTTCAGATGAACGTACTAATCTACGTATATCGTTACCTAATAAACAGTGTTAGTTCTTTAAAATCACTAACAAGAATTTGCCACTGATCAGTTTTTGGGTATCACTATGTATCTAAACATTTATATGCTTTCATTGTCTTTTAGATATTGTAGTCTATAAGTACTTTTTGTACCTACGAGTATATAACTTTAGTTTCTGCCCGTCTTCTCATTATTCCAGGACTGATTTGAACTAACAATAACTTGTAACTACATATATTTAACATAAAAGTTGAAAAGAAAACAAAATAAAACTTTTTGCAAATGTATTTTAAATAGAATATTCAATTTATACCACTATAGAGTAATATTGGTAGGATAATATTCGATTATTATGTGAATCGTTATATTACTTGCTTAGCATTTATTAAAATATTGCTTACTTATTAAAATATAATTTGTATCTATTATTGAATATTGATGTTGTTTTACATAGGTTTATTAACTCCCGATGCAAAATAAGGGGTGTTATAAGTTTGACGTGTATGTTTTTGTGTCTGTGTATTTGTGTGTTTGTCTGTTACATCGTACCTCCTAAACGATTTTAATGCGGTTTTTTTCGTTTGAAAGCTGACGTGATCGAGATGGAACTTAGCTATAATTTATGAAGATCTGTTCTGGCGTTTGAATATCATCAGTTCATTTCCTACTTGACAAAAGGGTCTTACTAACTTTCACAGTTCCGATTGATTTGTTTGATGTACTGTTACTTCGGTGGTATTTCCAAGATATGCTAACCTTGAACTGATGCTGTAGCATCAAATAGACTGCGGGATGCTCAATTCCTCAGAAACTTACAGCAGATATAGCGTGTTTGGGCTTATAAGAATAGTCACAATGTGAGTTATTTATTAGAATTAGTTTCCGCGAGTCATTTAGAAAAAAATTAAAATTTTTAAGTTAACACAAAAAACCTCTAAGTAAATAAAATAAAAACCAGTACACAAATAAAAAAGAATGATAATGATTTATCATTAGTGCGACCGCCGACCGTTAATACTTTAGTATTATCGGTCCCCCGACGGGGCGACGCTTATCATCAAAATATTAATAGGTACCTTTAATGAAGTTAAAAGGCCAATAGAGAATTTATTTTTTATTTTTTAGAGTTTTTTTGTGTTGGACGTTACTTAAAATTTTTTATTTTATTTTTATTAGTAATTTAATAAGGTTTTTTTTTATATTATTGTCTGTTCTACAAAAAAAGGGCTACATCATTTAAATTACTGTCGAATCTTCATTCCTAAGTTATGTTGTGTGATTGTATAGATATACATAAAATAATGATTAATATAATAATATTGAAACCCACCTATTTATTGGACTTACATAAATTTACGAAATGCGAAGTCGTAATTAAACTGATATGAAAGCACGATTTCTATGTCGCCAGAACAATGTCTTATTTTCTTGTGCTTACTACTCGGTAAGACGCTATTATAGTATACATATTGTATAATCTGTGGTAAGAGCTCTATAGGCGGAGATATTTGACTTTTCGGAATCACTGAAAATAATTTTTTTTGTATCATATTTGATATGTTCAAGAAAAATACCGTAAAAAAAGAATTATATAATTAACATAATATAAAATCTATATCTATACTTATAATAAAATTCTAACTGAGACGAAACTGTACGTTAAATATTTTTCGGAAAACTTTATTAAAATAAGCATTATTATCGATGCAGAGGCCGAATCTATGGTTTTTGTAATTTTTGTCTGTCTGTCTGGGAACGCATCACGAGAAAACCGCTGGACTGATTTTGAAGAAATTTGGTATATTGATATCTGGTTTTCCGGATTTCTTAAAATATCTCATCTCTAAGAAATCTATAATAAAGGTTAAAACGTAACTAGGGACGAGCCCGAGCGGAGCGAGGGTAAATCGCTGCTACATACATATATACCTATACTAAAAATTTAATTGCCATATTAAGTCATAATAAAACAGCTAATACCTACTTGGTATTAATATGTATTTTAGTACCAACGATAAATCAATCAATGTTAAATGATAGGTTATAAGTCTAAATGGTCTTATTTAGAGCATAATATATAATTACTTAATCTAGTCATATTATATGATATAAAGAGGTGTAAAAGAAGCAACAAAATTAAGTAATTAAAGTTAAAAGTAATCTTTGAAAGAATAAAATAAATATTTTAATTACCACTATGTCTTTTATTATTAAATATTAAAAAAATAGATTAGTGACCCGCACTTTCTTTAATAGCTAATTTTAATTGTGACTTACATTTTTTATTTAAGCGAGTATACGAACGAACACCTCAGAATTTTTAACCCGACTCGACTGCGCGACGCAAAGGAGGGTAATGAGTTTATCAGCCTAAGTATGTATGTGTGTGTATGTTCCTTTGTGGCATTCTAGAGACCAAATGCGTGGGCTGATGCTGATGATTCATAGGTCGTTAGATTTGTCTTGATAACGCGAGTATCATAGGCTACATGAATATAGTTAAAAAATTAAAATGGTGGATTTCAGGCGTCGCCATTTTGTGTCTTAACAAAAAAAATACTTTCAAACTTATCGAGTGGAGTATCAAAATAAAGGTTTTTAAGAAGCGATCACAAAATTATATAAAACTTTTACGTTTAAAAATAATTTTGAATAAAAAATTGCTCAGTTAGTAAAAACTAAAAAGCTGTAAATAAAAAATATATAAATCCGACTGCTTATAAGCTAACTAAAAAGATGAAAACAAGTTGATTAAGGTATATAGGTAGTATTATGCAGTCAGAGACATATGTACAATAATTATGTATTTATATATACATATTTGCTCCTTGCGAGTATTCTTCCGACTATTTTATGAGTTTTGGATTTATTTTTAATAATTGTCTTTTATGTTTTAAATCTTTTAAGGTTATAAATTTGCGTTCAAATTTGAGAGTTGAGGAGGCTAATATATAATTTAGGCTAGATGAATAAAGAATAATTTCAGAATATCTGGCATGACCGGCAGTCGTGGAAATCTTTGAGGGAGTCCAACTGTGGACGGACGTGTTCCAATTGAGACGAAATAAAACAAACTAAATCAGAATAGATATTTGAATCAATGTTTACTACCTTTTTGTAAATATTAAGAGATAGGTACAAAAGTTTATATATTACGAACAGAAGCTGAGTCATAGTTTAATTTCCTATATATATTTTTAGATTTTATTCTTTGTAACCTTCAATCTATTCTTCTCAATTCTCATGAGAGATATTTTTAATAATTTTATGAAAGAACTTATTATATTTTAAATATACTTTTTTCTTTGTTACTTATTTAAACAATGTATTTTGTCAGATTGACTTTAAATTTTAAAGAATGCTTTGAAAAAATGATAACAATTTACAAAACAATCATACTAACAAGTACCATAACTTATTGACAGTGAAATCAGTGGAAAAAAACCGGCACTAAAAGAATGTCATGCGAAATATGTAGGTATTTCGGAGTTGGATACTGGATAGATATGGATGTTGGGTTAATAAAGAGTCGTATATATATATAAATAATGCTCGCAAATTTATTTATATTTTGAGTTCTTTTTAGCATTTAAATATGACACCTATTTCACAGAATAATTTCAAAGTGGTCCCAATTTTTATTATAACGTGTATGGTACAAAGTGATCTTCTACTACAATACCTACTATGTCAGTATAGGTAATAGATATGTATATCGAGTGTGTACCAATCAATATAAACATTACATATTACATTAACATAAGAATACTGTTTAATACTAAGTTTAAACACAGCATGACACGGACTTCTTGATAATTAATAATCACACTAAGTATCTAGGGAATTATATTTATGTTACTTAATATATTCAATTAAACAACAATTATGTTAACTTGTAAGTACTTTCAACCGTTTTGTACCCTTTAAACTACATTTTTTTTTAATTTTACACATTTATTCTTTGATACATGCATATTAATGCCAAATAAATCAGGCTCTAAGTTCAAATATCATGTCAAAATAGTTTTAGCATTGGTAACTGCAATTGAGTAAAGATTATGAAAATATTATTTCACATTTGTTTTATGTTCTATTGTTCTTTTAATGTTAATAGTATAATTATTTATATCAGCTAATATAAATAAAATTACGAATAATATTTTAAGTTACATTAACAATACTGTTACAATTAAAACTATGTTTATATTATGGTTATGAAAATTTGTTTTGGTGCTAATTTATTTTGGTTTTTAAATAACAGAAAATAATAACATTTAATCAGGAAACTTAATTTAACCTCTATGACTTATGACTATAATATCAACAAATAAAAATACGCTTACGATGGTAACTAAGTCTAAGTTTAAAAACATGGAAAGTTTAGAGGCGAGGTTCTTTATTGTAAAAATTATCTAGTTTATAAATATATACATCGTTTTATCACATTGTTAGATATGTCAATAGCATACGATTTCCACTACGAATACGTTTCATAGCCTCATGTTTTAGTTAAAAAATGAAAGGTAAAAGGCCATTATGTGATTGAAAGGACTCGATTAAAAAAGGTGAATTTACATAGTTATGTATAGGAATGCATAAAATAGGTAAAAATAGTTTTTTTTGTAGAATGGCATCTCGATTCAATATAATTAACAATATTATTTACTTTTTAAGTACATCTGTGTCGGATACTATTTTAAGATTAATTAAACTTATAGTAATTCTAAATAATCACAATTATTTGATGACAATTTAACAGTTTGATTCATAATTTCGAAATTGTTTTGTTCAAATCAAATATTGCGCTTCGCAGTATAATGACAAAGAGACAAAAGATTACATTGATGTGTGGGGAAAGACTGAGCTCATGTACGACTGTTAGGTTGTACAGTTATGGGATTAGGTGTACTGATTGCGTTGGGTACAGCTGTGGGTATCGGAGATACCGGCGGTGAATGCTGTGTACCAGCTTCTGCCTCCGCATCGCGTTCGGCAATATCTTCCTCGTCTATTATGGAGATATCACGAATAGATGGTCTATGCGACCGGCGCCAACCTGAAATAATAAAAAAAAGAATCGTCATCTTTTATTCGTTATTTAAACCACTCACTAGCGCCGCGTAGTAATTTGATATAACTTAGTTATAAACTATTTATAGTGCCCTTAGTTATAATATTACTAGCAGAACCCGCGGCTTCGCTCGCGCTAAAACTACAAAAAATATCTAAAAAGGTACTTAATTTTCATCCCCTGTTTTACCCACTTATAGAGTGAATTTCGAAAAATGAATTTGAAAATGTCAAGTAATTTTGATCATAAATATTTTTTTCGATTGTATTATAACGTGTTTTCTCGTGGGAATGAGACAATCTCTTCCAACTATCTTCATACTAAAATCATTCCAATCCGTCCCTCCGTTTCGACGTGAAAGGAAACAAACAAACACACTTTCATATTTATAATATTAGTATAGATGTTATCTTTCTGACCGATTTTGGTTACACTTATTAAGATTAGCTAACTATCTCTTTTATTCTTTCTTTTATAGTTATTACGAAACTGCGATAATTATAACATCTCAGTTTTTTGTCATTTTCACAAGTTAAGAATACATTCTCTAGGCCCATTAGCCGATAATTTTGACAAATGACAAAAAATATGGCGGAAGTTGATTATATATTCCGTGTTGTTTCTAATTAAGTACCTAAGCCAAAAATATCACCTAAACAGACTCGAATCTTAGACCCAGAGGTTTATAATTACTAGACATGTAAGTTACGCTCTAAATCAATATTAAAACAAAACTATTAATTAAGACGAAAGTGTTTACACAAATTCAACTTAATCAGCACATTATAAACTATAGCAAGCTGATAACAAGGCCAAAGAGTATGTTAACAAATCATTTTAAGACAAACAATTCACAATACAGTCATCCGTGGCGTACATGTATCATGTTGAATTTAAATTTAAAAACTTTAAAATTCACAGTTTTTATATGTGTTTTATTTAGTGAAAAGTGCTTAAGCTATGATTCGTCAGAAACAATTAATCATGCTATTAAATCTAGTGAAAATAATGAACGAGCTGTAGAAAAAGAAGTATGGATACCAAAACTTATTTCTAAGTTTTATTATGTGGACAAACTTGGTGATACAACTACTATAAAAAATGAACAATCTGCAAAGTTTAGTGACGACAGCGAAAATATTATAAGTACAAAGAAGCGAATTTCTCGAGAAATTAATTATGGACGATCTTCAATATATCCAGCGGGAACCACACCGTATCCCATTGCGTCTAACTATATAACATATAAAACTCCAGTAAATCAAACCTATTATGGAGTTTCACCGATTTCTAATTTTAACAACTATTCTGTTACACAAAAATATCCACATAACCAATTTTATCCAACGCATCAATATAGCACTACGTTAAATTATCCTCCACAAAATCCTGTTAGCGTTAGACCACCCTATTACCCAACACTACAGAATTCTTATTCGACTAATTCCAGTTTCCCTCAATTAAATAACTACTATCAAAACACGAGTTACCACCAAAGTTCAAAGCCAAGTCAAATCGTTTACCATCAGAATTCTTTTTCTAATAATTATATCAATGTATCTTCTCCAAGGACCCTCTACCCTTTCAGTAGATATGTAAATGTCTCGCAAAACACTGTGAAATATCCTCACAGTAGCTCCGCAGGTGGCCCAATATTAAACGGGTCATTTTCTCATAATTACGCTAATTCAATGAATAATTATCATCACACGAATAATAATACTATAAATAATTCAAAAAATAGTACAATAATGTATTATAATCGCGTATCAAATTTTACCACAAACAATCCTTGGAATGTGCCTTCATCAAATGTTAATAACAGACATGAAATAACGAATATCTCATCACCAAAACCATATTATAATTCAGTACCGAATTTAATATACAATAGTTCTCGAGCATATTATCCATCAAATCCCACATATCACAATAGTAACCATACTTTGTATCAATCTTATCATTATCCTCAAAATACGTCGACTTATCCTGGCTATCCTGTGTATAATAGCAATACGTTTTATAAAGAAAATTTAAACGTCACTGCGCCAAAACCCTTTTATCCGATGACAAGTTTTAACTCAAGTTTTTCAAGTTATCCTACAAATCCTACTAGTTCTTGGAAAAATTATAACCAAAACAATTTTACTTATAATAATTCTTTCCAATCTCAAGGAATAGAACCAAACCATTTTTTCTTCACGCCAGGAAACAAGACAGTATCATACGATCCGCACAAGAGTCAACCTTATAACTTTTCATAAGGCCAGCCGAAGTTAAATATTAAATATTCATAACACCACTTAAAATTACTCGTTAAAATAAATTTACTATAAGTTTTGCTGTCTAAAATTTAGCAGTTTATGTAATAATATGTATCAGCTGTATGCTATAATAAAAATTTAATACAAAAACCATTGCTGTTTTTTTTACTAAATTTTTTTTTAATTCTGTATTGTGTGGCATATTTATTTTTCTATAATATAAGTTTATACCATAGAAATATGGCAGTTAACATAATTTTAATTTACCTTCTAATACAGGAGGCTTCGTAGTTTTGGACAGAAGTCTAGGCCCCGTTATTGTAATTACAATTGCTCCAATTGGAGCTGTGATGACTATAGACATGATGCATACAGTAAAAACCATTTCTGCATAGTTTAAAAGTTCAATTTTTGATTCATCATCACCAGCCATCTTGCGTACTTCATCTAGAGCTACAGGTGCTAATGCAGCCTAAAAAAGAAAACCATTTACGTGACTAGATGCTTTATTTTTTACTTAATATTGCTATATCACAATAGTAAGAAAAACAGTAAAAAATCTTACTTGAACAGTAGCCTTAGCCATCCAAGCGAACCCGACGAAGATTTTTTCTTTCATGTTAAGATTGCTGCGTACAGCACTGACACTTGTAAGTAAAGCGCGAAGAATAATGCAGGTCATAATGATTCCAGCGCTGACCAGCACTAGATGAGGAGGAAGATCTGCAATCTGTTAAATAGTCTTGTTAATAGGAGCAAAGTTCTTGGAGAATTAAGAAATAAGTTAGTGCAATCATATAAATAATAACATATCAATATCATTTTTTTATATTTAGTTCAACCTTTAAGTATCTTTTCTCAGTATGCTTATATTACAATACTAATTATATATCGATGGGTTATTGGAACAAAGCCGCAATCGACAAAATACAATTTTACAGGAAAAAAGATTTAGTGAAAATCATGAATAATTACTAAACTTCAAGGCTCATCAAAACGGTTTATATATCAAAAGATGCGTTATTTTTTTCTGGACGGATATATAATGTACATAAGCTTATAATTCTAAGGAAATACCTAAAAACAAGTAAAAAATCATATTGCCGCTTCATACATTGAATGTCGTTTCCGTAAGAATCCATTGTGGTTTTATTCCGGTAAAAAGTGCAGAATCAATCAGACAGCAATAGTCTATTGCAACGTTGTACGCTGATCGGGAGGATGTATGGCGAATACAGTAATAGCGTTTTGCAGTGATGTTACATGAATTTAATGATCGACTTGGAAAATGTACTTGTGAATGCTGTGTACATTATATGAATATGGTTGTTTTGGAATGACTACAATCAATCTAGAATATAACGTAATTATTTATTATTATGTATTTATTATTTTTAATTAAAGTTTTGGACACAGCATAATTAAGTCATAAGAAAAAATACCAATATACCTATTTACCAGAACAATAACATAGTCTTCAGGTTATTTACATTTCTACGATCTAAAATGTATTAAAGTATTACAATCTTGGTAGGTATCAAAAAGAAATAACAAAATTATCCATAAAGAAATGGTGTGTCTTCTTGGGAATAATGTTCTGCTACGAGTACTTCATCCTCAACAGTTTCGCATGCCAAAACCTCATAAAAATCATGGTAGTGACGTGGTGTGTCATAATTTTTACAATGACTTAATAAGTCTGAGTGCAAGGCTTTAGGCACAGGAAATGGTTCATTGTAAGCCCTTTGCAGCTTGGATACGATTGGAATTTCAGCAGTAGGAGTAGCAGCATCACGGAGTATTTGTGCACCTCGTGAACGTCCACTTCGTGTGCGTCCACCGTACCCGGGCGCCTCGAGTAGGAAATCTGGCTGATAGATCACGAGTGTGTATTATTATTTATTACATTTTATTGGAAGTGGTGCTGAGGTCGGCCATAACTACGTCAACCAATTGTGGTCCATTGTAGCTCCCTGTGTGTGTAACTCCGTACGCGTGTGGAACTTCATAATATAATCATCTTCAAAACTGTATTTTAAGTTCAGTATACCCTCATGAGTACCCGCAACAACTCCCATAAATATTGGACCACAATATTTTATTTCCCTCAGAGTCATGCGTCCAATTTCGGCCTTCAATAAGCATTTTTATATCGACAAAATCAGATTGATCCATCTCTATCACTTTATATTTCTCGCCACTAACTTTGTCATTCATTGCAAGTGCGTCTGACAAATAATGGCATAATAATAATATTATTATAAGTCTCAATATTTTGTAAATAGCTTATTGTGCTATTTCGTAGTTCATTTGCAGAGGGCAGAATTAGTGATGAGATGTTATGGACCACGGGGTTCAAGATAGAACAAGAATCATTATTTTCTGAAATTCTACCTAAATTGCATAACAATGTTTGACTTGAGTCGGAAACTGTAATATTCTCTGGTTTTAAAGTAGTATCTAATTCCGAGATCTTCAAATCTATGGCGCTACCACTACCTTGACATAGACAAGAGACATTAAATCTAGAATATTATCTTCTAAATATTATCTTCTATTGATACAGTAACACCTCGTTGTTCTCCTGGTTATTTACACTCAACGTTTAACTAATCTGAAAGTTATGTTCTCGAGGGGATTTTAATTCTATACCCACAAAATACCCAATTTCTTCGTTATTTCTAATTTGATTTTTGTGTTTTGGGTGTGCTTAAACTAATAGTATGGTATCTACTTTTAATATTTCTGATGGAGATATTTTTATCAACTGACTTCTTCAAAAAGGAGGAAGTTCTCAATTCGGCTGTATGTTTTTTTTTAAGTTTGTTACCTCAGAACTCGGTCATTTATGAACCGATTTGGACAATTTTTGTTTTGTTTGAAAGTGTATACTTCCAGATTGGTTCCTTTTAAATTTCAAAAAATATAACACCACTAAGGGTGGAAAAATACCTAATGATGAATTTAACCTACTTCTAATTATCATATTGACTTGAAACTTTGCAAGTGCTTCTATTTCTGTTGATAGTGCAGTGGTTCGTTATCGTTGACCTGATCTGATAAGTAAGGCCGTAGATCGGGTAAGGCCAGAAGGTGGATAGGTGGAACTCTTCAACGGCTAATAGTAAAGTAACGGCTAATAGTACTTTAAGTTTCGGCTTATTTTATTTGATTTGACCAGCCTAACTCGTTAGAATCGGATTATAGAGCCAGAATTTTTAGTGTTAATAATAAAAGTGAATTTTAGTTTGTCAGTCTTCATATTAAAATTAGCATCAAAGTAACTTAAACGGTTTAAGCAAAAATATTTTATTAAAATACTTTCTTCTCACCAAGTAGCAAACTACTACTATGTCTACACTAAGAAGGAAAAAATAAAAACTTTTTAACAAAAAAATAAAAACCGACTTTAAAAAAAGCACTAAAAAGTAAAAAAAATACTGATTGGTAGTTTTCATTTACTATACATACAAAAATAATAATAATATAATATTTTATTACTTTAAGATGCACCTATGTGATGTGTCACAACAATAATAATATAATAACTACATATTCAATATTATCTGGCAGGCATTTAGGCAGGCATATTGATAAACACACTTTTGGTATTTAAAAACTAATGTGAGAAAAACAGTACATAGATTACATACATATGGCACTGTTTATTGAAAATCAATCGACATATTTTTATTTCATGGAAGAAAACCATAATTACTATTACTAGTGAAAGTTTAAAATATTTGTACAGCAATGTTTATTGTGAATCGGTATACTAAGTTTATTTCCGGGAACAAAGCCGCAATGGCCGTTAGTTGTAGAAGGTTGAAAAAAACTTTTATCATTGCACATAGCACGATTATTCCGGCAAACAAAATTCGAACGATGAACGGGGAATAACGAGAGAATATCCATACTGCTTTTGCTAAATCAGGCAGTTTTCATTATTAATTCGTGAAAAAAATCCACAAGGTGTATTAGGGTGCGTAGATTACGAAAATGGCTTAATCGGAAAACAGCTACTATGGCTATTGCGGTCTTGTTCCAGGCACCCATCGATATGTAGATTCTAATTTAGGCTATACGAAAAATTATGTTTTTTTTTGTTTTTAGTTTTTATTTTTGATTTTTAAATTAAATTGGAACTAGGTACTTTATGGTGTTTTCTATGTTCTGTCTGATAACCCCGCAAGGAATATTTATATTTTTTATTCACTTGACTTACCACTATTTGAGCGCCAGTGACAGCAAACAGCATGGGTTCAAAGAACATCCAGAAAATTTCAAAAGCAGTCGCAACCGGGTTGTCTTCCAGCTCCCAGCCTTGTTCAACCCATTCCTTACAGGCCACGAATGCAAAGGCAATAACTGCTAGTGGTCCTGTAAAAAGTTAAAATTAAAAATACGCTTAGTACTTGTTTGAAATAATCTCTAGTCTATTCTTTAGCTTAGTTCATTTTTATACTTTAAGCAAAAATAAAGCTAAATCATAATAATAAAGTGGTATACAAAAATGTAAATAAAATATACATAATAACTTTTTATAATATACATTTGTATTCAAATATAATAAAGAAATGTTAGGAATTATTTTAAATATTTGGTAACGAGATTATTACTAGACTATGTTTGAAATGATACATATGAGGCTTATTTCTTTTATCCAATATATTTAAACGAGCAATTCTTGATTATATATATATATATAATCTGAATCTCGGAAACGGCTCCAACGATTTTCATGAAATTGGGTTTCGGGGGCGATAAATCGATCTAGATAAGTCTGGGAAAACGCGTGATTTAGAATTTTCATGCGGTTTTCTTTGGCATTATTCATCATTGATCAACAATCACAGGTGTCCATGTTCGAATCTTGGTCGCATATAAAGTTTTTACTTTTATTTATTTTTTTAATATTTAATTATGTTTTTAGTTTTTTTTTAAAAAAGACGCAAGATTGACAATCATAGGTGTCCGGGTTCGAATCCCGGTTGGATACAAAGGTATAATGTATTTTTGTTTTTTTTTGGATTTATTCAAGTATTTAGTTTTTTTTAAAGAAAATTGTACTTTTCAACCACAAACTCGGTGGCCCAGGTACTGTACTTAATGCAGCACTGTTTTATTGTATGCCTGTAATTGTACTTATAACAGCGTATTGTTCGAGTGAAAGTTATGTATTCTGTTCTACTACATGCATGTAAACAATTATGAATCAATGGCATTTGCCTGCCATAATTCAAGTGAATATTTATAATTCGGTGCAATTTACTAGCCTTTATACATCATACTGTCGACTTATTTTCGACGACACGTTTGGCTCAGTTTGTAGTGACCCTACTTGCTGTGCCAACGGTCGCGGGTTCGAAACCCGCTGGGGGCATTTGTGTATAAGCACGAATGCTTGTACTCCAGTAATAGGTGTTTATATTTATAATATGTATGTATTTAAAGTTATATATGTCTAGTATATCAACTATCTGGCACAAGCCTTGTAGCATTCCATGGAACTAGATGATGCTGTGTGTTAATGTCCCACATATTTATTATTTATTTATTTACTCTCCTTTTGCCTCAGAATTTAATACAATTCCAAGCCAGTATCCTGCGGAAACTCTTGGCGTACCAGAATAATGTAATTAATCTATGTCACTCTTTTGCGCATTAATTAAATGTATGCAAAAAATCACCTCGATTCGTTGCCCCTTTGCTGTGCGAAAGGTCACAAACCAAAAAAAGCATTTTAGCATTGATAATATAAATAAAAATATTGTAAGTCTATAATCAACAAAATACTATAGAATTTTAAACTGTTTTAATATGTAAGTGTAATGTTCTATACCAATATTTTTAATTTCAAATATTTTAATAAGAATACTTACCACCACCACCCCAGCCTATTTCTTCTGATCCCAGCACTGACATAAGACCTCCAGCTAGTAATAGTAAAACTCGAATTGGAACTAAGAAAGCATCATTTTTTTCTGGAATATACTTAACAAGGTATCCACAAAATACTCCAAAAGCGATACCTCCAATAATACTAACTGGGCCCTGTAATAATAGAATAGCAACTGTCATTATTCGGTGTTATGTATTCATGGAGACGTACATGAGATAGTAATTATTAATAATAATCGCAACAATTAGTCCATGTAATATTTGAATAGTAACGCATTAATCATATGAATTGGTTATTGTTATTCATTTTTTTCTAATGGCTTTATTTAAAATAATGAAACACAATAAAAGACACGTAATGACAAAAATAAATCAATATTAAAAACAAAACGAAGTAAGTTTATACTTTAAAATGATTCATCTACCGGCAAATGTCTAGTTAACTTAAGGCTTGGGGCATTAGTTTTGTTTTACAATTTCCAAAGGAAAACAAATATGTAAAAGTTCATAGTTCATTAGTTCTGAACTGTAAAATTATATAATACACAATCGTAATGATATAATCTGAAATACCTGAATAATGTTTGTTGTGAGAGAGGAATTGGAGAACATGATAGATGACACAATGCCGAATACGGCAACGCTGGCGGCATCATCTATACCAGATACTGCTAGCACTAGTGTAGGTATACCTTTGGATACACCATAACCTTTTTCTCTGAGTCGGAATAGACATGGTACTATTACAGCCGGCGATACCGCAGCAAATATTGATCCCATTAGGAAAGCTAAAAAAATTGTTAGAATAAGATTGGAAGAAATTATTATTGGTATAAGCTCAACTTGATAAGATTATTTTTATTTACCCCAATCCCATGGTAATCCAAGTAAAAGATTGCTCATCACAGCGCAAAGTACGCATTCAAATGTCCAGGGAACTAAAGCGAGTTTAAGTACAGTGAAAAAGAACTTTTTCATAGCACCTGGATCTAAGTCAAGTCCTGCTCTTGTTAGAATTATCGTTAAAGCTATTTTTCTGAAAACAAAAAAGAATAAATGAATAATTATACTTTCGCATTTTGTGGATTACATAAACAGAACAGAACGTAAAAATTTATTCCATTTTAGCTGAAGAAAGAACAGATGATGAAATAATGCATATTGTATTACGAGTGTGTATTGCACCTGAGTTTAACCGTATTCTGGAGTAATGGCAATTGGCATACAAATATATATCTAGTTTTGAATCAAATCTATGAATTCAACGTAAAGGCTAATTTTGATCAAGTTTTTTGGCACTGCCAATATCAATAATTTCAGGATTTTTACGGAATTAAGTTTATTCCTTGCATCATAACATAAAAGGTTAGCCTGTTTAATATTTAACTATACAATTTCCCTTACCTTACATAGGACGCTACGTGCTGGTAATCCGAATCAAAGTTGACAAAGCCGATATTTTTCATAATTATTCCTACAATTAACATTCCAATAAGTGCTGGCAGCGTGGTTACTTTCACCATGAGCCATCCACCGAAGTGTGCAGCAATGGTGAGGACGGCAAACATAAACAATTGTCCGCCTGGCGCTGCCGTGTCACCCAATATTATCCATACGATTACCCAAATCATAATGCCTGAAAAAATATTAAATTTACAGTTGATATTTCTAAAGTCACGTGTGAGTGGAAAACTCATCAGCTTGATAATACATAAGGATGATTCTTCGAAAATCAAATAAACGTACAAGAAACTTGTATTATTAATAATTATATTTGAAAAATACTAAAATGTTTGTGCTAATCTTATACTATTTAGTCATGGTTTTTATTTGATAAGTCATAGTGCTGCGCAATAGAAGTAAAATATAAACAATAATATAAATCTTTACATATAATAAGATTCTGAGTCGAATCTGTACATTAAATATATTTTGAAAAATCTTATCGATATAATACAGAGGCCGAATTTAAAGTTTTTAGAATTTTTGTCTGTATGTCCGCTGGTTTTTGAATTTTTATAATATATTTATTTATTTTATCAATTAGTGATTTTCACGTTTAGTTTACCTAATTTTACTATAATACTCTCTCTAGATATTATTACCTTATTTTTTTCTTCATTCATTTAAACTTCAACTGCTTCAAGATTAACGTTATTATTAATATCCAAAAGTTTGTACTTACCTATTAATAGAATAGAAAGGTTTTGAGCAAATCGTCTGTAAGAGGGACATAGTGGATATGGGCATATTTTCTGCCAATGTGGTGGTTCCCAGGAAGGAATTCCGGTATCTTCTGCGTGACACTTTTGACAACAGGCGTACCACCAAGATCTGTTAAAATGCATTAATTAATTAATTTACATATCCTTTCAACAAACGTAGAAATTTATTAAAAATAAATCGTAATATATAATACATTTTTTTATATATGTTGTGTACGTATTGATTGTAAATGCTTTAAGAATTTTAGAATCCTCACCTTTCGATGTGTTCGCTTTGGTGTGATAATGCTTTTTTGGAATAAATAGAAGATGTGGTTGAGTATTTCTTATATCTTCCTTCAATATGAGTTGGTCGTTCTGAGAATAAAAAGGTCGTGCTTTACTAACGACGATATGACATGTATCTAATGTATTAGGTCAATATGTCAGCTGTGCGAAGCAACATGTGTACCACCTGCCTTTCCCACGATTATTATAGCTATAGGCATATTCAATATAATATTTATTTGTTTATGTTTAATATTTTAAGGTAATTTATGTTTATTATTATTTTACTTTCCATACTTTTACTTTTTTATGATTTATTAGAACATGTTATAATTACACATACGTAAATTAATATAGGTAACAAAGGGACAAAGTTAGCAATTGGATTCCGCTCCTATTGGTACGGATCCCTAAAATATTATTATGTAAGTATTAGATGGAATTAGGTGTAGATAACAATTAGTATCAAATATGGATATTTAAAGTTTTATCCTGTCTACCGTATTACAGGTTGTTGGACCTATTACTTAAATGTTTTATATTGACCAAAAACACATAAATATCAGTTTGCCACTAATTGATGTAATTGTTATACTCGTATATTTAAGTTATAAGAGTTTCGTTACAATTTTAAAGTATTTACCCCAAGATGTGTCCATTTCAGCTGCCAAGGCATTATGAAGATTACTTTTACGCCGTGATGGCCCTTCTGCTTGAGCTGAAACTCGGCCATTCCTTAAAAAATATTTGTTTCCATGAACGGTGAGGAATACAATAACAACTATCTCAGTCTATCATTGTAATTGAAATTACCTTAATATGTTATAATATCTTAAAAACAAACTCAATGTAGAGACATAAACCTGTTGTTATCATTAAAATGTCTAGGTTTAATTAAAAATGTATAAAATTTACATATTATTGAGGTCATAATTAATTTTTACTGGTCTTTTTTGTATGTGAAAGGTGCATGTGACAGCATAATTTTCTTTAATTAGTATGGTTATATTTATTGGAATTGAATTTGTTATGATTTAACTGTATATAGGTACATTCATATATTTTTTATATATAATATATTGTTATTTCTGTTTACCATTAAAAAACGTTGCTTCTTTTAATATTCGGTATAAATAACGGAAAAAGGTCAAGTTTATTTTTTACAGCTGAAAGTGATGGCAAAGGACCTGTTTTAAGCAAAGTTAATGTAAAAATATATAAAATTAAATTCAGTTGATACATTTTTACTAACAAAACTATATCTATACTATAATAAAGCAGTATCTTAGGGAAATCTGTACATGAAATATTTTTTTAAAACAATGACTCCTAACGGATTATGTACACAATATAGACCCCAAAACAATAGTTATTAAAAATTTTGTCTGTTTGTCTGCTTATCTGTATGTCTGTTTGTGTGTGCGCGATTCACGCAAAAAGTAATGAACCGATTACAACGAAATTTGGGGAAGTGATAACTTAGTACTCGGGTCAACATTTAGGATACCTTTTACGTCATGAAAATCTTTCTTTCCCACGGGAAAATACAATAACTGGTTTTATCGAGTCCTTCTTAAATACTAAACCTTAAGACATACACCAAAACAATGTACTAAAAATTGTAGGTCTCGAAAAGGCCTACAGAAAAGTCTTCCATCGTATATGTATATCTCCTAATATACACTCGCAATACCTATTCTTACCTATAATAAAACTAACTTAGTCAAATCGTCTCACGCAAAAAGTACTGAACCGATTTTAAATAAATTTTGAGTAGTGATAGCTTATTAATCGGGTCAATATTTAGCATACCTTTTACTACAGTCTATTTTTGAATTTCCACGGGATAACACAATAACTGGTTCTATCGAGTCGTCCTTAAATATTTATATGGCTAGCGCGGGCTAAACCTTAAGAGATACATCAACACAATGACTAGAAAATTGTAGGTCTTAAAAAGGTCTACAGAAAAGTTCGCAATAATATATACGAGTATCTATCTTCTAAGGTACACTCGCTATAACTTTTTTTATATTATTATACGTTATCTTCTATCCCTACTACGAGTAGTATTATTAATGTGAAATTATCGAAATTCATCCCATAAGGGAGTGAAATAGGGGATGAAAGTTTGTATGAAACCTACCTTTTTTTTTCTCTTTTTTCTGATGAACTTACAAAACTATGCTTACTTTACTTTTCGAAAATGCAACAGAAATATTTCTAAAATCATTACAATCCATAGTTTTAAAAACGTGTTGTCATTGAGTTATTTCAATACTTCGTACCGATATAAGGTTAGGAGATTGTGTTTTCAAGGGTAGATAAATAATTTCTATTAAGTTTCCAAGTTTTTCGACCATGCACTTGCATAAGGTCAAACTGTACTGCCCATAAAAGTGAGCAGCATGTGCTTGTGAAGGTTCGTACTAATAATACTACCCGTATTTCTTGACCTACTCTAGATACTAGAAATAATTTTGAATTAGGTATTAATATGTATTTTTTATTTATTTATAAATATTTGTATTACCACTTAGTTGATATGTAGGAAAAATACTATCGGATTTTCTTAGAAAGATTAAGTTCTTACTCGATAAATTATACATTTAAAAAAAAGATTCCGACGAAATGAGAACCTCCTCCTTTTTGGAAGTCGGTTGATTACTTGAAAGTACAACCGTTGTTGGAGCTGGGTGTTCTTTACACCGATTTGACTGCCGCTTTGATAATTTTTCATGGTTCACATTATGTGTGTCCAAATATGGTAAAACAAAGCTAGACGACGGACACCCACAACAAAACGCTAAGTAATAAAATATTTTTTCATCTACCTCCCGTGGAAAGTTTGAACAAAATTTGTATACGTGGACGTACTTTTTTGATTTTCATGTTAATTGTACTTCGTTTCGTTAGTAATAATAATAATAATTATTTATTATACCGTCGTGTAGGTGCATTCGGTTTGTAGTCGAATTTTGAATGTTGTAGAACATTTGTCTGCTATATGCATAGGTTAGTATTTAAACATAATATGTCTGCTACTATACGGTAATAGGATCAGTTTTCGGCTGTAACATAATCTCTTAGCTACGCATTGTAAGCCCATTTTCATGATTTAATTTAATTACAAAAAATTTAGTTATCGATTTTAATAATTGCTGTTTAACATGTAAAAATAAGTATATGCGTATGGTATATATGTTATTTAATATATGACTAGCATTGCCCGCGGCTCCGCCCGCGTTCAGATGACCAAAAACCAAATTCTTAGGATTTACATATTAGTATACTCTTACATTGCAGTTTTTGAATTTTTTCTCAGAAATGAGATATTTTCCCGCGTTAAAAAGTATCCTATATGTTGACCCGGATAACCAGCTATCATCATACCAAATTTCATCAAAATCTGTCCAATCGTTTTCTCGTGATGCGGTAACAGACAGGCAGACAGACAGACAGACAGACAGACAAAAATTCTAAAAACTATAGATTCGGCCTCTATATCAATAACAATGTCTATTTCAATAAGATTTTCCAAAAAATATCTAATGTACAGATTCGGCTTAGTTACATTTTATTATATGTTAGATGATGTTTAGTGATATAAGTGAATAGAAGAGTGTATAGAATAGTAAACAAAGAGTGAATGGAAGTCATTGGAAAACAATTGAATTGCGGCAAAAAATTGAATTGAATCCTATTATTTTTTTGTGTGCATAATGGTAAGTCGGTAAGGTTAACTTGAAGGTATACAAGGTATGTATTCCAAAGCAAATCGCTTTATCGCTAAAAATGTATTTACGGTATATTGGGTCAATGTTGATAGTAATTATTATTTAGCGAATGTCATGGCTTAAGGTTGATCGAGCCGTTACTGGCCGAGACATGGCAGTACGCACAAGTTGGTATTATTCGACGTTATGCCGTGTCACCATAGTTGTCAATTGTGATAAAAAAATTACATGTGGGTCACATAAAATGTCCGTCACTATATATACGTTGGCACAGTCAGCGTTTATGTTTGTACATACGTGTGTAGTTGCCGATTGTAAAATGTCACGGTTGCGGTCGTCTTATTAATTTTATATGAATGGAAATCAAAACGTTAGCGTTGTAAATCATGCGTATGATCACTGTCGCGTAATTTCATTTTGTGTACTTCTAACTTCTATAGTAGAAATGTATTAATTATGCATTCCTTTGCTTATACTATTTCTTATATTTATTTTTAACTATAAAAATAAATATATGTGGGCAAGACCATTAACATGGCTATTGATTTTAATAGATTACGGAAATTTTATATAATTTTGTGTTTTAAATAAGTATTGTACATGTACAACTTAACGTTAAGTTATATCGTAAGATTTTTTTTTGAATTTTTATCAGGTGCCTAATTCATAAATTAATAATAAAACTTACCAATGTCGGTTAGTTAGCGCGTCTGTTTCAAGGGATGAATCTGAGGGGAGGTAGCTGTCGTAGTGACAACTGAGACTACTGTGAGACATCCTACATGGCACTCGATGGCTCATAAACACAAAAACTATGATATTATCGATCGTTTATCACAAGATGCCTGCGCGAGGGCATGCCGTCCAAGTCAGCACGTTCCACACCTATGCCGCGGCGAGAGTGCATCTTATAAGAGAAGGTTCGGCTGCGAATAAAACCGCCCGCCGCTCCTCACCCCGGGCACGTGACTGCTTCGGTGAGCTCAGTTTTGCCGGCCGGCAACTCGGTCATTGGCCGCGCAAAAAATGGCTTTACCGCAGATATGAGCCCTCAGACAGTGGAAGACATGTATTAAAAAAAAAATGCAAAGACACCTTTATCGCACTTCACGTGTGAGACTACTGAACTTTGGTGTAACTCGAAGTAACTCACTGTTTAAAATTCCGTTTGAAACATTTCAAACAAGGCTCGGGTGACACTATCCGCACAACCCGCGCACGTTAATACTTATCTCGTTTCACACATGTATACACACACAGTTACTAAATTCATGATCAAATCTGCTATAATGCATACTTAAAATAGTTATAGTTCGAAGTACTAAACTTTTTCCATTGATTTTTAATCAATATCTTTGATTAGGAAAAAATAATGTCATTTTAATACACTTGTAATGTTTAATCTCTCCACGACCGTGGACACGCCGGCGTTACAATTAACAATAGATTTCTTAGAAATTTAGAAGCTTTAGTAGCTCAATACTAGCTGGTAGCGGCGCAGTCAGTAGAACAAATAATAGGAACCCATTCAAGGAGAATGGCCATGAAAATGTAAAATAATAACAAAGGCATTAAATATTGTCCGAATGACATAATTTACCTATTTTAAATTAATATTTTCAGATGAATTGGAGGTATTTTTTTTAATAATATTATTTTATTTAACTACTTAATATCATTTCAATAACATTCAAGAAATCACAATTATAACATTCAAGAATCACATTAAAGAAAATTATTCATTATACAATTATGTATATTATATTCTATTTATAGCACACTTAAATACATGTTTGTTTGGAAACGAATATTTACCTATATTAATATTAGACATTTTATTCACTGTTGTATTAACTGCGTTGAGGTAGGTTATGAGCTACATCCCCCCCAACGTGCGTTCACCTTGTCGTGGTGGGGGGCTCAGTAGTGCCCGGTAATCCAACCGGGCGCGAAGCTAAGAAACGCACAGGGAGGTTGCCCACTTCGTTGGGCGGTGGGAGGTGGCTCTCTTCGGGGGGCGGTGTACCTTGCGGGTTGCTCCTGGTACTTCTCTGATAGCAGAGTGGACCTTGGAGCAACCCCATGGTTGTGGTGGTCTGCTTTGGCAGACCTGCCGTCGGGGCGTCGTAGTTGAATGCGTAAGCGATCCTGCGATGCCCCATTAAGACGGGGGAAGGTTTTGTTGGGTTTATAAAGTATGCAAAACACTTAAATGGAAATGGGCAGGACATATGATAAGAGAGAAAAATGAGAAATGGACTAGAAGAATATCAGAGTGGTACCCCAGGGATGGCAAAAGACCCCCCCAACGTGCGTTCACCTTGTCGTGGTGGGGGGGCTCAGTAGTAGTAGCGAAGCTAAGAAACGCACAGGGAGGTTGCCCACTTCGGTGGGCGGTGGGAGGTGGCCCTCTTCGGGGGGCGGTGTACCTTGCGGGTTGCTCCTGGTACTTCTTTGATAGCAGAGTGGACCTTAGAGCAACCCCATGGTTGTGGTGGTCTGCTTTGGCAGACCTGCCGTCGGGGCGTCGTAGTTGAATGCGTAAGCGATCCTGCGACGCCCCATTAAGACGGGGGAAGGTTTTGTTGGGTTTTAGTGGGTAGTACTGGTTGTATTACACCGGTGAGTCCCACACGTCGTGCGTAAATGCATTTCCCAACGTTAAAAAAAAAAAAAGGGATGGCAAAAGAAGTAAAGGTCGACAAATGAAACGCTGGGAAGATGACTTCAAAAGAGTTGCCGGTCCAGAATGGATCAGAATTGCAAGAGACAGAGATAAATGGAATTCTTTGGAGGAGGCCTTTGTCGAACGACAAGCTGTTGTGGAAAAAACCGATCGTCGGTAACAAATGTAATAAACATGTATTATATTGTAACAGTTGAAAACAGCAATAAAGGCTTTATTTATTTATTTATTATTTATAATTATTGTAATTGTGTATTTAACATAACCTGTTAGGAACCGAAGTAGAATGCATGAGAGTCGGACTATTTTTCTATTTCTTTATTTAATATTTGTTAGTGGTCTGGAGGAAATAAATATACTTTCATTAAGAAAAAAATGTGTAAAGTTAGTTCACTATGTTTTTCCAATCAATGTCATTAACCGAACAGTTTGAATCCACCATGGATGTGAAAAAGTAAAGCGATTCACACACTAAACAAAAATATACGTCTAAGAAGAATATGTGCATATTTACATACCAATGTTTTCGGAACTTCTTTTTCATTAGGGAAGTATTTATATCTTAGGCGCTACGTTTTGGCTAATAAACAAAATATACTTATATTAAGTTTCAATAATTTTTTTATTTATATTTTTTTTTATTGTCGCTCGACAAGATGACTCCATGACGCCTGATGGTAAGCGACAGTGGAATCCAGAATGAGATCCATCGGTTCCGGGACTTGATCTCGATTCCGATCAACCTCACCTCGTCGGCCTGCAAATGTGCTTTTTCACGCTCCGTTTAAACGACCCAGGATTATAGGAAGAGGGAAACACGTGAGACGGTAATGAATTCCATTTCCTAATAGTGCGGCACAGGTAGGAGCTGCCAAACCTTTTGGTACGAGAAGGTATGGGTAGTACCGTGTGAGGATGGAATTTCCGACCAGCACGTGTGGTTTTGGAGAGGAAAGGAGAGGAGGGTATAAGGTGGAAGAGCTCTTCTAAACACTCGCCATAATAAACGCGATAAAAAGCGGCTAGAGAAGCAACATCTCTACGAAATTGCAGAGATTCTAAGTACTGAGTAGCCTCAGGTTTATTGATTATGCGGAAAGCACGGCGTTGCAATCTATCAAGAGCGTCTAACAAGTACTTTGCAGAGCCATCCCAGAGGTGAGAGCAGTACTCAACGCATGAGCGCACTTGAGTCTTGTAAAGTAGACATAGCTGCTCAGGCGAGAAGAACCGCTTCACCCTGTTCAGGACCCCGAGTTTACGCGAAGCTAACGAAATGACACTCTCGATATGGTTTTTTTGGTTCAGATCGCTGCGGATATTAAGTCCGAGGATGTTGATGCCATCCTGCATAGTAAGGCGAGTGTTCTGAAGAGAGGGAAAACAAAGGAATGGAGATTTTTTAGCCGAGAACGCGCACACCTGCGTCTTCTTGGCATTGAACTCGACCAGGTTCTTTGAACCCCATTCTGTCTAGTGGCTAACATGATCGGCCGCAGATCCGGCAGATCGGCCGGAGGTCCTGGGTTTAAGTCTGAGGTCGGGTTAAGTTTAGGACCTTACTCTTAAAGTCTTGGACTTTAGCCGACCCTAATTAATACAGAGCGCATTAGTGTCTGTGCGAACATTTGTGAACATTTCCTGCGCAGTTTGCTAGTCTCAGTGATATTGGTCGCAGCGGCCGAAATCGGTCAGGAGGATCATTATTGCCAGCCGATACCAAAGCAAAGCATACCGACTTCGAAAATATTTGGTATTATTAGGTTTGTATAGTAAATGAAAACTACACATCAGTTATTTTTTACTTTTTAGTGCTTTTGTTTGAAGTCTGTTTTTATTTTTTTGTTAAATAGTTTTTATTAAATACATGTTAACTAAAATGTGATATAAGTATTAAAAAATAAGTTTAATATTCTTATATGGCCAACACAGTCATCTTAGCAAAAAAAAAAACGAAACTTTGCCAATTTGGTAGATCTGTATTTCTTGCTCTAGGAAGGCATGGAGGGTAGAGGTAAGAAGATAAGTATCTTAAATGAGAGACAAGTTAAAAAATTGCCACCAGTTAGAGGTAAATAACGGTTCAAAAACCCACCAGAAGGGCGATAGCGTAGCAAGAGGGTATGATATGAATTTAGCAACTTTGTAAACGGAGTGAAGTGTGCTAAATAGAAAAAAATAATATTTTGGATGAATTAAGTAGTTATTGAAATTATTTACTTAGTCTAAAACCAATTTAGTAAATATAATCGAATAAAACTGTGTTGATATAAACGTAATTTATTTTTTGTGAACTTTTAATAATACTTTTGGCGCTTTCCTTAAAAATATTTGGCGTCAAGTTTAATGCATTTCGACGGACACTTTTTCATCATAGAGATAGTTCTCCTTACCTCTACACTCCCTACGGCAAGGCTTTTAAGTACGGCAGCATCGCTAAAAAACGTCGAAAAATTGAAGTGTGTGGAAGTGGTTGAGTGAAGGTGAGTTTGATCGTCTATAAATAGTGGAGAAGTTTCATGATATTGTTAATATCATATTTAATGCAATGGAATTAACTTAACGTATTAAGTTTAATGACAGATTATTTTTTGTTTAATTTTTGAAATTGAAGTTATGTTCGGCTTGAGATTATAAATTTAGTTGAGATCATGTGATATTCAATAGATATAATTTTATTATTACCAGTTTCATTTGCTCACTTTAGTATTTAACAACAAAATCAATTCATAAAAACTACAGTGGGGCAACACTGACGAAAATTTTCCAATCGGGCCCTCAGACGTGAGTCATGACTTGATGGGAGGTAAAAAGAAATCACGCATATTTTGTGGATTTCAAATTAATTACAAGCATATCCGAATAGAAATTAATATACTTAAGTAGTTTGGCCTAAGACTCAATAAATACATGCTTAGAAATTTGGGTATCAATTCTGCAACATTACGAAAATCGTTGTTAACTCGTATTCACTCCGTTTTATCGATACTCGTTTTTTGCCACTAAATCTAGTAGGCGTTAACGGCTTTTCAATACTTTCATAAGGATTTTTTATATGAGATATATATAGAGGATGAGAATATAATGAATAAAATTAGCTATAAAAATAAAACTTACTAGTTGGTATATAACTATATTATTAATTAACATTTCCATCTCACAAAACGATCAACCATTTCTCCTGCACAAATAAATACAAAGTTTAATTTCTAGTTTAAAGTTTTCTTAAGTACACTTGTATTTGTTTGTGGCTTGCATATATCTCACGAAATCATTGTAATAATTTACCTTCTAAAATAATAATTACAAGCGGCAAAAGCACGTGACTATTTCGACAGACTTGTTGAGTGAGTCATAACGGTTTGTTGTAGTACGAGTGATATGTGTATGTATGAATACGGTAGTGACAAAATAAATAGACCTCCTCCTCCTCCTCGCCACCTTATAATATTACTAGGATATGAAGGCGTAGAGTCTTTACATAGCTCATTGTTGTCTGGGCAATAAGTTCTGCCTTTCATAAATTGTAATCACGTGGTAGTAACTTGTAAGATAAGAATGCTAATTATATAAACTTATTTAGCAACATATTGGTACTGGTACTGGTTTAGTACCACTTTTTATATGCATAAGTAGACAATTTTTTTTAATTCATTGGTTGTGGTAACTAGGCATATTAAATACTAGCATTGCCCGCGGCTCCGCCCGCGTTCAGATGACCAAAAATCAAATTTGTAGGTTTTACATATTAGTATACTCTTACATTGCAGTTTTTGTATTTTTTCTCAGAAATGAGATATTTTCCCGCGGTAAAAAGTATCCTATATGTTGACCCGAATAACCAGCAACCACCATACCAAATTTCATCAAAATCCCTCCAGTGGTTTTTCTGTGATGCGGTAACAGACAGACAGACAAAAATTCTAAAAACTATAGATTCGGCCTCTGTATCGATAATAATGTTTATTTCAAGAAGATTTTCCAAAAAATATTTAATGTACAGATTCGGCTTTGTTACAATTTTATTATATGTATAGATAGATTATCTATACTTTATCTATACCTACTTATGTATGCTCCTTTCATAAAAAAAAAATACGTTCATTTATTTTTAGTTTATTAAAATTATTATAACAAGTTCGTACGCTCTACACCTGTTGCAACCATCGTTTCGAATTTAGCAATAAATTTTTAATCATTAAACTTTTCGGTGTATTATTTGTTCATCACATAGGATTTATGTATGTTTATTATAACATACAACGGCCCTAATAGTATCGAGTGTCATTTAATCAACCGACTTGTTCAAAAAGGAGGAGGTTCTCAATTCGTCGGAATCTTTTTTTTGTTTAAGATATATTATTATTATTATATATTTTTTTAGTTTACTATATTCGTAGTCCCCACGTAAAGGATCAAAATTAATTCAGTCACATATTCGCGTACGCAAATACTCATTTAAACTTTCGCATTCATTATATAGTCTCATTTAAGGGGATATTAAACGTTTTAAAATAGAACCTACTTACGAGTATGTTAATAAACGGAAACAGTGGTGATAATAAATATGATGCCGCATATTAATTTTATGGCTTTTTGATATAATGATTACGAAACTATCAATTGTTCTGTGCATCTTCATCAACTACCAATATTAAATATATTCATTGAATTAAGTATTATATTGTAATAGCTGTGAAGATTCAACGGTTGTCATTATATCTAGATGATTCATAAGAAAAAGAAAATTAAGATAATTATTATTTAACAACTCATTGTTACAAATACATATCTTCTACATATTTACGATAATTACTTTTTGTTATTGCTACTATTGTAGGACATAATTAGAAAATCTAGCAGTACTTCTTAATTACTTATATACCAATGGCTTCTACTTAGACTTCTTGAGTTCATTACATATGATTATACATAGAATGCACTTATTATATACGCACTTTCCTTTGAGCGGCACGGTGAAAAAAATTCCAAGAAATTTCAGATTCTTAAAAAGGCTTTAAAAAATAGTAACTTTATAATATTTAATTATTTTTGGGGTTCCGTACCCGAAGGGTGTCAACGGAACCCTATTACTAAGCCTCCGCTGTCCGCCCGTGCGTCCGTCCGTCTGTCTGTCAGAGGACTGTATCTCATGAACCGTAATAGATAGAGTTGAAATTTTTACAGAGTATGTATGTATTTCTATTACCGATATAGAAATACACTCGCGTGAAACTGAATCGACTCAAGCCGTATATTGGTATATAAGTTTGATTTTTCGGAAAATGTTAACACAGTCTGGGCCACTTGACGGGCCGACATAATCACTGATTTTTATATCACGATAAAATGAGTAGCATGCCGGAGTTGGCGCTCTTTACACCTCAAGACTTACAAAGCGTATTAGCTGTCAGTCTTCTGGCTTATCCTTCACCGGTCATTTCACTAAAATTGGCTAGTCTCACTAAAATTGGTCATCGAAATCGGCTAAGAGATCCTTATTAATAATATAATATTAGCACGGGTCAATGTAAATTAAATCAAATTTGTAATTAAAGTAAAAAAATGGAATAAGAAATATTGCAATAGGCTATTATTGCATAAACAATAATTAAATAATTAAAGCCTGTATGTAAATGTCATGCCCGCGCGGTACGAAGAAGAGTATGGTTTACTAGATTTATTGGGATTGTCATACTTACATCATAAATATTTTTGATTTGCATCATTTTAGTACTAATGCAAATAGTATCATGAGTAAAGTTTAAGTTTAAAGTGATACCTTTATTTTTACCCGGTATATCTATAGAACAGAAAATATTAATTAGAATTTTTAAATATTTATCCATGTAAAAGTGCTCAGGTTAAGAATAATGGGATCGATTATTGGGACTTAGGTATTCATATAGGTATGTCTTGAATGTAGGTATTTAAATATTGTGCGAAAATTTCAAATTTTAATATGTATGTGTCATTTTGTTTGAATTAACTGTATGCGTTGAAATCTTTTACTTTAGCAATTGACTCAAAATACTCGTTTTTGATTCGATTTGCTTTTATGTCATACTATTATAACTTTTTTGAATTGCAAAAATGGCATATGGCAAAAACAATAATATTAGTAAACTGTATTTTCATATGTATGAAAGTACAAAAAAAAGATAATTAAAGTCTATTTAGTACACATACATATTAAGTAACGATGTTTAGATCTAACTGGATTTCATTTTTAAAATGGCAGTACATATTATGTTATTTAAGTATATTCTGGCAATCTATACATATAAAAAAATAGTTTTTAGAATTTTCGTCTGTCTGTCAGTCTGTCTGTTACCGCATCACAGAAAAACCAATGAAGGGATTTTGATGAAATTTAGTACGGTGATAGCTGGTTATACGGGTGAACATATAGGATACTTTTTACCGTGGGAAAATATCATATTTCTGAGAAAAAAATCCAAAAACTGTAATGTAAGAGTATAGTAATATGTACAACCTAAGAATTTGGTTTTTGGTTATCTGAACGCGGGCGGAGCCGCGGGCAATGCTAGTTAACAATAAAATACAAGTAGCGCTTTATTAATTATAATAAAATTGATCGAGAATCGGTAGTAAATTAGTTAATTGAGAGAATAACAACTTTTGCAAAATGGTTTTATTACCTTTCGGAAGGTAAATTTTCTCTGTCCTTGCTGCTTTCGTCAGCCATGATAGAGACTTTTCTTTTGCCGTCAGGAGTGGCGGATCGAGATGAGTATGTGTTGCCTTGGTTTCCTGTCAGTTGATCCGTCGGTTTCGTAGTTCGTGTGTCGCTATTTTGATTTTGTAAATCACTAAGATCAAAGGGATATTCTTTTATGGCAGCCATTCGTACACTTGTTTTTCGAACCTGGAAATACAGTAATATAATTCTATTAATAAATACCATAGGTGTAAGTAGAATTGGAGGTTTAAAAATATATTAGAATTTCGATATATGTTTACTCTCTCAATTTTTCTTTTCACAAATTACATGAAAGTAACTTTCAGTACAATAAATATATGAGAATATTATGCAATAGATGTTTTGTTTAGTGGCAAAGATTGCGTAGAAATTTCCTGTCTGGAAAGTATTCAATATGAATTGATTCTAAAAATGATTTTTTTTAAATACTTTATATATTTGACTAACATGATGCAAACCAGCTAAAGAATTAAAAAAACTAGCAGTATACCACGCTTTGCTTCAATATTAACTGATAACATTAAATGTGCTTTTTCCCACCAAAATATTTTTTTCTACGATAATTAGACTATATCACTTTCGATGAACTTTCATCTGTCAGTGAGAGTCCTGTTAAAATAAAGCCGTTCTCCTTCTGTGTATTTAATTCTAATTAAAGCTTTATAAATATTTTAAGTATTGTTTTATTGAGATTTCTCACCTAAAAGATATACGTATATCTATTATTATTATTATGTGCTGTATATTTATCCTAACTTTCAAGACGCGCGCTGTTTGTTTTGAACCGTGTCTATTAGTAGAGGGTTAAACATTTTCATTTGCAATATCGTTTTATAGTCTTAAAACTTTTAAATTCTATGCTTATATAATTATTTTGTAGTTTAATAATAAAAAAATTAAAAATGTTTCATTAATAGTTATTTTTATGTTGGTTTAATAATATGGTACGACTGAAGAACAAAAATATTTTTTTTTTGTTTAAAAATCTGTATTTGATAAAAATATTGAAAATTGTTATTATTATTACATTTATTTGAATGTAAACAAAAAAAAATTAAATATATAAAACTTACCTTAATTTTTTGTATGCATTTTTATGCAATTTATTAACGAATTTTTGTTAAAGAAAATGTTTTATCGTTCAATAGTAGGTATCTTCTTTTGTAATATATGTCGTGCTACGCGTACGATTCACTGTAACAGACTGCACTGAAATAATGATCATGTATTACAGATTCATTATTTCGGCCGTAGAGCCTTCAGAGGTATTCTAGCTAATATATACTAACTAAAATTGTCTGTTTGTATCGATCACGGATAATAGAAATCGCAAACACGTCGATTTGTTAATAACTTGTGAAGATAGACAATGTGACCACATAATCTAAATTGTAAATTATAAATATTGCATGATAATATAATTTATCTTATGTTTTTTTTGCATCTAACAAACAAGCACGTATTTTTAATATTATATTGTATAAGATGTATAAGAATACGCGCTAATTCCCTTCCACACAAAAGAAAGTTCAAAGTAGATATTATATTTAAACACATGTTATAATTATAACCATTACCTTCATTAATAGAGGTAGTTATTTAGCAAAATTTATGCGGGATTTGTATGATATTTTGAATGAAATTATGGACTTATTATTGTGGTATTGTCACAGAGCGCCTGACGAACTTTAAACTATATCTATGTTTTGTCAATTTGCTCGATGTAAAAAAGCAGAAGCAGCCATATATAATTTTTTTACAAAGAAATCCATACTAATATTATGAATGTCAAAGTGTGTTTGTCTGTTGGTTTGTTTGTCTTTCTTTCACGACGAAAAGGAGTAACGGATTGGCGTGGTTTTCTTGTGTGGAGATAGTTGGAGGGCTGGAGAGTTACATAGGATACTTTTTATCGCGGGAGATTACTTAATTCTCTCAGGAAAACACCTTATAATACAATCCAAAAAAATATTTATGATCAGAATTACTTGAAACTTCAATAAAATTTAATAAGTAAATGTTTTAGCATTTTTCGAAATTCATCCCATAAGGGGGTACAATAGGACAGGTAAGTTTGTTTGAAATCTACCTTTTCAGAGTTTTTTTTATAGTTTTAGCGCGAGCGAAGCCGCGGGTTCTGCTAACATATATACTATAACGTTTATATATAACATATATAAACATATAATAAAATTGTAACTAAGCCGAATCTGCACATTAAATATTTTTTGGAAAATCTTATAGAATTATAAAATAAAATAAAAATCTTATAAAATATTTGATTATCGATACGGAGGCCGAATCTATAGTTTTTAGAATTTTTGTGTGTCTGTCTGTCTGTTACCACATCACAGAAAAAACACTGGAGGGATTTTGATAAAATTTGGTATGGTGATAAGTGGATATCCGGGTCAGCATATAGGATACTCTTTACCGCGGGAAAATACCCCATTTCTGAGAAAAAATACAAAAACTGCGATGTAAGAGTATACTAATATGTAAAACTTAAGAATTTGGTTTTCGGTCATCTGAACGCGAGCGGAGCCTCGGGCAATGATGGTACTTTATAAGTTAAGAAGTAAGGTTACCATGGTGACCACTCACCAATAAGCATATTACTAAATGTCATATTACAATTTATGAGATACTACTAGCAGTAACCGTGGCATCGCCCGCGTTCAAATTTCCGGTTGTTACCAAACTTTACAGGATCACCCGCTATATTAATCTAAAGATTGCCTGAAAATTTCATCAAAATCGCCCCAGCCGTTTTGGAGTCCATAGGGAACATACATACACACAGCGATTTATATATATATATATATATATATATATATATATATATATATATAAATTCTTATATAAATTCTCTTAAAATACAGACGCTTTTTTAAAGTAGACATTCCTACGGATGTAGTCATGCACGGAAGGCAGTGTGAGCTTGGTAATAAGGCCCCGTTCCGCTTTTTTACATAAGCAACTATTATTATTAAAATACATAGGTATTATCTAAGCTTTAAAAGATCAAAAGTTAAAACTATACATACCGCTTAGTAATTGATTTGGTAACTTCAATATATACTCGTACTAGCGGTTCACCCTTGCTTCGCTCGGGTTCGCCTCTAGAAAAAGAAAAATAAATCTATCCCTCCAGAACCGTATATTTTATCGGGATAAAAAGTAGCTTATGTATTATTCCAGATTATAATCTATCTCTGTGCCAAATTTTATCCAAATCCGTTCAGCCGTTCTGGCGTGAAAGAGTAACAGACATCCATACATGTTCACAAACTTTTACATTTATAATATTTATTATACAGATTAGATACATAAAATTAAAAATATCCACATATATGTAGGTATATAGATAGGTTCTCTGTTCAACTGTATGCATGTTTTCACAGATATCTCGGAAATGGCTATTAAAATATATTATTATTATTTGTATTGAAAGTACTTTCTAACGCATTTGCTACTATTATGTTTACACAAAAAAATATAAAATCCGGAAGGGATTTTTTATTTACAATAGATACCTTACACATCAAATATGACATTTTTAAAGTCAGTGCCAGCCGACTGCAAGTGGGAGTAGGTAGAAGTCTTCTTTTTATAAAGCTTTTGTCGGGCTAATGTCAAATTAATAAAAAAAGCTGCCGGCCGAAGCCCTGACAGGCCTCTAGTTCATCAGGAACAGGCCTTCCTCGCAATCTCGCAATGAAGAATGCGAGAAGGATCAAGTTATGGTCTACCCCGCTGGCCAACTGCGGGTTGGCGGAGTTGATATGACTTTCGAAAACTTAAGTTCTCTTAGATATGCCGAACTCTTTATGATGTATTTTTTCACCGTAGGGTGAGTGGTAAGCACGTTGAAAATGATTCGTACATGAAAGTATAAGAGGTGCGAGACGCAATGTTTGAACCAGCTTAACTTGATTTTCCTAACGAGCGCGATACCACTGGGCTACTGGACACTGAATGACTTTATCTTCTTAATTTTTCCTTTAGAAGGTTCATGAAATATATATATATATATATATATATATATATATATATATATATATATATATACCTACTATGCGTATTTTTCGCACAGTATCGTAAATAGAGTCGGTAGAAGGTGCCCTCTACATTCTTTAGGCAAATATGAATTTTATAATAAGTAAGGTTCTAAAATAGTTTTTTCAACGAAGACCTTAAATTTTACACTATTTGATTATATTAGCGGGGATACTATTTAAATTGAATTCTCGATCATTAATTTTTATAAAGAATGGATAATATCTTAAGAATTGTTTAGTTTAAACATTTTTTTCTTTAACTATTTCATTATTGTTTTTCCCTGGCTCTAATGCGCTTGCACATTGTGTACATGAATAAACCAAATGTTGACAATATTTGTTTGCGGGTAGCAGCCGGGTATTTATTTGCTTAAGTGGTCTCATCACAATCACATGATCACTCACGAGGAGTTGGCCACGAGTTCCCAATAATCAAGCGACTACGTAATTCGTGGTAGTTCACTGAGCGAACACCATTCCGCCGCACTGACGCTATGCGTTTATCGTTGCTCCTACACTATTAATTTAATTGTTCATTTAATGTTAGATTGTGAAGATAAAGTACGATGACCTTACATCAATACTATCTAAGGAAGTAGTATTTTGATTATATATATTAATATATATATATATATATATATATATTAATTATTATATATATATTAATATACATATATATATATATATATATATATATATATATATATATATATATATATATATTAATTTTCATGTATTTAATGTTCTATTTGTAAGTTTGGCGAGTGTTTGGTTTTTATCTGTCTTTGGTGTGATAGCTTTCTAATGGGAAGATTGTGTTTCAGGTGAGGCTCTCGTGAATTTAACGAAAGCGCTTACCGTGCCACGAGAAAACACAGTACCCATTAGTATAAAAGGATAAAGCAACAAATAAAATATTTTTGAATATGTTGTCGAATCTGATTTTGAACTGAATACAGAAAGACCGCATGAACTCTTTTTAGGGTTCCTTAGTCAACCCAAAGGAACCCTTATAGTTTTGTTATGTCCGTCCGTCTGTCTTTAGCTTACCTCAGAGACTCTTAGTACCAGAAAACTGTAATTTGGCATGTACATATAATGTAAGTATATATATACATATTGGTTACGCCGACACAGTGGTAAAATAAATTCTTGAATTTTTTTAAGGTACCTCTACACATAAAATGGTGATGTGTTTTTTCTCGTCTACCCCATATTGTGGGGTGTCGTTGCATAGGTCTTTAAAAATATCGCCGGTTTGTGAAAATCATTTTTCGATTAAATTATCCGTTTGTGAAATATTAAGCTTTAAAGTGTTATTTTCTGTTAGAGTTAAGTGTCCCCTGCAAGCTAAATGGTTGTTTTAGGATATGTGAAAAAAATCATAGTAGTCTATACGTATAATAATAAAATTCTAAATAAGCCGAATCTGTACATTAAATATTTTTTTGAAAATCTTATTGAAATAGACATTACTATCGATACAGAGGCCGAATCTATAGCTTTTAGAATTTTTGTATGTCTATACGTCTGTTTCTCTGTCTGTTACCGCATCACAAAAAAAACCACTGGAGGGATTTTGATGAAATTTATTATAAAATATCTGATTAGGTATGTATTCTAAATGAAAACCTCCGTTTAGTTATTTTTAACAATTTTGTGTCCAGAAGTCGTCTTTTTTAAGTTTTTTTAAGCAGGTAATTTGTAAGACGAATGTTTTTTAATAATATATTCGACCAAACAATTTAATTAAAAAATATATTTATTGTTGATTTTTTTAAAACTGCTCGACCGATTTCGATAAAATTTATATGGGACCACCTGGGAAGTATAATCTTTGAAACAAAAAAAAATCTGAATCGGTTTAGAGGTCCTCGAGTAATCGGTGAACATACATAAAAAAAATAAAAAAAAAATATATTCCGACGAATTGAGTACCTAATGTAGTAAAATCCTATAAAAAAGTAACTTTGTTATTATTGATGATATGAAAAAGTTGACAAAGACTTTTTTATAGGATTTTAAACATACTAAAAATTTGTTATTCAACATTTTTCTGTAACTCTTTCAGTTTAGGTAAAAAATGCAAATAAACCATAAATTGAAGGCACAAGTTTAGAATTGGGGACATGGCCCCTGGCGGAGTGGGTGGTATTTCTGGATAAGGGACGTGATAGGGAGTCGAAATGTTAAATAAATTTTTTAATACAACAAAAGATTCAAAAGTTATTGAGACTTAAAGTTACAACATTTCCATACATTTTCATATATTTCTTTACCACCATTCGAAGTGGGTGGTATTTTTAGATAGGGGAGGTGACAGAGAGTCAAAATATATTAAAAATATTTGGAGGAAACGTACGACTAAAAAGTTATTGAGACTTAAAGTTATAACATATCTAACACATTTCCATACATTTCTTTACCTAAATCAGTGATTACAACAGATAAACATACCTTTAACGAATAGTACGCATCCTTTTTTATGTACATTACACATTTTCACAAACAATTAATGCTTT